AAAATTTAAAAAGGGAATTTGGAACATACCTTTTTCTGAGACCAAAGAGCTAAAATGTGAAAAACAGAAGAAAAGCTAAAGCAACTCCCTTGAGAAATCTCACACCAAATAGCCTTATTGCCCTCAAAATAGAGAGCCTTTGAAATGCTCTAAGACTGACACTTTCTAGCACACTGCCCCCATACCAGGGCGGGTCACAAGATCCCTGTGTCCCCTTATACTCACCCACACCCATGGCACAGAGAATGCCTCGTTCTGCTGTCCTCAACTCTTCTCTTGGCCCCACCTGGGAGGCAAGCCTGGGTTTGCATGGTGGTGTCCCTGCTCATGGAGAAAGACATACGTGCTGAGGGCGCAAGGGAGTGAGGGAAGATTTGCAGAGGAAAACAAACACTTCCCCATTGGCCACCCAGCTTCTACATGGACTTCAGTTCAAAATGCTGAACAGTACAATACTACAAAGTGATCACACCCAATTTCTAATGAACTCAGTGAAGTTCTTTAACAAGGGCCCAAACTACAAACATACTCCTCTCTGCCCCATGGGGCTAATGTTCTCTAAGCCCTAAAGCCAAGGTCAATGAGATCCATACAAGTCCTGCCTATGGAAAGAATTAAGTCAATGCAATGGATGGAGCTCTGTTACCCTGTGGAAACCAATGAACAGTAAACACCACGAAGCCTATACCACTTCCTTGGTCATGTGGCAGACGCTTATTAAGCACACAGGATTTAAGCTTTTAGAGCCAGCCTTACCCCTAGGAGCCAGGGTCTGACAGTTGTCCAGTATTCCATATCTGTACAGGTTCCTCTGCACGTCATCCAGCAACTCCCACTCCTGGACGAGCCCCGCTGCCACATCCTCGAAGGTGACTGATTCCTAAGACAGCATACATGTTCTGGCTCAGCAAGGACCACCCCCACCATTCTGAAGAAGGGAAACCCAGCACAAGAACATTGAGACGGGGCACTCTCCATTCTGGAGCTCAGCAAAGCCCACCTGCCACTTGTCTTTGTAAATAAAGTTTTATCAGCACACAGCCGTGCCCGTTACCTATCTCTGTGGGTGTTTTTGTGCTACAAAGGCAGAAGTGAGCAGTTGCTGCAACAGAGATCACATGGCCCACCAAGCCAAAAACATTTATTTTCTTTTAACCTTTGGACAAATCCAAAAGTATAAGTTTGGGCTCTCTTTATCACATCGCCGACCAGTGATAGCAGAGCCTGTACATCTGAGCTTAGAGAGTTTTTCCTAACCTCCTTATTTGAGGCATCAGAAGTTTGGATTTGATCACTTCATTTTCATACCGTACCTAGGTCCCCTCCCAAGACTTATATAAGCATTTAGTAATCTTTTGTGCATGTTAAGATAGGACTTCCATTACAACTGCAACACTCTATGGCCTTGTAACATCAGAATTCTCTCCAGAGGCTCTGTCCAGTTCAGCTCTCTGGGGTAATGGGAATGTTCTGTGTCTGCACTTGCTCAAAGGGCAGCCGCCAGCACGTGTGGCCACTGAGCACTGGAGAAATGTGGCTCAGACAACTGAGAAACTGAATTTTTTAATTTCATTGGATTTTCATGCGTTTAAATTTGAATTTCTACAATCATGTATTTACAGTAGTTCTCACAAGGGAGAGAAAAGATGGCCCTAGAGGAGCTCTGCGGCCAACTCTAAACCAGCCCCGTTCTGCAGCCACACTCGGGAATTAGGCCCAGAGCCTGTCCTCCAAAGTCAGCTCCCGCCTGAGGTCAGGCACTGAAAAAGGTTGCCAGGTCCCCTGGGACAGGGCAGGAGATGCTCAACACTTCCCCTCCCCTTTCTTCCTCAGCTGCTGCTGAGGGAAGAGGGGACAGAGCTCAGAGTACATAATTATCTACCCCCACCATCCTGGCTCCCCAACGCCTCACCATGACACCAGCGCCAGAGTGGAAGGTCTCAGTAGGCATCCTCCCTGCAATAAAAGAGACCAAGTATAAAAAGAGATAAGGGCAGAAGCAGAACACCAAACAGGGGTTTAACTCAGGAAATTCCATTTTGGTGGGCCACCAAGCAAAAACCCAATAAGCAACATACTGGGCCCACGTCACCTTCCAGACCATGGCACCTGACCATTTCTAATACTGACTCTCACCTAACTAAAGGATCATCTGTCCTCATATTCCCTCAAGATACCTCTCACAACCTCTACTTTTCCTCCACTGTCTTTATCCAGTTGTGATTTTTATATATACTTGTTTGGGTGATTTTGCCTGTCTCTCCAACCATGATGCAAACTAAGTATAGGCCTATGTCCATTTCTTTTGAGGACCCCAAATTCTGCCACCAGCATAGCACTTGATGCATCTTTATATATTATAGTTATACTTTTTCTGTAAAAGGTCAGATAGTAAATATCTTAGAATTTATGGGCCATACAGTCTCTATAACAACTATTTAACTGCATTTGCAGCATGGAAACAGCCATAAAGAACACATAAAAACACCCTGGCCAGTGTGGCTCAGTTGGGGGTTTGAGTCCCCATAAGGGCACATATCTAGGTTGCAGGTTCAATCCCCCATCGGGCCATGTATGGGAGGCAACCAATGAATGTTTCTCTCTCACATCACACTCTCTCTCTCTCTCTCTCTCTCTCAAGTCAATAAACATATTTATTTTTAAAAAGAAACGCATGAAAAATGTGTTTCAATAAAACTACTTATAGAAACCAGCACTGGGTCAGATTTGGCTCATGGGCCATAGTTTGCCAACACCTACTTAATATTATGCAGTAGAGAGAATATATCAATTACCAAGCTCTCTCAATTCTACCTCCTACATGTCTCAAACACTGCATCTTTTCCAGTTCCACAAGCATCATCAAAACCCAACTACCATTTGAAACCTGAACTTATCCAAACTCCTATATATGGACCCTGCTCATCCCAAATTCCGTGCTCAATCCAACAGCTGATGTTTTATCTAAATTACAAACAAAATCATGGCTGTCCCCCTACTTAAAACTCTGATCAGTTTCTTCCCAGTGGCCTTAGAGCAAGGCCCAAAGTTTACAATGACCTTCAGAGTCATGTCTTCCTTTCCAACCTAGCTCATCCATTCCATACTTTATTTTCTCTACTTTGCCTTTCCCATTCTCTCCTGGGCTGCTGGAAGGCACTAGGCTTGGTACTGCCTGAGGTCTGTCATCTGAAAATGTTCTCTCAAATCTCCTCTCCATTTCCACTCCACACCCCGATCCCCTGTCTAGCTATATACAACTCATCTTTTAGGTTCAAATACCTGTCTTTTTTAAGTTGTTTTTCCTGACCTCCTCCCCAAATTCTCCTGTTCCATGTTTCCATACCACCTTTTGCCATGATTAATTTAAAATCTGTCTTCCCAGCTAGAATAAAACCTCCCTGGAGATAAGCACTGTATCTATTTTGGTGGCAGTGTTTCCCCCTGTTCAGAACCCAGTCCATCCAGGGAACTCCCAGGATATGTGCCAAACTATCAACACTCCCCCAAAACAATTCAGCACAGCCAGCCTAAGGCGGCACATGCCCGCATGTACAGACATATGAAACAATGTAACAACATAAAACTCAACATAAAAGAGACTTTAAATGTCTGTTCATATAACACAATCCACAAGAGATTTCAGAGGTCTTTAAGGAACATTAATTCTTTCTAAAAAGGCAAGATAATACTGTGTCTCTTAAGACGGTATAAATCTTTCACCTTTTACTAAAAAGGCAAGATGAGATATGTATTCTTTTTGCAAACACGAATTAAAATCTGATGTTTAATTTTCCTCCAGAATTAATATTTTCATTTCTCAGTAGAGTGAGCTTTAACCCTATTATTAAAAAGAAAAAAATCCCATTTATGGCCAACTCATTTTCAATTCCCACTATTAACTATGTCATCTTTTTCCTAGAGTTCCACACGTTTTGAAGCTCTATAGTAATTTATAGGCTTGGGGTAACTGAGACAAAGTGAAGAGAACTGAACAGCTTATTTTTCCTTGATGATAAGACTTGTTACATAATTGAGAAATAGTTTTTCTTAAGACACTCTCACCTCGCAGGGAAAAAAAAAAAAAGCCTGGTATTCACAAAGGCATAAATTAAAAGAGAAATGAAAGGAAAAGGCAACAAAGCTAAGTCAACAGGTCCTAAATTCAGGAACTGCAAATCGTCAGTCACCAGGGGGCAAAAAAAAATCTCGTCATCTAATTCATCCCTTGGTAGAGGATGCATTCCATTTTCTTAAAATTTACTTGACAAGTCATTCAAACCAATTTGCACATGTAGACTTAGACCTAACTTTTCCATTGCAGGTGAGGTAATATGAAATGTTATATTAAATAAAACTTGAATTGCTTATAAACAGTTATCTGTTTATTCGTAGGGCCCTATGAATACAGGAGGATGGGTGAAGGCGGGGGCTGACCGATGTCACCATTCCTGAGCTGCAGGACCTGGACTGCACTTCGTCATTTCCCTTCCGATAGTGCTGGGAATGAGCTGGGTCTTCCCAGACCGGGTTACCTGAGCACCAGGTAGCCAGCCGGAGGAGTGCGTGGTGCGGCTGCGAGGCAGACGTGTGCGCGCCTCATCCCGGCCCCAGGGCGACCACGGGGAGGAGGGACCTTGGCCAGAGCAGCTGTGCCAGGCCGTTCAGAGACTCCGTGCTCCCCTGCTCTCCCGAGGGGCCAGACCACACCTGCAAACCTTGCAGCGACACTCCCACTGCAGTACGCCGTGGGGACCGCTGCACAGCCTTCAAAGGCCACGCTGCCGCTGCCCCAGCGCACTTCCGCTTCCGGTCTTGGGGCCGCTGGGAGCGGAAATAACCGGGGCCCCAGGTTCTCAGGGCCAGGGAAGCTTCAAACAGTGGCCCGAGGGTTGACTCCGTGTAAATCCAAACTCAAGGCAGATATTCTGGTTTACTTACCTGAGGGAATGAGGTTACGCTGTGGGATTTGATCCGAGAGACCAGGTTTAGGGGCGGGGTCTAGGCCCGATGGACAGGGCTGGAACGAGGCTTTGGTCCAATAGGCGTGGACTGGGACGGGACCTGGGCTCGTTTGTGGGGAGCCTCGCTGGCGTGGTGGAATGCACAATGTTTAACTTTCCCCTCCGCTTGTCTGGTCTCCACCTTTCTCCTTTAGCTTAACCCAGTCTCCTGCAAAAATATATCTTAGGTAAGATTTATTTTTCGGTTTTACTAACTTCTTTTAAAATAGGATCGAACCCTGGCAATGGGTTGAGTGCCTGCTTGCCAACGGAAAGATCAGGGGTTGGATTCCTAGTCAGGGCACCTTCCTGGGTTGCGGGCCAAGTCCCCAGTTGGGGGTGTGTGACAGGCAACCAATCAATGTATCTCTCGAACATCAATGTTTCTCTCTCCATCCTGTCTCCTCTCTCTAAATACATAAATTCTTTGGGGGGGGGGGGAGATTAAAGTTAGGATCAAATATACTCATGCACTACATAAAGACATTTTAGTCAACACACGACCCCATGTATGTGGATGATAAAGGGGTCATATACTAAACCTGATAAGCTCAGGAGAGGCCTTATAAATAAACTTAGAGACTGAAAGCAACAACATAGGATGGTCTAAAATTAAAACTGTTTAACTAAAAGTGAGTCATGGCAGGAACTCACATCCTTGCCCAATATCTTCCTTGACAAAGGTCAGTCTTTACCTTAACTGAGCCTGTCCGTTGTCTTTTTGCATCTAAGATAACATATCTTTGGAATGTGTGAGTCATCCCTTTTTCCCGACCCCTTAGGACATAATCTCCCACGGAAGTACGTGAGCACCAAGTTCCCTCATTGTTTTCTTGTTCCCACCACATACCATCTCCACCTGCTGTAAATGTTATTGTTAATCATACTACACCTACTAAAATAAAAGAAGTATTTATCTCTCCATTTTGCTTTTTATCTAATCCCAAAGATTGCACTCACATACCCCGCTTTGCTTTCTCTCACCTCCCTAATGTATCACCAAGGAATTTCATTAACCCTCTTTGTACTTCCTCCTTTGATAGTAATGTATAAAATAAGGTGCAAAATTACCATTCTCTGGAGCATTTTTTCAATTCGTTGAGATTTTGCTTCCTGGCAATTGTCATCAGTTTGGCTCAAATAAACAAAAAGTCTTACAGGTTTGGACGTTTCTTATGTTGACATATACCATAGTATATGGAACTACCATATGTCATACATATGGTATGAACTACATATGTCACTACATATGTCATAGTATAAGGAACTACCGTAATAGTTCCTTAAGATTATAATGGAGCTGAAAAAGTCCTATCCCTTGTGACTTAGTACCAGTCCTAATGCTGTCGTTCAGTGCATTACTCAAATACTTACTATTATATTACAGTTGCCTACAGTATTCAGTAGAGTAACATGCTGTGCAGGTTTGTAGCTATAGAGGAATATAATTTGTTACCCAAAAATAATGTCTATTTAGCATAAGGATTATTTTAGGCTGGTTAATTTTAAGAAAGCAGATGTGGGAAAAGCTATGAAAATTAAGTAGAAGATTCCCTTTTTAAGATATTTATATTCATAAGGGAAATCTCCATTTCTAAGGGTGTCTCCCTCCTTATCTCTAGAAATTCTTATCAGTGCAGAAGACAAAGATGAAGTCTGAATAACAACCTTACCTTTCCTTGTTCTCCATGCTTTTCCTGGTAACCTACCATAACTGACTCCCCCAACCCGCAATGTCTTCTTTTGTCTTCAGCTGAAGATGGTATTTAAGGTGGTGGCTTCAACCATTTGGGTGAGTTACTCAGTTTTCCAGAGTCCCTCCTATATTATTAAACAGTTGTTTGTCTTTCTCCTATCAAGCTGTTTTTAAAACAGGAATGTCTCAGCCAAGAATACATCAGGGTAGAGGAAAAATTATTTTTCTTCCCCTACAGAGCAATAGGTGTGTAGTAGGCTATACCATGTAGGTTTCTGTAAATGTACTCTATGATGTCACCTATGACATAGTTCTCAGGACATATCCCCATCATTAAGAAGCTCATGACTATATCTTATTTCTTCTACAACTTGCTGTAGGGGAAGTCAGAGGTGGAGTAGAGCTCTAGCAGTAGAGGCATCTGGGAAATGTTGGGCTCTCTGTTTAACCTTCTGTGTCTGTTTAACTCTCTGTAGCCTCAGGCTTGGCTGACTACCAAGAAAACCAGAATGTCACCCAAAGATAAACATCATGCCCCCAAGAAGGATGTTAATGAATGTATACAGTGTTGATAACTAACTGCCTGATGTTGTCTGTTAACTTAGAAATGCATTGTCCCTTCTGGTGGTCTGCATGACTACCCACCATATGGTTTTACTATTAACCTCCTATAAAAGAGACCCTGTCCTGGGAAGGGATGGATTTCTCTGCCGGCCACCACTGGGAGTAACCAACTGCTTTGCCTGTGTATGTAAGTTTCTCCTGTTAAAGCTCCTATGAATTTGAATAATGCTACATGTCAGTTCTTCAGAATCCATCCTGAATTTAAACTTTTGGGGCTTCTCCCCAACATTTTCATTTTCTCACTAAAATTAAGATATGAAAATCTGTTCAAGATGATATATAGGAACCTGGCTCTTTCTTATTTGTTAAAGGGAAGATACGAAGAAGTGCAAATTGGTAGTTACAAAATAGTCATGAGGATATAAATTACAGTATAGGGAATATAGTCAATGACATTGTAATAGGTGTATGGTGTCCAGTGGGTACTAGATTTATCAGGGTGATTACTTCATAAGTTATATAAATGTCTAATCACTATGTTGTACATATGAAACTAATGTAATATTGTATGTCAACTAATTGAAAAATTATTTTTAAAAACTATTTTTTACAAAACTGTAATTCTACAGGGCTTCTGAGATCTTGCTCCCTGGCATATTTTGTTAGCTTGGCTCAAATAAACTCTTTAAATTTGAATAAATAAATAGGTATTTGTTATGTGGTTTAGATAGTGATATAGTAGGCAGTTAGGAGCAGAGTAGGAACAATAAGCCAGGTATAGAAGGTCACCAGGGTGCCTAGCAAGGGGCAGTTGTAAGGTGCAACCTCACCTCTGGGGTGACCTTTCTGTTCTTATTATACCCTTAGTCATGGGGTTTAGACTCCCTGACCTTTCATACCTGTGGGAATACAGTTCAGATCCTCCCTTGACCTTTTCCTCCCCTGGCATGTCACTATTCATGTGGTAGACCCCCTTCAAAGACAAACAAGGGGGTCAGAGATAGCCTCATACAGCTCCCGTGTCAGTCTTTGCATGACCACTCCCTTTGACATTAAGCCCTCAGGACGATGAGGTTCTGACCTTTATCAAATAATCTCAGGAACAAAGCCTTGGGTCTTTTGAACACAGAGACAGAGTTTTGGTCAAACTAAAGATGGCATCTAGGCCTCAGTTGTGTTTTAGCCCCAGGCCCAGAAAAGCAGCAAGGCCAGGTAGGGTAGCGCTATGGCTGACATCAGGACCAGCTTCAATGACTAATGATTCTTTGCCCTGGCATTAGCCATACAGTGGAGACTACAACCCTGAGGAGATACATCTGAAAAGCTGATAAATATTCTATTGAGATCCTCCCCCTGAGAACTCCAGATAAAAGCCCTTAAGACTGAGAACCCAGATTGCACACACACGCGCTCTCTCTCCCTTTTACAAGCCCCACTCCCCTTCTTTTCCCACCATTCTCATTCCCTATCCCTCTCTCTGTCTCTTCAGAGAAAGCCCATACCTTTCTTCCCCCTTCTTCCCTCAAGGTGTGCACCTTTGCTTACTCTCTGCTAAGATCCAAGGGCTCTTCTTTTGCCTCTGTAACTTGCTTCCTGAGCCCCCACAGCTCAGCTGTCTCACTTCTACTACCTCTGCAACTTTCTAAATAATCTCCTCCTTGTATTTGAGTCTTGACTCTGAATTCTTTCTTAGCCAAAACCAAAAGACCGAGCTCTAACATTGGGTGATGTTTACTGCTAACAATAATACGTACACATGGGAAAAGTTCAAACTGTGAGTCTCACTCCATTCCTAAGTTTTTTTCACCAGAAACAACCACTGTAACCAGTTCCCTGATATTTTTTATATATCGAGAACATGTGTATTATATTTCTTCAAATAAATATCTGTAAGGCATCCATTGATTGCTGCATGCTAGGTGCTAAGATTCCAATGCCTTTCTTTGCAAGAATGCTCCAAGTGGAGTCTGGAGAGGAGATAAGGAGAGAGAGATGAAATTGATTCATTTCAATAAACCTACCTTAATACACTATTCCACATAACATATTAACACAATATTTATTTTTTAAAAAACTATTGGTGACTTCCAGCCAAGAAGGGGGCATAGGATACTTCACTTCCTCACACAACCAAAAGAAAGACAACAACAATTTAAAAACAAAAATCAACCAGAACTGCCAGAAAATTGAACTGTATGGAAGTCTGACAACCAAGGAGTTGAAGAAGAAATATTCATCCAGACTGGTAGAAAGGCCAGAGATGGGCAGCCAGGGTGGGGAGAACATGCAGCAAGTAGGCAACTGGTGGGCCAAGTGATCCTACATTTGCGTGCGGATAAACCAGGAGGAACAACTGGGGAGTGAGACAGAGCAATCAACCCAGGGCTCCAGCATGGGACAAGAAAGCCTCAAAAACCTCTGGCTGTAAAAACCTATAGGGGTTGCAATGGTGGGAGAAACTCCCAGTCTCAAAAAAGAGTCCAGTGGAGGGTCCCATGGAATCCTAAAATGTACACAAACTCACCCACCCAGAAACCAGCACAAGAAGGACACAATTTGCTTGTTGGTAGCAGGGGAAGTAACTGAAAGCAGGGCAAGAGCCAAGCAAGCAGCATTGATCCCTCTATGACCCCTCCCCCACAATATAGCAAGGTGGATTGCCCCACCCTGGTGAACACCTAAGGCTCCAGCCTTTACAATGTAACAGGTGACTGAGACAAAGAAATATGGCCCAAATGAAAGAACAGATGGCTCTTCTGAAAGAAGCTCCAGAAAAAGGACTAAGTGATGAGGAGATAGCCAACCTATCAGATGCAGAGTTCAAAATGCTGGTGATTAGAATGCTCACAAAAATGCTTGAGTACAGCTGCAAAATAGAGAAAGAAGTGAAGGCTATGCAAACTGAAGTAAAGAGAAATATAGAGGGAATCAACAGTGAAAAGAAGGAAACTGGGACTCAAATAAATGTTTTGGAAGAACAGAAATAAACATTCAACCAGAACAGAATGAAGAAACAAGCATTTTTAAAAAATGAGGATAATCTACCTGGCTGGCATAACACAGTGGATTAAGCGCGGGCTACAAACCAAAGCATTGCAGGTTCGATTCCCAGTCAGGGCACATGCTTGGGTTGCAGGCCACGACCCCCAGCAACCGCACATTGATGTTTTTCTCTCTCTTTCTCCCTCCCTTCCCTCTCTAAAAATAAATAAATAAAATCTTCTTTAAAAAATGAGGATAATCTACAGCCATGCCACCCTGAATGCGCCCAATCTTGCCTTAAAAAAAGGAGAGGCTTAGGACCCTCTGGGACAACTTGAAATGTTCCAACATCCAAATCATAGGGGTACCAGAAGAATAAGAGGAAGAGCAAGAAATTGAAAACTTATTTGAAAATATAAAGAAGGAGAACTTGCCCAATCTGGTGAAGGAAATAAACTTCCAGGAAGTCCAGGAAGCTCAGAGAGTCCCAAAGAAGTTGGACCCAAGCAAGCACACACCATGGCACATCATAATTACATTACCCAACATTAAAGAGAAGGAGAGAAATCTTTTTTTAAGAAAAGTATTTATGTTTTATTTTATGGCAATAATGAAATGTATTGATAGTATTCCTGTCATTAAGCTAACTTTTACATCTTGCAATGAATAATACATTGCTATAACATATTATGTTCTCCTTCTTTTATTTTTTATTTTAATTGTTCAAGTACAGTTTTCTGCCTTTTCCCCCCATCCCAGCCCACCCCCCAGCCCTCCCCACCTCCCTCCCATTTCCACTCCCCCTTGTTATTGTCCATGTGTCCTTTATACTTGTTCCTGAAAACCCTTCAGCAGCAAGAGAAAAGGAGACAGTTACCTGCAAAGGAGTTCCCATTAGACTATCAGCTGACTTCTCAAAAGAAATCTTGTAGACAAGAAGGGGCTGGAAAGAAGTATTCCAAGTCATGAAAGGCGAGGGCCTACATCCAACATTACTCTATCCAGCAAAGCTATCATTTAGAATGGAAGGGCAGATAAAGCGCTTCCCAGGTAAGGTCAAGTTAAAGGAGTTCATCATCACCAAGCCCTTATTATATGAAATGTTAAAGAACTTATCTAAGAAAAAGAAGAAGATCAAAACTATGAACAGTAAAATGACAACAAACTCACAGCTATTAACAACCAAGCCTAAAAATTACAAAAACAAACAAACTAAGCAAACAACTAGAACAGGAACAGAATCACAGAAATGGAGATCACCTGGAGGGTTATCAGCCAGGAAGTGGGTGGGGGAAAGAGGGGAAAAAGGTACAGAGAATAGGTAGCATAAATGGTAGGTAGAAAATAGACAGGGGGAGGTTAAGAATAGTATAGGAAATGTAGAAGCCAAAGAACTTATATGTACAACCATTCATGGATATGAACTAAAGGGGGGGAATGCAAGTGGGAAGTGGTGTGCAGGGTGGAGGGGATTAAAGGGGAGAAAAAATGGGACAACTGTAATAGCATAATCAATAAAATATATTTTAAAATATGAAAAATTAGAATCACAATGGTTCAAATTGAGTGTGAGCCAGTACAAATATAAAAATAAATAGGTTACACTTTAAAAAAAAATTAAGTTTTTGGGTCCCTATGTCACATCATTCACAAAAATAAATTTCAGATACATTGACTCTAACATAAAAGAAGTTGAAAATATTAGAAGAAAAACAGGAATATGCCTAACAAATTTTGCTTTATGTTTTTCAAAGGTATGGTATTTGTTGCATAGCACAATGGCTTAAAGTACTGGGGTTTGGTACTATTTAAGCACTATTTAAGTTCCATACCAGCCTGTGACAAACCTAACTTCTCTGTGACTCAGTTTCCTAAACTGTTGAATGGGGGCAATAATAGGATTATACTAAGGATTGCAGGACATAATGCCTATAGGCAAAGCACTTATTGTAGTGCCCGATGTGTAATAAGTGCTAAATAAATATTGGTTATTATCATTATAGTTTTTGATGAACTCACCTTATATCAATATAAAAATCTCTCCTCCGATTTTTAAATTACACCTTGAACTTTATTTAGTCTCTTTCTAATACTGTCATACCAGTTTCTTATTGTTTATTGTCTGATATGCTTCTTATTTTCAGCCTCTTTGCCATTGTACCTTAAATGATATTTTCCATAAACAATATATAGCTGGATTTTGCTTTTAACAAAGTCTGGAAGTAATTTTCTTCTAATAGGATGATTTAATCCACTTACTTTTATGGTGGTTATTGGTGTTTAATGTATTTTTGCCACCTTATTTGACATTTATCTTATGTTTTCTGTTTATCATGTTCACTTGTGCACTGACTGAACCAGGTCTAATTTTGTAGTCAGTTTGCTCCATCTCTTCTTCCATATGTTAATTTAAAGAAGTATAAGATGTGGTCAAAATTAGTTTAAGATTATTTTTTATATTGTTTATCAATTATTTAGTAGTTGTCAATTATTTTGTCTTTTTGCCTTTGTCTTTTAATAGTAATGTGGTAGTTACTAGGTAGTTATTAATCATCCGTATTACTTATAAAAATATTGTAAGTGTGAAAAATATAAAGAAATAGGAAAATAATTTATATTCTACATGTTCCATAATTTTACTCTGGTCTACTCAATAGGCTTGTTTAATCTAGAAACACATTTATGTTATTATCTTGGGAAATAGCCTCCTTTGTGTTTCTTCTTCTTTTTCTTTCTAAAACTCCTCAAACTCTTTATATTTATGTTCTTCTTTCTTACAGATTGTCACCACTTTATATCTAATCCTTCTATTGAACGTTCATGTTGGCTACCATTATTTTAATTTAATTTCTTAAAGCTCTTCTTTATTCTTTGAAGATTCGTTTTTATTGCAACTATTCTTTTCATCCTTTTAAAGATATTATACAAATGAAAGTTATTTCTAAGAGTTATGCTTCCTTCCAAAGATTATTTTAAGACAGTTATGGAATCTCCCTAACATTAACACTATTACAATTGGGGATCTACTAAGGCTGTGAATTTATATGATGCTGTTATTCTGCTACCTGCAAGATAAAACTTTGAGGTTAGCTTTAGATTATTTCATCCTTGAGGCTGTAAGAAATAAGACATTTTTTTAATAATGTAATTTGAAGTCCCTGATTCCCTAACAAGTGACTTGAGTAGATATTTTAGGGCTTTGAGTTTGTCATTCTTTTATTCTTAGGCTCCACATCACCTATAGAAGCAATCAGCTGGTCCTGTAGTCCTGAAGGCAGTGAAAACCCAGTTAGCATTAAGGGATAGGATGCTAATAGTGGTAAAACAGTTGGTTAAATAATGACCTCTGGTCATCTGGAATGAGTGTCCTTTGAAAGTTTTAGGAGTAATGGCCACTGGCATTGAAGAGAAAGGAGGATGGGCATTTCCAATCTGAGTCTAGTGCATGAGTATTAGGGATAGGAACCAGTCCAAGACAGTGACCAGAGTGTTCATGGAAGTCAACAATAGCAAAGATGCCTGTCTAGCAGTAAAATAAAAGACTTGGTGGATGAAATAAAGGAAGAGAGGGAGGGAGGGAGGGAGGGAGGGAGGGAGGGAGGGGAAAAGGTAGGTGGATGGATGAGTAGATTGAATAAATGGGTAAATTGGATAAGTGGGTGGGTGGATGGATGAACAGAAGGATGAATGGATGGATGGATGGCTAGAAGGAAGAGCATCTGTGAGATGGACCGGCAGGAGACTCTCAGGAATAACTGAGAAAACGCCTTCAGAGGGTCTGACTTTCAGCAAGAAAGCCTCTGCATTTTATGCTGTAGTAACTTGGATACAAAAAAAATTATGATCTCATTTTGTCATCACAGGTAAAAGTCCAGGGACATTTGGTTTATAATTGTGTGCTCTGATAAGCAGTATGAGGGTGGTAGAGAGTCAGCTGTGGCTTCTGGTTCTTTTTTTGAGTACTTTTGATAAGTAACATGTCACCATACTCTTGACAGACCAGAGAACAGTACCATGCAGAGCTGGGCTCTCAGACTTGAGCCTGCATCAGAATCACCTGGAGGGCCTGTTCAACACAACTTGCTGCGCCCACCCAAGAGTTGCTGATTTATCAAGTCTGGGCCAGAACTCAAGAATCTGAACTTCTAACAAGTTCCAGGTGATGCAAATGCTGGTAGTCCAGTAATCATATCTTGAGAACTACCAATGGAGAAAAACACGGACATTGATAGCTCTGTGTTTAAAGTAATTTTGAAGATTCTGAATGTAAAAATTTTTCAAAAATATCATAACCAATTTATTTTCCACTTCTACTTTCATTTTTCCTCCAATCAAAAGAGTGATGTGTGATAAAAATGTATTCCTAAATAAATTTGCAATGCATCATTCAATAAGAATAAAATAAAAATTCTAAGGGACAAGACAGCATTGCATCACAGTTGAATTATTAGATTTGGTGGTACATAAAATAATAGTGTACTTTAAAATTGATCATTCTGTAAGAGGGTGCAGCCAGAGAGCCCCAAAAGAAGTATTTGTAATGGGGTCTGGAACTCAGGGTGTCCAGGGAATATTAAAAATATTGGATGTCCTCACTCTGAAAAGTCTGAACTGGTGGATGGGACGCATGGAGCGGAGCCATTGAGAGTTGTTTTGCATAGCAACAGGTATTTGCATGTGAACACCTCTACAGTGGTCATTTTATGTATCTATTACTTTTGATGGGTTTTACGGATATGTTAAATAATTGTGGCCAAGCTTTGAGCCAGGGAGAAGGGAGTGACTTCCATCCAGGATGTAATTGGGAGGCAACCCCCCCTGGTTAAAGTGCCTGCATAAGAGCTTGAAGATGATTGGCTCCATGCCACAGGGCCATACCTCCCTGGACTTACTGTGGCAGCCCAGAAAAGCTGGAAAAATACTGGAATGCTGGCAGGTGTAGCTGACTGTGGGAGGAGTTGGAAATGGGGCTGCAGAGGAAGATTGGCACTGGGATTTAAACCCAGGCTTGGCAGTCATGACAAGAAGAACCATGCAGTTTGGGGAGAGAGGAACCAAGCAGCTTTTGCAGGGGATAACCATGTAGCTTTGGATCTTCTTTGCCACACAGCTTAGGAAGCCAGAAAGCAAGATGTAGCAGCAATGCAGAGCTCTCTCTTAGCAATTTGGAAGAATGCAGGAGAAATGCTTCAGGAAAGAAAGGAGTGGAAGGACTCTTGCTGGTGGGCCATGAGAAGGTGCAATGTGGTTTGGGATTAATAACTGGAGATTCTGGTGACATAGCTGATGGTGCTGGCAACTGAGAGAGGCCTGCCAGCCAAGCACGGATTACTAGGAAGAACTGGGACCTGCCTGAACCACGGACTTCTATTTCTTTTCCTGAGATACAGTACCCTAGACCAGACAAAGTGAGGAAGGAAAGACTGTGTGTGTTGGCAGGGGGTGTTATAAGGGACTTTGGGGTTTTAATGAAGACATTAAGTCATTACTCTTAAGTCTACATAATTTTTGAATAAATAATTCCTTTCCTTTTCACCAATCTCTGACATGGAGAACTATAATTCCTTGGCAGCAGGAAAGGTGAACCTAGTACAGGGGGATCCCAGGAGAACGGGGGTCCATTCAGTAGCATTGTGTGACCCCTTCTCCAGTGGCCAATCAGGGAAAATCATGGGAGACCACATGCACAATAGTTTTAAAGTAACACAACTACTTGTACATGTGCAATAAAAGCCCGCCAAAACTAGCCAGGAGGGATCTACCCTATAAAAATAGAATCCCTCCAGCCCATGAGGTCAGTCTCTGCTTGGAGTTGGCCTGCTCCCATGTTCTCTGCTATAAACTCTGTGTGTTTGGTTCAATTCTTTGTCCCGATCACCAAGAACCTGGTTACCAGTGCCCACCTGTGACAATTCCTTCAATTTGATTAAATACGAGATGAATAGAAGAAGATACTAACTCTACCTTGAAGTAGAGAAGGGGGCAGAATGGGGCTCTAGTGGGTATACATTAGGGGTTAACTAAGGATAGGTAAAAGGACACACACTTGAAGGACTTGTTCAGGAGCAGAGCAATGGAGGAAAGGAGGCAATTCCAGGTGGTAGGACCACACATGCAAAGGCCTGCAGACTGGAAAGAACAATTGGTTCAGAGAAGCCAGAGGAAGAAAGGTAGGAGATGAGGCTGGAGAGGTGAACTGGAGCCACATTAGGTGGCCTTTATGTGTCTACTAAACACACTTAGCCTGCCAAAAATCTGTGGGGCTGTGAGGCAGGGTGTGTTAAGTTCAGAGTCATGTTTCAGAAAGCTCTCCTGGCTGCAGGTGGGGAATGGGACAGAGGGACACCAGTTAGGAAACTGTTGAAGTTATCCAAGATAAGAGAAGCCTGAGGGACAGAGAAGTTGAGTAACTTTCCCCAAGTCACATAATACTAAGTGGCAGAACCAAGATTTGAACCTAGGCAACCTGGTCTAGAGACAATATTGTAAGAACATTCACCTGACTATCAGATGGCACTGCCAGTCTTTCTCACTCTTGCCTTCCACCCCAGATGACTACTAGGGAGAAAAAATAGCAGTGCCACTTTGCTACAGAGAAAGGGAACATTGGAGAAAAAGTTTTGAGGGGAAAGAAAGAATTACATTTTGGACAAGTTGATTTTGAAGTGCTGTGATTCCAATATACGTTGCATATATAGACTGTATCACAGAAGAGAGGGTCCCCTATGCACACACACACACACAGCCAACAGATGATAATTAAAGCTATGGCATATAGGGAGAGATTGCAGAGTGAGAACATAGCCCTGAGTAAGTATTTAAAAATCAACTAGTTGGAGGAGTTGCTCTATCAACTAATAGAGAAGACAGGGCAAGTGTGGACAGGAAAATGAGGGGAAATGAGTAGAGTATGGTGTCATGGAGGGCAAGGAAAGAGGCCAGACTGAATTAACACTGAAAATTATTCACAGGGCAGAGCATTAGGGAGTTTGCTGGTATTCTTAGCAAAAGCAGTTCCAGTGATGAGGTTAATGGTGGTGCTGGGGTTGATGCTGATGAACTTGGTGGAGGTGGATGTGGTGATGGTGGTGATGATGATGACCCACCCAGTTGCCTAAGCAAAAAATAATAACAATAAACTAGGAGTTAACTCCTCTCTCTCACTGAACACCAACACCCTGACCATTTCCAAGCCCTACAGATTCCAACTGATCCATCAATTTATGTATTCAGCAATGATATCATAGGAGGCAAGGTAGATAAGAAAACTTTATAGGTTTACAGTCCAGAAGGGAGACAGACCAGAAGCAAATAAACAAGATAGTCAAAGATTCAGATAATACAATTACAGAAATAAATGAGGGGATTGAGTGTAATTAGGCAAGACTTCCTTTAGTAGGGTGGTCAGGGAACAGCAGTCTGAGAGAAATGAGTTTGGGTTGAGACATGAAAGACAAGAAGGAAGCAAATGTGAGTATTAAGGTAGAAAGCATTCTAGACAGTGTGAAAGCACGTACCGAGGTCCTAAGGTAGGAAAATCTAGATGTGCTCAAGGAACAGAAGAGACCACTGTGGCTGAGGTATAGGGAGCAAACAGGGAGTCAGCAAACAAAGTTTAAAATGGGGAAGAGATAAAATCACAGAGGGACTTACAGACCATAGTAAGAAGTCTGGCTTTTACCCCAAGTGTGATGAAGAGCCTTAGAAGGGTTATAAGCAGGGGAGTGATAAAGCATAATTTGTTTTCAATGATCACTCTGGCTGCTTAATCTAGAATGTTTTCAAACAGAATAACAAAGAAAGCAGGGAAACTATACAGAAGATGTTGCAAAAGTACATTATCTCTGCCAGGATTATTGTCCAATGAAGATCCTCATGTCCACATCTGCCTCCAATCCATAAAGCATCCAGAAAAACTCCCCCAAAACACAGCCAATCATGTCACCACACTGCTTTAAAACCTTCAGTGTTTCATGCCCTGGCTGGCGTAGCTCAGTGGATTGAGCGCGGGCTGCGAACCAAAGCATCACAGGTTTGATTCCCAGCCAGAGCACATGCTTGGGTTGCAGGCCATGGCCCCCAGTAACCGCACATTGATGTTTCGCCCTCTCTCTCTCTCTCTCTCTCTCCCCCTCCCTCCCTCCCTTCCCTCTCTAAAAATAAATAATTAAAATTAAAAAAAAAACCTTCAGTGTTTCAAATTTCCTCCAAACTCCTCTCCATCACAACTCAAAAAGAGAAAAGAAAAAAAGTTAGGATGTGGCTTCCTTACTTCAGAGACAAGAAAGAAATGACTGTGAGACATTTTTCTGTATATTATGAATGGAATTTCTATTTGCAATTTTGTGATGCTTTAGTAATTGCTTTTTTGTGTATTGTTTGGATCTTGTATTTCTTGGATTGGTGTTCAAAGAAGCACCACCTTCTTTGATGAACCATGAGGTAGGTCAGTTCTGTGTGAATTATATGTATTTAACTACCTGGCTTCCCCACTAAAGTCTAAGTTCTGTATAGGGAAGACTATTAATTTTGTTCGCTGTTGTATCCCTATAAGGTAGTGCAGGTTCTGTCACTTAATAATATTTGTCTTAATAAATATTTGCTGATGGATGAACAACTTAGAGTCCTTTTTTTCCCAATCCTACTGTTGGTCTGGATTGTCCCACAGGACCAAATAATATATCACCTTTACCAGACTTTAAGATTCCAGTAAGATCCACTGAATGACATATTCAGGTGGCGTGAGGGGAATCTCAAAATTTTTCAAAATGACTCTTCCACAAACTTTATATACCAACACAGAGACCCTAAATTCTGGCTTACCCAGCTCAAAACCACAGGACTATTTAAGGTTTGTTTTGACTCCAAAGTCCTGCTCCTCCGACAATGCTGTCACTGAAGAGCATTCCCTTCCCAGAGTCAGTTGATTCTGTCATCCCAAAAACAATCAACAATAACTAGGAAAACCTACTACTAAGGCAGGGGTAAGAAGCTAGGAAAATTTCTAAGCAAATGGAATGGGGAAACTGAGGCAAGAAAGTTAAACAAGGCCAGACAGTTTGAGAAATTTACAGCCAGCTGATGAGTAACAAGAACTTATCTTCTCTAACCAAGGACACTTCAGAGTAAATGGTTTATACCTCTCCTCCCTAACCAAAGAATATATAGCTTAAATCACCCTGGCCTGGGAAATAGAGAACAGAGACCCAATTAATGTCATTTGTGCCAGCTAAACCCAAGGAAGATGAAGTCAAGGGATCAAATAACAAAAACCCTATTGGAAGCCAGATGGATAAATAATAAAACAGTATAGTGGACTGAAGAATATTCCCAAAACCCCCCTATGTGCTCATTTTGACACATCAGCATATTAAAAATGTACCTGGTGAGCTGATGAATATTCTGTTGAAACCCTCCCTTAAAATTCCCACCCTAAAAAAAGAAAGATTAAAAGCCTTCAGGACAAAGTCTCAGGGCAGGCTCACTCTCAAGCACACCCATGCCGCTTCTCAGGCATTCACTTTCTTATTTCCTCCTAATCTCTAAGGATCCCAAGGAGATTTGCTGCCAGGGAAGCAGTGGGCAGCAGCAGCTCAACCCAGACTTACCACCTGACCTGTGTCCAGGATGTTAGAGTGGTCGGTGCCACAGGCTGTGAAATAATTCACAAAGAGAAGAAAGTACAGAGAGTAAACTTTTTATTGATTCTCCAAGAGAAGAGAGGGTCTTGGTGTGGAGAGCTACTCCAGCATTGAGGGGTAGGGGCTCTAAGCTTTTATTGATTTATAATTGGATTTTAAAAGGGTGGGGTTGCTGTTGTGTGGCCCCCCAGCTGTGGTGGGCTTTGGAACATAGGAAGTTTCAGGTGCTGTTGCATAAGCTCCAATGTTATCTTTTGCCTGCAGCTATGGGAGTGGGGGCAGTTATTCATGTTCTTCTCTTGCTTTCCAGTAATTTCTAGTCCTGGGGACATAAGCTCTGAAGAGTAAGATGGTGGTCACGTTTAACAAGGCCATAGGCCTGCTCAGCAAATGGTGCTGAAACCAAAAGAGCCGACATTCGTGCTGCCTGTCACCTACCAGACCCAACAAAGAGAGACAGGGGTCAGATCTTTATGGGCGTTTTATGCAGATGGCCAGCGATCTGAGAAGACAGGGTTTGTACCCTAAAGACCATCTTACGTTCCATTTTAAACCAGCCCTATTTATAAGGAGAAGAAAAATGTAGGTAAGGGGTTTGGGATTCAGAGGGAAAGTCAATCAGATAAAAGCTGCAGCATTCTTCCATCTGTGTTCTGGGCGGTGGACTGTCTCACCCTGGAGTACAGTGCCTCACATACCATCTTGATTGCTCGCAGTGCTCCTGAGGCACAAAGGTGGAACTGTTTATGGTTTCCTGCTGTCAAGGTGGGTCACACCTTCAGTTCCTGGAACAATGGCTTTATTACATAAATTGATTCCTAAGCTTATTAGCTATTACCTGAAACAAAAATTTTTCCAACATTTGAGTTCCCCATCAGTGCCACAATGGTAAATGGTGCCAGCTTCATCCTTTCACAAGGCTCCTTTTTCCTCTGACATCCACGTAAGCTAACAGCAGCCCCACCTAGGCTCATTCCTTTCCTAAAACCCGTTTCTAGGGAGCCAAAGCAGCCCCACGTAGGCTCTCTCCTGTTACTTCTTCTACCCTAAACCCTTCCTTTGTTTCGTTGTCCCCAGCCTTAATAAAGGTACTCTCAAAATCACCTGGACTCAGGTTGTGAAATCTTTCCTACACGAAGTCAAGAACCCACACACTGCAAGCTGGCCTGAAGCAGACCAGCTCCCACTGATTCCTGTCCCATGAAATTACAAAGGGAGCACACAAAAACAAGTGCAGAAAAGGCACAGAAAATAAACAAATAAAAAGCAGAACCATGGATCTGATGGTGAAAGATGAGAAGTTCACTTTTCTGAGAACAATTCCCTATGTCAGTACATAGAAAATAAACAAACCAAAAAGCAGAACAATGAGTCTGATGGTGAAAGAAGTTAACTTTTCTGAGAACAGTGTCCTCAGTCAGCTGACCTCAGATACTTATGCAATTCTCATGAAACTTGCTTAGGATACAAAAATTGGTTGGCTTAAAGCATAGTAGAGAGCTTTGAATGCTGGCTGGCATGGGTTATCTGCATGCGGGAATGAGAGGGCCATTCCTTCTTCCAGGTACGTGTAACTTTGACAATGACTATACCTTAACTACTCCTTATCAGGAGCTAATCAGTTCAACAATTAGCTATCTTTTCCTTCTCTTTACTCTGCTTTGAACACTCCTAGTCTCTTAAATTATGGTTTCCTACCACACCACCCTATTTAAACTATGCTCCCAAATATCCTTAAAATTTTCCTTATGGTCTAATTTAATAAGTTGTTCATCTTCTTCTATACAGGTTTTGTTTTCTAATTGATAGCCTCTCCTTCTTGATAACTGCTATGACCTAACATTGCCCTGACTCTTTCTCTGTGTTTCTTGTTACTCTTTCCTACCCCAACCTTTTCCTCTTCCTGTACCAAGAATATAATTAATAACAACGAATATTTTTTAGTATTCACTATGTACCTTATACATTAGCCCATTTAATCCTCTCAATAGGCCCATGAGGCAGGCAATATTATTATCCCCATCATATGGAGAAAAAAACGGGGCACAAAGAGGTTATATTATTTGTCCAAAGTCACACACCTTATAAATGGCAGAGCCAGGATTCTACCCAAGCCACCTGGCTCCACGTCTTTGCTATAATGCCAAGGAATCTTATGATTCTGTGGCTTCAACCACAATTCTTTTCAGATTTTTCCCCAACTCTGAAATCCAATCCATCCTTCTGGCTCCAGATCAAATAACTATCAATAGCCACAACACCAACCAAAGCTAACATTGATCAAGCTCCTACTTTAGCCTGGCATCAAGCTAAAATTGTTTCACACTCATCATCACACAGCATCTTCATATTACAGATATAAAATTACATCATGGAAAGGTTCTAGCCTTACTTAATGTATCACAGTTATTTATTTTCAGAAGAAGTGATACACCATAAATTCTATTAAAAATAATGTAAGCTACTTGAAAGTAATCCCACATCTTACACTGCAGAAGTGTCCATTATATATCTGTGAAATCAAATTAAAGTGAGAGCGTGTACAATTTAAATGAAAAAACTCCAAACAAGATATTTTCTGCTTTGGGGCAACTAGAGGCAGAGATGGATCAGTTGTGAATTTTGGTTATCCATGATCTCTGCCCTTGTTACTGGATGGAACAGGCAATGGAACAAAATGAGCATTAGATCAAGAATTAGAAAGGGACTCTTATGCAAATAACATGATGATAGAAGCACCTAGCATTTATGGAAGATTTCTGATAGACAGATGACAGACAGATGCATGGATAAAGAAAATATAGTATATACATACAACTGAATATCATTCAGTATTTAAAAAGAAGGAAGTCCTGCCATTTGTGACAACATGGATAACCCTTGAGGACATTATGTTAAGTGAAAGAAGACAGACACAGAGGACAAATACTGCACTATTTCACTTATAAGAAGTATCTAAAGTAGTCAAACTCATAGATGCAGGAAATAAAATCATGATTGCCAGATGCTGGGGGAAGGAGAAGTGAGGAGTTGTTTTTCCATGGTATAAACTTTTCATTATACAGGATAAATAAGTTCTAGAGATCCACTGTAAAATACAGAACCTGTAGTTAATAATGCAGTGTTGTGCACTTCAAAATATGAGTGTATTAAAAGAGTAGATTTCATAGAAAGTGTTCCTACCCCAAAAAAAAAGAAGAAAAACACAAAAGAACACAAGGAAATGTTTGGAGATGATGGATATGCTTTAGTGCATTGATTGTAGGGACAGTATTGTAACTGAGCAGACAGGGGCCCAACCACATGTATGACCAAACAGTTAATGCTGGAAGAAACAGGTTTTTATTTACAATATTGCAACCTCAGAGGGTGTAGGAACACTTCAGCTTGGAGCCCTGTTCTCCCATGAGACCCAACACTTCCCTTGCTCCCCAAAAGGCTATAAGCCAAAAGCAAGCCCAATAGTTCCCCATTTTTTTATCTTAAACCAGGTGTGCAAAGAGTTCTCCATTGGTTCTTGATCAGAATCACCATCCTCTCACAGCAGCTCTCTCCTTCAGGATCTAGGTACATTATCATCAGCCTCCATGTACTAGTCCAGGAAAGACTCTAGTCCTGGATTCTCCTGAGAGCCCAGATAGAGTCCAGGTCTGCAAGGTAGCAGATCAGCATCTTGCAAGGGAGAGCTTTCAGAGTCAGCTAGAGCAGGCACAATCAGAGCAGCTGATGTCTCCTTCCTTACTACACCAGGCTGCATTGCCAGATCCTGACTACAAACTATATAGCTGCTTGCTTACTTCTCCCTCTTATGTGGCTACCTCACAATTCTTCCCTCATGGCTCTTCTACTCCTTTCTGAGCCACATGGCCAAATCCCTCACTACAGGCAGCATGCCTCCTCTTTCTTCCTGCTCTCTTCCAAACCGCATGGCAGAATCCCAGACCCCCAAACTACATAGCTGCTATATTATGGCCCTCCTTCCTCACTACTCTACTTGCAAACCACACAACCAAATTCCCTCATGGCTAACCGCCCAGGGCCCCCTACATGACCTCATTTCTGACTCTTTCCACAATAAGCTACATTTGCCAGTTCTCCTATATTGTTTACCTTCTCTCAGCTGCCATCCTCAGTCAGGGCAAGAGTGACAGTGATCCAGGGGAACCATTTTCCTTGCTATATTATGAGTCAGTTGTGAAAGTCATGCCCACCTTGCCCTGAGGTGGTGGCACAGATATTAAGCTAGCCTTTGTTATGAAAAGTATCTTAAGCCATATCATCTGCCCCCACATCCCCCAAACAAGGGCTATGGGGGTTTTGGGGGCCCCTCAGTCTACACTCCATTTCAGTCCAAACTCATGAAGATGTGTACATTATATGTATGTGATTTTTGTATATCAGTTATACCTCAATAAAGCTTTTCTTAATCCTTACCCCAGTACATTTTTTCCATTGCAGAGAGAGAGAGAGAGAAACTGTCTATGTGAGAGAATATGGATTGGTTGCCTTCTTGTATGCACCTCAACTAGGGATCAAATCCAAAACCTAGGCACGTGCCCTGACCAGGAATTAAACCTGTGGCCCTTTGGTCTACAGATGATGCTCCAACCAACTGAGCCACACCGACCAGGGCACATAAAGTTTTTTAAAAAGTGGGTCTTAGTAATAGTATGGTCTCTGTCTACCAAGTGAGGTGATGGGTGTAGATAAGTGTGGACTAGTTTGGTGGAGACGGGATAAACTTTGATTCCTGCACAGCCTGACCAAGGTTGCCATGTTGGGAGGAAGCTCAAACTATCCCAGGCCCTGAGACCTCATGAAGGGACAGTAATGCCCAGACAGTTTCCAGCCACTCCAGCCCAGCCACTGTTTAACTGCAACAATATAAGAAACCCTGAGCCAGAACCATCCAGCTAAGTTCCTCCCAGATTCCTGGCCCACAGAAATCATAATAAAATGAGAAATAATAAAATGAATGTTGTTGTTTTAAGCTGCTACATTTTGTGATAGTTAGTTTTGCAGTGGTAGATAACTGATACACAGCCCTTGAATAACTTCTGGGACCTTTCCTTAATAGTTTCATTACTCTCCCTTCTGCTTCCCTGTTCCAGGACTCTTCATTCTGCTGAGTTTGCCAGGAGTCATGGTTCAGAAAGCCAAAAGTGAGTAATCAGTATTCAAACCCTGACTCTTCAGAGACTCTTCCACCATCAGAGACCCAGAAGGGTATGGACTAAGGATGAACCTGAGGCCACCCACATCCTCCAACAGGCTAGAGAAAAGAGGCTGGTTTGGGGGACAAAAGTTGGGCAGGCTTGCTCCTGTGTCATTTCTTTTTTAATTGATCATTTCATCAAATTTGGATATCTTTTAGTCTGTCTTTTTATTTTACTTATAGTAGTCTACTTGTTTGCTTTTAGTACCCACAATGCTCCCAATGTGGACATGGAACAGGGAATAAAACAAAGTCTCATGAAGTGAGATTAGTTGGGAGAGACAGAGCATCATGGTCACCATTTCATTCTGATCATACACATCAACACAACATGAACACAATCACTTGAAGTTAGGCATAATTCCTTGGAGATCTCACTAGAATATGATTCAGAAGATCAGAATGGGGTCTGAGATTCTTCATCTCTAATGAGGGGATGCATTCTGAGCAGCCAAGCTCTGCATTGTGCTCCCCCATTGTGTTCCCAGCACCCACTGCCCGTGATCCCTTTACAGCTCCCACATCTCTTCACAAGCCCAAAGCTGGGGACATTTCCTCAGCCCTATTCTTTCCATTCATTCTCAAGTGGCCTCAAATTAAGATATTTAGTGTATCTTTGTCTAAATGAAGTTATACATAGGGCTACGAAGATAACATGTACTGCCAACAGAATATACCTCCCATGGTACCCTACAAATTCTAATTTTTATAATATGTACCAGACACTGCCCAAAGCACTTTGTATGTATTAATTCACTTCTCACAATAACCCATTTTACAGATGAGAAAATTGAGGCACAGAAAGTTTAAGACACTTGTGCAAAGACACACAGCTATTAAGTGATAAAACCAGAATTGAACCCAGGGTCCTAAGTATTAATCAACTCATTCCCCTTTTATTAAATCTTCAGTGATCTTGAGAATAACACAATTATATTTCATTGAAAGTTTTCTGTTAAAATTAATTTGTTTAATTAGTGCCAACCTCAGTCCTATATTATGCACTCTTCTGTAACTTGAATTTGGTATCTCTATTTTTTTTGTTTTTTTCATTTATTTTTTAATTTATTTTTTAGTTATAGTTGACATACCATATTATATTAGTTTCAGGCATAGAACTTAATTGATCACACATTTATGAAATCTCACCATTTGTGACAACATGGAGAAAGGCAAGTACCATACATTCTCACTTACATGTGGAATCTAAAAAATAAAATAAATGGACAAACTCATAGATACAGAGAACAAACCGATGGTGGCCACATGGGCGGGGCCTGGGGCATGGATGAAAAGGGAAAGGCATTACAGGTTATAAAAACAGGCACAGGGATGTAAAGTACAGCATGAGGAATATAGTCAAAAATACTGTAGTAACTAGGTATGGTGTCAGGTAGGTACTAGACTTATTGGAATGATCACTTTGTAAGGTATATAAATAGTATTTCTAATGTTTTTACTGTACTGAGATTTCACAAAAGGAAAAGAGTGCAGGCTCCCTCAGCCTCAAGAGGCGCTGCTCAGAGGCAGAGCCAAACAATAACTGGAGAGTGCTTGACCCAGGTGACAACTGACCTGCCTCTCTCCTCCCCACAGGTACCTGTCCTCCGTGCCCAGAAAATGCTTTCTGCACCAGTACCACATATTGTATCTGCAACTCTGGATACCTTTCTCAATCTGGGGAGAAAGATCTCAAGTATCCCTTGGATACATGTGAAGGTAAGTACACAGACTATAAAGTATTGGGAAGGATGTGGGGAAATTGGAACTCTGATACATTGCTGGTGGTAATGTAAAATGGCACAACCACTTGGGAAAATAGTTCAGAAGTTCTCAGAAAGTTAAGCACAGGTATCATGTGACTCACTGCACCCACAGTTGGAACTTGAAAGTGGGCAGCGTAAGGATGTGGGGAGTAAGAGTAATACACAGTGCTGGCCGACTATCATTCTGCCTTCACCGAGAAAGAAACGTTTTCATGAAGTCAGCAAAGGGAGCTCCTCCAGAACCTAGGTAGTTCTCAATATTCTCTTCTATACCATGAAGATGATAATGCTGACTTCATGAGTGTGGTAGGGGGATTGGATAAGGTAACAAATGTGACAGTACTTCATGGATTATAAACCATCACATAAATGTTTCTTTTTAAGTTAAGGAGTGAGAGTATGTGCTAAAGTCATAGCAAAGAGAGAATAAAAGCTTGAGCAGAAACTTTTCTAATTCATATGGTTCCTAAGACACAAAATGAAGTCTCAATTCAATAATTAAAAGGTCCAACTTTGTGGAAGGATAAACTCCAGACTAGAGTTACTATTGGACTGTGTCTCCCAACCCTGGTTCAAGCTCTTTCCCTTCCCTGTTAGAAGCCTGCAGTCAGTCCTCTTCCCCACCTAACACTTCTACTCTTCTTCGCCCAATCTTGCTGCAGTTGGAACCCAGAAGAAAGAGGAAAAAGAAGCAGAAAAGTCTGTACTTGGCTGATGCTATTGTTGTCATTTAGCCTCTACATTCCTGAGATATAACACTTTCTCTCCTGAGAGCCTTTGTGGGTTCTATGAAGATAATTCCCCTCTCGCCCTATCACTGCCCTGAAATTCCCTTGAAAACAGCAAGTCCCTCCCTACGCCTTCCCCATTCTGGGAGAATCCTGTCATCCCTCCAGCTTCTTCCTGCCAAAGTCCATTTGCCATTCCAGGTGACCCTCTGACACAGAACCTAAGCAACCCCATGCCAGAAATCTCTCACACCTGACCCACCTCTAGTTCTTGGGAAATATTCCCCATCTTTGCCCAATAAACTTAGGACACACAGGAGGAATAGAATCTCTTCTTTGCCCAATGCAAGCCAATGGCTCACCCTTTAGATTTTGGAGGAGGAAATATGCACCAATCAACTGTGTCCCCACAAAATGCAGACAATGTATAATTAGCTGAGTGAACTCCTTAAAATCCCTCTCTCTGGGAGTGGGATGAAGAAGAAAGAACTCACACACATTTCTCCTCTTAGGTGGGAGTGAAGGGACTCACAGGGCGCCATCGCACCATTGGCTCTCTCCAAATAAATCCTCACTCTCTTATTTACCAGTCCTGATCCTTTAAAACCTTGATATGAGTGAAGGATAGAAGAATCATATGACCAGATTCTAGAAATCTTCCCCTTTGCAAGTGTTAGGTGTGGGCTGATTCCTCACTTGGAAATATGGTGTCTATTCCAATGGGTGCCAATGCAGAAACTTCTGCTTTAATAGCTGTTACTATGATAAGTTAATGTCAAAGTATTGCCTCACCATGTGCATTTTACAAGATCACTCTGTGGAGAATGGAAGTGTATTCAAAAAAACTGAGCAAAGGCAATCACAAGTACAAGATCTTTGGATTGAAATGCATCTAACTGGTTCCATAAAAAGAAAATAAAGTCAGTGCATCCATAGCCTGGTAAATGATGGGACATTGGATAGAGACAGTTAGGGACCAATCTTATGAAGCTGTCATCACCTTTTTTATTGAGATTTAATTCATATACCATAAAATTCACACTTTTAAGATACATAATTTAGTAGGTCTTAATATATTCCAAAATTGTGTACCATTGCACCTATCTAATTCTTTGAGGTATATATTTAGGAGTGCAAGCAGTGAGTCACATGATACCTGTGCCTAACTTCTGAGAACTTCTGAACTATTTTCCCAAGTGGTTGTGCCATTTACATTTCCACCAGCAATGTATGAGAGCTTCAATTTCCCCACATACTTCCCAATACTTTATGGTCTGCCTTTTTTTTATTATACTCAATCTCATGGGTATGAAGTAATATCACGTTGTAGTTTTGATTTGCATGTCCCTAGTGACTAATGATGTTCAGAATATTTTCATGTGCTTCCTGTCTTCTTTAAAGAAATGTCTATTAAATTATTTACCTATTTTTAATTCAGTTCTTTGCATTATTTTGCTGTTGTTGAGTTTTAGTTCTTTATATATTCTTTTAAAATATATTTTATTGATTATGCTATTACAGTTGTCCCATTTCTATGTCTCCTTTATTCCCCTCTGCCCTGGACCCTCCCTCCCACCATCATTCCCCGCCACCCTTAGTTCGTGTCCATGGTTTATACATATAAGTTCTTTGGTTTCTCCATTTCTTATAGTATTCTTAACTTCTCCCTGTCTATTTTCTACCTATGACTTATGCTTCTTATTCCCTGTACCTTTTCCCCTATTCTCTTCCCTCCCCCTCCCAGTTGATAACCCTCCATAAGATCTCTATTTCTGTGATTCTGTTCCTGTTCTAGTTGTTTGTTTGCTTGCTTTTAGGTTCAGTTGTTGAAAGTTGTGTTTGTTGTCATTTTACTGTTCATAGTTTTGATCTTCTTTTTCTTAGATAAGTCCATTTACTATTTCATATAATAAGGGATTGATGATGATGAACTCCTTTAACTTGACTTATCTGGGAAACACTTTATCTGCTCTTTCATTCTAAATGAAAGCTTTGCTGGATAGAGTAATGTTGGATGTAGGCCCTTGCCTTTCATGACTTGGAATACTTCTTTCCAGCCCCTTCTTGCCTGAAAGATTTCTTTTGAGCAATTAGCTCATAGCATAGTCTTATTGGAACTCCTTCTTGGGTAACTGTCTCCTTTTCTCTTTCTGCTTTTAAGATTCTCTCCTTATCTTTAATCATGGCTATTGTAATCATGATGTGCCTTGGTGTGTACTTATTTGGGTCCAACTTCTCTGGGCCTCTCTGAGCTTCCTGGACTTCATGGAAACCTATTTCCTTTGCCAGATTGGGGAAATTCTCCTTCATTATATGTTCAAATGAGTTTACAATTTCTTGCGCTCTCTCTCTTCTCCTTCTGGCACCCCTATGATTCGGATGTTCGAACATTTCAAGTTGTCCTGGAAATTCCTAAGCCTCTCCTCCTTTTTAAAAATTCTTATTTCTTCATTGTTTTGGCTGAATGTTTACGTCTTCCTTATGCTCCAAATCATTTATCTGAGTCTTGGTTTCCTTCCCTTCACTGTTGGTTCTCTGTATATTTTTCTTTATTTCACTTTGCATAGCCTTCACTTTTCCCTCCATTTTGTGACTATATTCAACAATTTCTGTGAGCATCCTGATTACCAATGTTTTGAACTCTGCATCTGATAGGTTGGCTATCTCTTCATCACTTAGTTCTATTTTTGGAGCTTTGTTCTGTTCTTCCATTTGGGCCATATTTCTTTGTTCTGGCGCATCTGTTAACATTGAAAGGGGCAGAGCTTTAAGTATTCACCAGGGTGGGGCAACGTGCATTGCTACATTGTGGCACTGTATCTGAGGGATGGGTCTGAGAGAGAACAAAGCCACTTGCTGGGCTGTCCGCCAGCTTGCAGTCACTTCCCCCACTATGCACAAGCAAATTACACCCTTCTGATGCTGACTTCCAGGTGAGTGGGTTTGTGTTTGTCCTAGGACCCTGTGGGTCTCTCCAAAAAACTCTTCTGTGAGGCTGGGAGTTCCTCCCACCAACAATCCACACAGGTTTTTGCAGCCAGAGGTTTTGAGGCTTTATTTACCCACACTGGTACCCTGGGTTGCAGTCTGTCTCGCTCCCCAGTTGTACCTCCCAGTTTATCCGCACATAATAATTGTGGGACTGCCCAGACCACCAGCTGTGGCCTCACCCACCCAGGCCCTCCAGCCACCACCTTGCCACACATCCTCTCTGCCGTGGCTGCCCTTCTCAGCCCCTCCTACCAGTCCAAATGAATATTTCTTCTTTAACTCCTTGGTTGTTGGACTTCCATACAGTTCAATTTTCTGGCAGTTCTAGTTATTTTTTCTTTTTAAGTTTTTTGTCCTTCTTCTGGTTGTGAAAGGAGGCAAAGTGTATCTGCCTACACCTCCATCTTGGCCAGAAGTCCTGTTCATAGTAATTTCTTACAATCCTTTGTATTTCTGTGGTATTGGTTGTAATTTCTTCTCTTTCATTTCTTATTTTATTCATTTTCATCCTCACTCTTTTTTTCTTGGTGAGTCTGGTTAAAGGCTTGTCAATTTTGTTTATCTTTTCAAAGAAACAGCTCCTAGCCCTGGCTGGCGTAGCTCAGTGGATTGAGCACAGGCTGCGAACCAAAGTGTCGCAGGTTCGATTCCCATCCCAGCCAGGGTACATGCCTGGGTTGCAGGCCATAACCCCCAGCAACCGCACATTGATGTTTCTCTCTCTCTCTCTCTCTCTCTCTCTCTATTTCCCTCCCTTCCCTCTCTAAAAATAAATAAATAAAATCTTTAAAAATAAATAAATAAAAGTTAAAAAAAAAAAAGAAACAGCTCCTGGAGTTTTGATTCTTTGAATTGTTCTTTTAGTCTCTATGTCATTTAATTCTGCTCTGATCTTGATTATTTCCTTCCTTCTACTCACTCGGGGCTTTGTTTGTTGTTCCTCCAGTTCCTGTAGATGTAGGGTTAGGTTGTTTATTTGAAATGTTTCTATCTTTTTTAGGTAGGCCTGTATTGCTATGAACTTCCCTCTCAGGACTGCCTTCACTGTGTCCCACTGATTTTGGACTGTTGTGTGTTCATTTTCTTTTGTTTGCAGAAACTTTTTGATTTCTTGATCTCTTTATTAACCCATTCATTGTTTAATAGCTTGATATTCAGTCTCCATGAGTTTGAATGTTCTTGAGTTTTTTTCTTGAAGTTGTTTTCTAGTTTCAAGCCCTGGTGGTCTAAGAAAATGTTTGATATGATTTCAATTTTCTTGAATTTGTTGAGGCTTGTTTTGTGTCCTATCATGTGGTCTATCTTTGAAAATGTTCCATGTGCATTTGAAAAGAATGTGTGTTTTTCTTCTTTGGGATGAAAGGTAATATGTATAATCAGTTAAGTCCATTTGATCTAGTGTATCATTCAATGCCACAATATACTTTTTGATATTTTGTTTGGAAGATCTACCCATTGTTGACAGTGGGATGTTAAAATCCTCTACTGTAAGTGTGTTATTGTCTATATCTTTCTTTAAGTCCTCTAAGATTTCCTCATATATTTGGGTGCTCCTATGCTGGGTGCATATATGTTTACAATAGTTATGTCTTCTTAACGGATTCTTCCCTTGAGTATTATGAAGTGACCTTCTGTGTCTCTTTTTATATTCTTTGTTTTGAAATCTATGTTGTCTGATACAGTATTGCCACCCTGGTGTTTTTTTTTCTTCCTGTCCATTTGCTTGGAATATTTTTTTCCAACCCTTCACTTTCAGTCTGTGTAGGCCTTTTGTTCTGAGGTGGGTCTCTTATAGGCAGCATATGTGCAGGTCATGTTTTCTTATCTATTCAGCTACCCTATGTCTTTTGATTGGAGCATTTAATCCATTTACATTTAAGGTTATTATTGGTAAGTACTTATTCATTTTCCCCTTTGTACCTGTGTTCCTCTCTCTCTCACTCCTTTTCTTCCTCTTAAAGCAGTCCCTTTAGTGTATCTTGCAATGCTGGTTTGGTAATGGTGTATTGTTTTAGCCTTCTTTTGTCTGGGAAACTCTTTATTTCACCTTTCTTTTTAATTGAGAGCCTTGCTGGGTAGAATAGTCTTGGTTGCTGGCCTTTGTTTTTCATTACTTGGAATATTTCTTGCCATTCCCTTCTGGCTTGTAGTGTTTCTGTTGAGAAGTCAGCTGCTAGCCTTATCAGAGCACCTTTGTATGTTACTTCCTATTTCTCTGCATTTACTGCCTTTAAGATTCTCTCTTTGTCTTTGAATTTTGCCATTTTAATTATGATGTGTCTTGGAGTGGGCCTACTCTTTGTTTTCCAAAAGAAGCATGGATATATGAGGATGTGATGTTTGGAGCTGTGACAGCCATTCTGGGACAATGAGGGAAAGTCAACAAAGGTCAAACCAAAACTCTGCTATTATCAAGATGCTACATTAACAAACTGAGAAACTCTTTTTCTGGGTTTTTGTTATATTGAGATTTATTAATAATCCTTATTGATAAGTCACTTTTAGTCAGGGATAATATTACTTAAAGCCAGAAGCATCCTAAAAGATACAAGGTTAGTGGTGGTGAGAAGGATGAGAACACTTTGAGACAGATTAGATGCTCAATAAATCTTTGTCAAATGAATGACCAAATTTCTCCTTTGTGTTACAGATGTTAATGAATGTAAACCACCCATTAGTATATATTGTGGAGCAAATGCTGCATGCCAGAATACTAAAGGAAGTTTCTACTGTCTCTGTGACCTTGGATATAAACTCCTCTCTGGGTATACACAGTTCATGGATTCCAGTGAGAACACTTGTCAAAGTAAGAAAATTTTTGTTTTCTTGTTGCCCTTTCCATATTTTTTATTGAGTTTAACACCAGAAAAGATTTGTTTTTGTGGTGGGTACAGAACATGTTTCTATTTCCTGGAAGAAAAAGGAAAGAGGGGAAAGAAGGAAATAAAGAAGTTAGAGAAATAATGGCAAGTGGCCTTTAGAGATAGAGGTGGCAAGGTAGTGAATGAGACAGGTTTCCTTGAATTGCAAAAAAGAGAAACTCACTTGGGTTATATTAAGAAGAAAAGATAAGTTAATGATAAGAATCCATGGATATATCTTGGACTCAAGGACTAGAACACAGCTAGACTTCTGGAATGAAATGAAACTAGGGACTCATCACCATCAGGGTGCCCCAGTCTCTGAAACTCTTTGGTGCTGATCCTGTCTTCTCTCTCCTTGCAAACTGGCTTTCTCTGCTTCCTAGTCCATAGGACAGGATGTACATACAACAGCTCCATATCTTACCATTATTATTGATCTAACCACCTAACGAGATATCACTTGACTCTCTCTTGGACCTAATTGTAAATTCTTGGAAATATACAAGTTGGCCAAGTTTAAGTCATATTTCCACCCTTGGATCTGTGTCCAGGAGGAGGTACCATGTTGTATAGGCATGACCACTCTCATGGAAACTATGTAGACAGGGAAAGTCAATACCCAAGAAATATGGGTCTTGGCAGACTTATCTATGAGGTTTGGTGACAGCTGGAATGATTAGAGAGAGAATCTTTAAAGCTTAATTCTAAGAAGCTGATTAGTAGAATAATAGTAATATATGTATTAACAGCTAAATGTTTCATTTATACTATGTACTAGGTGATACACTCAGTGCTCCACATGCATTATTTCTTTTAAAATAATCATATCAGTTAGGCACTTATATTACAGATAAAGAAACTGAGGCATCCAAAGTTAAGTAATTTGCCTAAGGTCAGCCAGCTAAGAAGCAGGTCTGCCTGTATTGAGAGCCCCTCAGCCACTTGCTGCATGGTAACATGAGTCTCAGGGAAACCAAAAAAGGGACAAAGCACTCTTTTTCTGGTGCAAAATAATAATAATAATGTTATGTCTCTTCATCAGTTAAGATCCAACCTGCAAAACCAAAACCACACTGGGTCTTTCAGACATAAATAACTGTATAGAGAGAATTAGTACTGATGTAAAAAGGGCTGAGAAGTCAAAAGGAGATTATGGGGACAACCCAGAGACTAGCAATAGCAGAAATATGCAGCCATCCTAGACCTAAAGGGACAGGGGAGGAAGTAGTATTTCTAGAGCCCAAGACTTGAGTCCATCTAATGAGGTAGAAACTTGAAAAAGATGATGCAACCAATGCTGGAGCTACCACAAGCAACAGAAAGGGTAGGAAGCTCCCTGGCTTCTCCCTTTCTCCCCTCTCCAGTATTCTATAAGTAGTTCCCATTGGCTGAACACATCAGGAAACTACAGGGCAAGAGATCCTGGCAAATGGAATTCTTTATGAAACACAACAGAGCATGGGAAAATTAGGACCTGAGGAAAGATTAGCAACTGTTGGGCAATCAATGTTTTCCAAGAATATGAAGTCTTTTCCTTATTTATTCCTAAATAAGTTAAGGAGAAAGCCTGGTGAGACTTACTATAGAGATAGTTCATTTCAAACTGTGTTGTTTTAATATGGCCAGTGGGTCTTAGTCTATGAGAGAGTGGAGGGATCATTCCCTTCTTTCCAAGCTTTCTTTTAAAAAAATGAAGCTTACCTATGACTCTCAGTTTTTAATTCCATGTTCTTAAATTTGTTCTATTCCATTTTTTTTTTGCTTCCCTTATGTAGATTCTCAATTTTTATTTTCATTGTTGAGATTTGTGGTCACTGGGTCCATATCTGAGCCAAGGTTTATAGCTGATGGCTCCAATTCAAGGGTGGAGAAAACATAATTGGTCATGTTATGAGAGAAGCTGGCTGAAGCATGTCTCAAAGTGTTCTCATCCTTCTCACCACCACTAATCCATTAGGATACTTCTGGCTTTAAGTAATATTATCCCTGACTAAAAGTGACTTATCAATAGAGATTATTAATAAATCTCAATATAACAAAAACCCAGAAAAAGAGTTTCTCAGCTTGTTAATGTTGCATCTTGATAATAGCAGAGTTTTGGTTTGACCTTTGTTGACTTTCCCTCATTGTCCCAGAATGGCTGTCACAGCTCCAAACATCACATCCTCATACATCCATGCCTCTTTTTTAAAACAAAGAGTAGGAGATTGGTACTCCTCAGCCTCTCTTTCTTTTCACTGTAAAGAAAAATTGTCCTAACAAGCCTTCCAGCAGACTTGTCTTTGTTTGGCTAGGCCTGGATCAAATTCTTATCTGTAAACAAGTTCCTAGAGTAACAGAATGAGATCTCAGAACTTGACCCTGATATTAGGGACAGTTTCAACTTCACCCACCTAAATAAAATAGCTGTTCTAATAGCAAAGAAGAAAAGGGACATGGCTGCTGGGTAGGAATTATTCACAGTGTGGCATGACCTCTAACTTTCAGATCCCTTTAATGGTGCATCTACACCAACATTAGGTCCTGGAATTGATAATGGGAAAGAGAAAACTTCTCTTGAAAAGTCTCATAGATAATCTTGAGAGGAGAAAACAGTACATGTCTCTAGAATGGAGCCTTTCTCCTTAGATTGGTGGAACAGTGAAAGTGAAGCTCCAAAAAGATTGTTCCCCTGTGCTCCTCTCCACCCAGCATTAAGGCCATGAGTTTGGAAACCCCACAGCAGAGAGCTTGGAGGAAGGTCGGCAAGGGTCATCGCATCCCAACCACCCACCTCATTCCAGATCCTCTGAGTAGCTCAAGGTTGTGAGCAGCACGAGCATGCAGCTAGAAGTCAGGAAGCCTCACATCTTAATTATTGGGCCAACTCTGCCCCAATGACATTCACACTAGGTCAGTTCTGTGGTTCCTTCCAACAGGGGTGTCCAAGACTCCATGATCCTTCTGCAAAGCCAAGGGCCTCAGAACAAAAAGGAATAGTTATATAAAAAAAGGAAACAATACTATTCAGGGGCCTAAGATCCAAACTTTCTAAAAAGATTAACAAGGTCTCTCTGATCAAACTGGAGGACAGTAGAAAAAGGCTCTCTAGTGGCAAAGACCCAATGGGAAGTGGGATTCCTTTTCCAGGAGCCTGCACTGGATTGTAGAGCCCCAGCTATTCTGCACAGGGTTCTCAGGTAGCTCAGGGGCCACAGGTGGGCATCACTGAGGATGCCAGTGAGTGACTGGAAGTGCTTGTGCCCATTCTGATTCCTGTGTTTGCAGTTCCTGCACTTATGGAGTGGTATGAGCTTTGTGCTTAAACAAATACAGATTCAGTCTAGGCTCTACCACCTACTCCCCACATGACTGTAGACAATTCCTTAACCCTATGACCCCATGCCTGTTTTATCTGCTTAAATGATACAACAACAGAACCTGACTCACACAGTTGTTACAAGGATTAAATGAAATAATGCATGTGAGGTGGCATTCAACAAGTGGTAACTGGAATGATATTTCTGCATGGTGCATTCTTTTGTCAGATGCATCACATCTTCAAGAGACAACATAGCAGAGTGGTTAGGAACACTTTTCAGGGACTCTAGAGCCAGATCCCAGAAGAATGCCCTTGGGTACATACTAAGTTTTCTCCACCCTATCTGTTAAAATGGAGCTAACAATCCACATCTTCACAGAGGATATGCCTCACAGGGCTGTTGCAAGAATTAAATGAGATACTACCTTTTAAAGTCCTTAAGACAGTATCTAAAAGTGTTTCTAATATTGTTAGCATTGCATCTGATTCAATAAATAAATAAGTAAATAAATAAACAAAAATGTTTAAAACCCCTGCTCCACCTAGAAAGGTCATGGGAAAGTTCAGATAGCTCTTAAAGAGAGCTACATACATATCAAGGGTATGTATATTTTCTACCAATGGGAGGCACTCCTGCCAGATTCAAGCCCATAATCTTGTATATGCCCAGGTCCCAAGCTGGAGTCCACACCAGGGTCTAGGTGCTGAATGAGCCCCAAATGTGAGACTGGGGTCCAAGTGGGGAAGATGAGAAGAAAGAACATAAGGTGAATAGGAAGGGCTGCTGTGCCCTAAGTCCACTGCTGGCTCAGACAGTCAATAAATATTTGTTGAATGAATGAATAAATGAATGAGTTGCATTGAACCCAAAGTGAATGAGTACAGGCAGACAGGAGATTCCACCTGGCTTCTGGAGTTAATCTGTTAAACTCACCCTATTTTACAAGGAAGAGAAAAGCCTTTGGTTATTTTCCTAATTGTAAGAACTCTTCACAGTTCTATTATGTGGACTGAGTCTACCTGGCATTAATTGTCACCAAGGTTGGTAGGTCCAAGAAGGCATCCATGAAAAAATATGCAGCATTCAGCCAAAAGTAAATTTTTCTACAACAAATATAATTTCCAATGACAGACACATTCTGAACTCAGAATTATAAGTCAGAGTTCTTGCACTCTTTTTTTAATTTATTTTTCAATTACAGTTGACATACAATAGTATATTAGTTTCAGGTATATGGCATAGCAGTTAGACGTTTATATAACTTACAAAGCAATCCCCTCGATAAGTCTAGTACCCACCTGGACCATGCACAGTTATTACAACATTATTGACTATATGCCCTATGCTGTACTTTACACCCCTGTGACTATTTTGTAATGCCAATATGTACTCCTTAATTCCTCCACCTTTTTCACCCTGCCCCTCAACACCCTCCTCCCCCGCCATTTGGCAACCTTCAGTTTGTTCTCTATATCTATGAGTTTAGTTCTGTTTTTTCTGTTCATTTATTTTGCTTTTTTAGACTCCACATATAAGTGAAATCATATGGTATGTATCTTTCTGTCTGATTTATTTCACTTAGGAAAATACACTCTATGTCCATCCATATTGTCACAAATGGCAAGATTCCATTCTTTTGTATGGCTCAGTGATATTCCAAGTTCTTGCACTTTAAGACAAAAGCTTCAATATTACAAGAAAGCTCTTTACCCTTTTTAGCAAATAGACTCAGCTGAAAACCAAGATAGAGCCTTGGTATAGATTTAACCTCAGTTTGATGGAAACAGGTATGTAACATTTGCTGTCCTTCCCTCATCTTTCTAAAACATGTGGCTGTCTTCACAAAGCACAATAAACAACACACAAGTTATCTGCTATTAACAGCAGATAACTAAAACAGACATTCCTGTTTTCATTCTAATTCCCAGACAAACTGAATTTAAAAACCTGAGGTATTTAATTTTCTGTGTCCTTGGCCATTTCAGTTATAATGTCCAGCCAAGACCGAATTAAAGAATTTGCAGCTTACATTTTTCTGCTTCCTCTATGATAGGATACCTCCATCATAGCAATATTGGCATTTCAGGTTTGGTAATTCTTTGTGGTCGAGAGCCATCCTGTGCACCGTGAAGTGTTAAGCAACATCCCAGACCTCCGCCCCCAGATGCCAGTAGCATCCCCCACCCCATACTGTAACCACCAAAAATGTCTTCAGCCATTGTCAGAGTCCTTTGGGGACAAAAATCACACCCAGTACAAGAATATTACTCTACTCCATCCATAGCTAAGAATTTGAACTCTGATCCACCCCAAAGCAAAAAAGCTTAGCAGTGAACACAATTAGTTTGACTTCACATGTTCTAGATTCAAGTTACCCACCTTACCTGCCCACCTCTCCACCCTTTCCCTCTCAGTTCCAGTACTAATTTCCCATGATGTCTTTTGCAGAGATCACCTCCTCAAACACAACCAAAGGCAATACAGAGGTGAGTGGAAGCTGAGTCCTGGAACCTAGCCCGGTAACAAATATCTACAAAGCTCAAACTAGCAAATGGTGTTAGGAATTATATATTATATGTGTACTACATATTATATATTGATACATCATATAAATGATATATAGGGCCCAGCACAAATAATGCCCCTTTATATTATAGAATCTTTTATTACAAAATCATAAGCATGTAATTCCGTAACATAACTCAAGCACACCACATGACATTTTAGATGAAATGTTCAAATTAAAACTATAAATTATTACTCCCATATTACCCTACCAACCACACTCAAGCAGGCGTTACTTCTGCCAGACCCTGTATATTTTAATATATAATGTATGTTGATTACCATGTAATGTATATTAACTACAACATAATATATAATGTGAAATTATTTATATTATATATAACTATGAGATATATACATATTATAGTTGACCCTTGAACAGCATGGTGACACTGACCTCCCTATGCAGTTGAAAAGATTTTATTTATTTATTTTTAGAGAGGGGAGGGAGAAAAAGAGGGAGAGAAGCATCAATGTGTGGTTGCCTCTCACTCACCCCCTACTGGGGACCTGGCCTGCAACCCAGGCATGTGCCCTGATTGGGAATTAAACTGGTGACCCTTTGGTTCACAGGCCAGCACTCAATCCACTGAGCCACACCAGCCAGGGCCCTTGTATGACTTTTGACTCCCCCAAAATTTAGCTACTAATAGCCTGCTCTTGACCAAAAGCCTTACTGATAACATAAGTAGTCAATTAACACATATTTTGTATGTTATATGTATCATATACTGTATTCTCACAATAATGTAAGTTAGAAAAAAGAAAATGTTACTAAGAAAATTATAAGGAAGAAAATATACATTTGCAGTATTTACTGAAAAAATTCACACATAAGTGGCCCTGGTCAGGTGACTAAGTTGGTTGGAGTATTGTCCCAAACACCAAAAGGTTGTGGGTTCGATCCCTGCTCAGGACACATAATTTGGTTTCGGGTTCAAGCCTTGGTTGGAGCATGTACAAAAGGCAACCGATTAATGTTTCTCTTTGACATCAGTGTTCCTCTCTCTTCTCTCTCTCCTCCTTCTTCTCTCTCTCAAAATCAGCAAACATATCCTCAGTGATGATAAAATTCACATATAAGTGGACCCTTGCAGTTCAAACCACATTGTTCAAGGATCAACTGTGTACCACTATATTTATCACTATATGTATGTCCCTATATATCTCACTATAGAGATAGATAGATAGAAAGAAAGAAAAAGAGAGTATGCCTGTGTGCACTGACCCCTAAAGACAAGACCTATCCCAGATGAAGAAGTTAGACTAAACAAGGCTGTATTAGGATATGCTGAGCTGCTGCTACAAAGGGGCCCAAATATTCAATGGCTTTTAAAAGATAGATCTTTATTGCTTTCTGAGTTAACAGTCCAGAAGTGAGCAGGCTAGGTTGGTGAAGGGATTCTACTCTGTGAGGCCATTAAGTGCGCCCACATTCTTTCCATACTATTGCTTCACCCTGGCATCTTGCCCTCAACTGCATGGTCAAAGCTGGGTTGCTGCAACATTGCATTCTTACCAGTAGGGAGAGGGGAGAGGGGGTCCAGGGCAAGTTGTCTGGATGCAAGGTGAAGAGGGGAGAGTGGAGAGACAGGATGTAACTACGCAATCACTCTATAATATGTTAATAAGGATGTGTTTGTTTCTTAGCGACATGTCTTTTTTTAATTTTTCAATTACTGTTCACATACAACGTTATATTAGTTTCAGGTGTACAGCATAGTGATTAGATTTTACATAACTTCTGAAGTAATCACCCCTACAAATCTAGTACTTATTTGACACCATACATAGTTATTATAATATTGTTGACTGTGTTCCCTATGCTGTACTTTACATCCCTGTGACTGTTTTTAGAACTGGCAATTTGTGCATCTTAATCCCTTTCCCTTTTTTCTACCTGTTCTGCAGCCCCCCTCCCATCTGGCAACCCTCAAAATGTTCTCAAAAAGTTTGCTTTCATTTTGTTTGTTTATTTTGTTTTTTAGATTCCACATATAAGTGAAATCACATGGTATTTGTCTTTCTCTGTCTAACTTATTTCATTTAGCATAAAACCCTTTAGATTCATCCATGTTGTCATGAATGGCAAGATCTCATTCTTTTATATGGGTAAATAATATTCCATTATAGGCACCACATCTTTATCTAATCATCTGTTGATGGGCATTTATGTGGCTTCCACATATTGATAATAATGCTGCAATGAACATAGGGCTGCATATGTTTTTTTCACATTAGTATTTTGGATTTCTTCAGATAAACACCCAAAAGGGGAATTTCTGGGTCGTGTTTTTAATTTTTTGAGAAACCTCCATACCGTTTCACATAGTGGCTGAACTAATTTACAATCCCACCAACGATGCATGAGGGTTCCCTTTGTTCGGAAACATTTCTTTTTTTATATTACAGATTTTATTTATTTATTTTTAAAGAGAGGGGAAGGGAAAGACAAAAAGGGGGAAAGAAACATCAGTGTGGGTTGCCTCTCTCACACCCCCTACTGGGGACATGGCTCACAACTCAGGCATGTGCCCTGACTGGGAATCGAACCAGTGACCCTTTGTTTTACAGGCTGGCACTCAATCCACTGAGCCACACCAGTCAGAGCAGAGACATATCTTAAAGTGACAACCCAGACATTGCACATACGGCCAAACCTAACTGCAAGGGAGGCTGGAACAATATGGTCTTTTATCTGAGCAACATGACCCAGATAAAAGTTGAGGAATTCATTCAATTACTGAAAGGAATATGGGGAAATGGATATTGCAGGACAGTTAAAAGAGAGAAAGATACCAAGAAAGTACCTGTTAGGTAGCAATCATTTAGAGTCCATAAACCAACTCCAAATTTTAACAAAAAGAATCCACGTCTGTGAGAACATCTGGTTGAGTAGAAGGACTTGTTCCTATCTCTGCGATGGTTCACACCTTGCCACCCAGTCTCCAGGCCTCCAGGTACATGCTCTCCTCTCCACCTGAAACTGCTTTCCCCAGTTCATAACCTGGTTGGCTCCCTGCTACTCTTCTTTGCTCAAGACTCAATTTAGATGTCACATTCTCCTGGTCAGCCTCCCTAAACAACTGCCATTTGAGTTAACATCCCCTTCCTCACGTTCTTATGGTGGGAGGCTATGGAGGCTAGAAGGGCAGTCAGGGGTTCAAATCCTAGCACTGCAGTGGCAAGTGACATAAGCAAAAGACACAACTTCTCCTGTTAGAGTTCTCCAGGGAAATAGAAGCAATAGGAGATATAAATATAAAGAGATTTATTATAAGAAGTTGGCTCATGTGATTATAGAGGCTGACAGGTCCCAAAATCTGCAGTTGGCAAACTGGGGACCCAGAAGAGTGGATGGTATAGTCCCATCCTGAGATGGGACATGAAAACAGGAAGGCCTAAAGGCTTAAAATATAGGGAGAGTTGATGGATGTTTCCGTTTGAGTCTGAAGATAAAACAAAAACAAAAACCAATGTTCTAGACCAAAGCAGTTGGGAAGGGGGGTCAGGCAGGAGGAGATTCCCTGTTCTATTCAGGCCCCCACCTGACTGGATGAGGCCTACCCACCTGAGGGAGGGCCATCCACTCTACTCAGTCTACCCATTCAAATGTTCATTTCATCCAGAAACAGCTGGAATATGCACCTCCAAATATCTGTGCACACCATGGCCCAGTCAAGCTGACACATAAAGTGAGCCATCACACTCTCCAGAGTCTGAACAACGAGGGTAATGATGGCACCCACCTCCTCGGATAGGCGGGAAGTTTAAATGAAATCACGTTGTGTGGAGCACTCAGCACAGTGAGTGGTCCAGAGGACACATTCCATCCACGTCATGTATGTCACTTCCAGCAGACCAACAACATTGACACAGGGGTTGTCACCCCAGAAACTGTGAGCTTCTTGAGGACAGGAAAACCATGCCCTCATTGGTAGTTCAACAAATGTTAATTGAAGTAATAAATAATCATGTAATCAAAAGGAACATTTCATTATAAAATTTATTGCCAGGTTCCTCAAAAAGCTAGCCATAAAATTACCATGTGCCCCAGCAACTCCACTTCTATGACTACACCTAAGAGAATTGAAAGTAGGGATTCAAGTACATATTTGCACATCCATGTCACATCCAATATCACAGCAGCACTGTTCACAATGGCCAAGAGGTAGAGACGACCCAGATGTCCCCAACAGATGAATGGATAAACAAATGTTGCCCAGTGGAATGTTATTCAGCCATAAAAAAATGAAGTTCTAACATATGTTATAATGTGGGTGAACCTTGAAAACCTGCTGAAAAAACAAAGCACAAAAGTTCATATAATATATGATTCCATTTATATAAAATTTCTAGAATAGACAAATCCACAGAAATAGAAAGCAGATACTTCAGGGTGATGAAAATGTTTTGGAACTAGATGGAGGTGGTGGTTGCACAACATGGTGAGTGTACTAAGTTGCCACTGAATTGTATACTTTAAAGGGGTGGACTTGATGTATGTGCATTTCACCTCAATTAAAAAAAAAAAAACTTGGCCAGGAAAAGGTAGGTGCAAATTCATCGTGTACTACAATGGCAATTCTGAAGGGCCAGTACTTTGGTGCCTACTCTGTACAAACAGGTTTAAACCAAGATTTCAGCTGTCATTTCAAGGAGCAAGATCTTCTGTATCAGGCAGAGAGGGGGAGCAGATCAGCATTTCCATTAAGACTCAGACTGAAAGAACAATACATTAAGAAGGTTTATGACCTGGCTGGTGTGGCCCAGTGGACTGAGTGGCAGCCTGCAAACCAAAGGGTTGCAGGTTCAATTCCTAGTCAGGGCACATTTCTGGGTTGTGGGACAAGTCCCCAGTAGGGGGTGCATGAGAGGCAAGCACACACTGATGTTTTTCTCCCTCTCTTTCTCCTTCCCTTACTCTCGATCTAAGAATAAATAAATAAAATCTTTTCTTTAAAAAAAAAGGTTTATGAGAGCCCCAGTTCTAAATGTTCCTCTTGCCCTTAAGTAATCACTCTGCTTCAAGTTCTTTGGCACGATAGCATTTTCCTCTTCAGACCATTCATTCACCCAGTAGATGAATACTTATTGAGCACCTACTATTTGCCAAGGACTATTTTAGGTGCTGAGAAACAGCTATGAACAAAACAAAGTCCCTATCCTGATGAGATTCAGCATCTAGTACTTAGAAAGATGCACAAACCCCCCAGGCAGCTTGTTAAAGTGCAGGTGGGGATTTAGTACACCAAGAATCTGCCTTTCTTTCTTTCTTTTTATTTATTTTAATTGTTGTTGCAGTACAATTTTCTATCTTTTACTCCCATCCCAACCCACCCACCCAAGCCCTTCCCTCCTCCCTCCCATTTCTACCCACCCCTAGTTTTTATCCATGTGTTCTTTACACTTGTTCCTGTAAACCCTTCCCCTTTTCCCCTGAAATTCCCCTGAAATTCCCTCTCCTCTCCCCTAGAATCTGCCTTTCTATCATGCTCCCAGGTGAGACTAATGCTGCTGGTCCGAGGACCACACTTGAGTACAAGGATTTGGGGATCAGCATAAAAATAGTCTTTTAACTCAGTTTTGTCTCACTTTTTAAAATTGTTGTTCAGTTACAGTTGTCCCATCTTTTCCCCCCCCTCCCCAGTGCTCTCCCCTGTCCCATCCCCTCACCTCCATAGTCAATCAACCCCCATTGTTCATGCCCAGAAGTCCTCTATTCATGTTTCAGTTTTTAGAGCTCCCCCTTGGCCCCTATTCTTCTCCACCCACTGGCCCATCTCTTTGCTATCCTTCATAGACGAATGCCTTTATTTTAAAAGGCTAATTAGCAGGGTGAGGGGGTAGTAAAGGGTAGAGGAAGTTGAGTATTATGGTGATGGAAGGAGATTTGGCTGTGAGGGATGGGTACACAATGCAATATACAGATGATGTATCATAGAATTGTACACTTGAAACATAAAATTTCACCTACCAGTGTCACCCCAATAAACTTAATTGTAAAAAAATAAAAGTAAAAAGGCAAATTAGAGTGCCTTCTGAGCTATGTCTACCTCAGAGTTTCTCTTTGTATAGTATTACTGTGTTACAATACTCAAGACTGGGCCATTCTTTGCTGTGGAATTGTCCCGTGCATTACAGGATGTTGAGCAACTTATCTGGCCTCCACCCACTGGATACCACAAGCACCCCTCAGGGGTGACGATCATAAATGTCTCCAGACTTTACCAAATGTCCCCATTGAGGGTCAACATTGCCCAGGTTGAGGACTACTGGTCTATTTCTAGCAAACTTACCCCTTCACCGTTGGTAAAAGAAGTTAGCAATAATTAATCCTTACCCTGTGTTTACCAGGCACAGACATGCAGCATCTCTTAACTCATTTAATCTTGCCAAAAACTTTATTGGGTCCTTTTATTGTTCCCTCATAAGGTAGGGAAACTAAGGTACAGAGTGATTGAGTGTCCCAAGGTAACACAGCCAGTGAATGTAGAGTCAGGATTCGAACTGGGTCCCCTGGCTTCAGAGCCTGCTTTCTTGTGCTTTCTACTGTTCCTCGGGATTGTGGGGACCTATAAGAGCAGATGATGATGATGATGATGATGATGATGATGATGACAACGACGATTAATATCTTTAAAGCTACAACGGTTTGCTGAAGATTTGGAGTCACTGCTCACCAACAACACTCTGTGGGGAATTGAAGAAAAGAGAGAAGTTGCATCCAATGTCACAGCTATTCTGCAGATGGTGGAATCAACTGTTCTAGAAACTGTCTTGAAAGCCCCAGACCAAGAAATCCAGAAAATTCAAAACAGTGCTGTGGGTAAGGAGACAATAAGACCTGATACCCACAGGACAGGGATGGGGTGCTGATCACTAGCTGGGGTCTGGATTAAGCAATTAGAAAAATATGTAAATACACTGCATGGGTCTATTTATATAAAATGCAAGAAAATGCAAACTAATCTATAGTGACAGGGAGAGGTGGGTAGAAGGGTGAAAATTTGGGAAACTTGGGGGTCATGGAAATGCTCACTACCCTGATTATGGTGGTGGTTGTACAGGTGAATACACCAATAAGACTCATCAATTGTACATGTTGATGTACAATCAATTACAACTCCAGAGAGCTGTTAAAAAAAAAAAAGACTGTCAGTAGTTTTCAATCCCAGTGAGTCTGGGATTTGGGCTTAAAAATAGTTTTTTAATCTAGTGCCTGCATAATCTAGTGGCACATGTTAGAAGAAACATCTTACTACATATTTTAAAAATGAAAATCCTTTTGCCCTAACCAGGTGTCTCACCTCATTGGGGTGTCGTCCCATACACCAAAGTGTTATGGGTTCAATTCTGGTCTGGGCACACACCTGGATTTCAGGTTCAGTCCTGGTCGGAGTGCATTCAGGAGGCAATCAATCAATATTTCGCTCTCACATTGATGTCTCTCTCTCCATCTCTCCCCCTTCCTCTCTCTCTAAAATCAATGAACATGTCCTCTGGTGAGAATTTTTAAAAGGTGAAAATCCTTTTATTGCACTTGTCATACATGTCACATGACCATATGAGGTGACGTTAGTTAGCTTGACTGTGATCATCATTTCATTAGGTATATGCATGTAAAATCATATTGTACACTTTAAAAACACAATTTTTATTTAAAAAAGACAAAATGCCATAGCAAAACGAAGTATTAATTTTTTAATTAGGAAAAAACATCAACAAAACTGTATTCAGACCAGCCCAATCAGCCCACAATGCCGTCTTCCAGTCCTGTGCCTGGTGAGGCGCCTGCTTGATGAAGAAACATGTGTTTGTTATGTATGTGGCTTTTACATACCATTGCACACCCGCTTCATCACTCCTCATCTCACTAACATCTCTCCATGTAACCTGTGTTCAGCATCATTACCTACGTTATTGTCTTCAAGTGGCTTACAGGCTTGCATTGTATGAAAGTGAACACATAATTTATTTTCCTGTTCTAGGAAATGGGGGTTTTTGCCAAACAACCCTGTGATAAAGACCACTAAAAATTTATCTGTATGTATTTGTTAGGTATTTTCTTAGGATAAATTCATACAGGAGGAGTTGTTAAGTCAAGAAGAAAAAACATTTCAGACTTTTGATACATATCACTATTTTGGCCTCCAGAAATGTGTGCTGTGCTTTTATTCAGCTCAAGGAAACCAACGGACTGGTGTCTGCCTAACTAACCATTCTTATTTTACCAACCTGGATGATAAAATATGCTCTATAAAAGTAATAATAATAAAAATTAATTCCAAAGATAAAATTAAATCTAGTGCCTAACCATCTTGGGAAACTGGAATCGGACACTCTCATTCTAAATTAAATCATTTTTCAAATTACAGGTAACACTCACCTTTCCTGATTTTGCCAGGTTCTAATTGGCTGATCAATATCTAGTGCCCTTACCTAATTGGGCTTCAGTCTCCTCATCTATAAAATGGGGTATTAGTAGTCCCTACAATGTACTTAGATCCAGGGCTGATAACTACAATTTTGATTATTTTATTTTCCATCTGTTATTATGAAATTTTATTTAAGTAGTATTCTTTTTTTATATTCCTATAATGGTATCATTCTTTGTTATTCTGTTACTTGCCTCATTTAACTTTTTAAACATATACAAAAGGGGACATAATTAACACCCTACTGCATCCATCACCAATTTCCAACTCATGCAGCCAGTCTTCTTTTTAAGCTAAATATTTTCATAAGCTTGTTTCTTCCTTGTAATTCTTCCATGACATACAAGGGCCCTTAATTTCTGAACTAAAGGTTCCTCACCTGAATAATGGCCCCTCATGGGGTTATATGAGGCTGCCAGAAGATGACATGGTATAAAGCTCTTAGCCCAGTGCCTGGCACCACCTACACATCCAGTAAATGTGGCCCATTCATGTTGCTGTGCACATTTTTAAAGGTTATAATAACAGTAAACTTGCCCAATGCTTTTCTCACCAGCTATTGAAAGTCGAGTTGTTACAGACAATTGCTCCAAGGAAAGAAAGATCTTCAACCTCAACGTCCAAATGAACTCACTGGACATTGATTGCAATGACATCATCCAGAGAAACATACAAGGTATATGTGGTGACTGCATTCAGAATCCCTAAGACACACAGCAGTATCACTGTGTGAGTCATGAGGAAACTTCCCAACAGGCTCCTACCTGATAGGTCTGTTACCCTAAGACTGTGTCATTTGAGACTTTTCCTTTAAAAAAAAAAAGGCATCTTCCCAGAGCAGAAGCTTTCTATTCTTCAGCATGGAAGAGACTTCTTTGAAATTTGGGTGCTATTCTGTCCATATCTCACTTGGGTTCACCCAAAAGCAGTTTCTAGGAATTGTAAGGGGTTCCAGTGTAAGGAGTTTGTTCAGGAGGTGATCCCAGGAAGCAGCAGTAAGTGTGTTCAGGGTTCCTCAGAGAAACAAAACCAACTGAATGTGTGTGTGGAGAGAGACAGAGACAGGTTTCAAGGAACTGGCTCATATGATGGTGGAGGCTGCCAAATCTGAAATGTAGCCAGGGAAGAGCTGAGGATGTAGCTCAAGTCCACAGACTGTCTGGAGACAGGATTTCCTCTTCCTCAAGGGTGGTCAGTCTTTTCCTTAAGAACTTCATCTGATCGGATGAGACACACCCAGATGATGGAGGATGAGCTGCTTCACTCAAAGTCTAACTATTTAAATGTTCTTCTCAAGGCCCATCCACACTGCTGCAGATGGCTGAGTAGTATTCCATTGTATGGATGTACCACATCTTTGTTATCCATGAATGGACCTTAAGAATATCATGCTAAGCAAAATAAGTCAGTCAGAGAAAGCTAAGAACCATTCGATTTCAGTCATATGTGGAACATAAAAGTGAAACTCATAGACACAGACAATAGTATGGTGGTGACTAGAGGGAAGGGAAGGGGGTGGTAAAAAGTAAAGGGGGTCAAATATATGGTAATGGAAGGTGATTTGACTTTGGGTGGTGGGCACACAATGCAATGTATTCATGTACCATACAAATGTACACTTGGAACCTATATAATCTTATTAACAACCAATGTTACCCCAATCAATTTAATTTAAAAATAAAATAAACAAGCTATCACTATAAAAATTCAAGCAAAAATATTTTTTTAAATATGCAAATAAGCCCTGGCTGGCGTAGCTCAGTGGATTGAGCGCGGGCTGGGAACCAAAGTGTCCCAGGTTCGATTCCCAGCCAGGGTACATGCCTGGGTTGCAGGCCATAACCCCCAGCAACTGCACATTGATGTTCCTCTCTCTCTCTATCTCCCTCCCTTCCCTCTCTAAAAATAAATAAATAAAATCTTTTTTAAAAATATGCAAATAAATAAATGTTTATCTCATTTAAACTCATCTAAAAAATACCTTCACAGCAACATCCAGACTGCTGTTTGACCAAATATCTGCATGCCATGGCCTTGCCATGGTGACACATAAAATTACCACCCCAGCTGGGGAAAGAGGAAGTGAGGAAAGAAAAGGCAGTTGGCACAGGCGTTGTTCTAATGTGTTAGAACAGCAGGTTACTGCCAGTGGTAACCGGAGCTCAGTCCCACTGAGTTAGCCCACTCAAGGAGAGGGAATTGGCCCATTTATCCACCTGCTCTGATTTTCATCACCAGATCAGGGCCCATCTGGGTAGTTAACTTCCAGAGCCTTCCAGTCTGCCCTGGGTGCAGGTCAAACATTCACTTGGGGAAAGCTTCCAGGCGGAGTCTCAGCTACTTGCAGTAGGATCCATCAGCATGTAAAGAAAGCAGAGTGCACCTGCTACAGCCTGCACACAAGGAGCAGATTTTTACTATCATTTACTATCATTACCAGCCTCTCTGATTTAATTTGAGGGAGAGGCAAGCAATGAATTCAGCTTTATTTGTATCATATTGTCTAGTCACTTTTTTCTTTTTTCCTTTTTTAATTACAATTGACATTCAGGATTATATTAGTTTTAGGTGTACAGCATAGTGGTTAGACATTTATATAACTTACAAAGTGATCCCCCCATAAGTCTAGTATCCACATGACCACACATAGTTATTACAATATTATTGACTATATTGCCTGTGCTGGACTTTACATCTCTGTGACTATTTTGGGTCTTTTAAAAGATTTTATTTATTTATTCTCAGAGAGAAGAGAAAGGAAGGAGAAAAGGAGGAAGAGAAACATCAATGTGGATGCCTCTCACTCACCCCCTACTGGGGACCTGGCCTGCAACCCAGGCATGTGCCCTGACTGGAAATTGAACTGGCAACCCTTTGGTTCACAGGCCAGCACTCAATCCACTGAGCCACACCACCCAGGGCCCCTGTGGCTATTTTGTAACTGCCAAGACTCTCTGATTTTTTTTTAAAGAGAAACCAAAAATTAGGTTATTTGCATGAAAACCTCTGATCTTTAAATTTGGCAAGAATACATTTACCCTAACTGCCATATAGCTAAAACCACTATAACATGATAAATAGGGCCTTGAAATCCAATCACGTAAACATGGGTAAAGTTGTCTGTACTATTCATCAACAATCCCAAAGGAAAGACAGTAAAACACAGACAACAAACCACTCTCTAATCTGAGGAAACCTCATGAGACAATTAGTTCCTGTCACTTTCTCTCCTCCCACAAGAAGATTAAGAATTTGAATCTGCCTCCATTTGAGAAGGGGCCAGGCGGAGGAGGAAAGCCAACTTCCAACCACAAAATTTCACAATTATATTGTCACTGTGTTCGTCTGTAACTCACAATTCGTAGAGAGTGTGCAAGACTTCACAGTGCGGACTAAACAAATTACGTCTTCAACCCAGTTTGCTCCTTGGTCACATGTCAGGGTGCTGGGGGCCAGGATTTCAACATATGGATTCAGGAGGACACAGCTCAGCCTCTAACAACTATCTGAGCTGAATTGTTTAAATAAATTACAGACATCGCAGTGTGATTCCATGTCCTCTGAGGAGTACCTGGCATAGCCATGCCCAGCAGCAGACTATTTATCACACCCTAATGGGCCCTGCATCTCACCCCCAAGCATGTGCATTAGCTGTTTCTCTGCTGCGAATGCCAACCATCACTTCGCTGGGTGAACTTTGTTCTTTTAACACAGCTCAACTTTCACTTCTGTGATTCCTCACAGGACTGCCCACTTCCCTCAGAGCACCCAAGTCAGGCCCTCCCTCCTCTGTGCCACTGCACCACCACCCCCAGCATCCTGAACTGGCCTTATCGTCCTGTCTCCTCCACTGCACTCTGATCCCTTTCAGGTCGGGAACACAAATTCTTTCCCTATAGGCATCATACATGGAGAATAATAGCAAGTGCTCATCGAATTAAATCCACATTTAGGCCGAAGCCTTAATGTTACTAATGAGAGAAAAGAATCCATTGGTGAGTGCATGACAAGCTCACAGAAGGACATTTCTCTGCCCTCAGGTTGTGCAATCCCCAGTTGTGACAACCAAAAATGCCTCCAGGCATTGCCTGGTGTCCCCTAATGGGGCAGAATCACCCTCAATTGGGAACTGCTAGTCTACAACAACCTTGGAATCTATCTCCAGAGACCATTTTAAGATTGAAAGGGAATGCTATTAAATTACACCAGGTGTGAACTGGGGCTATGTAGGTAATTGGAGATGTGACACACCCTCTCCCTCCACCACCCCCACCCCCACCACCAATAAACCATCTCACAGCGCAAACCCACAAGGCCAGGCAAACCAACCTTGGAAACCTCTACAGCCCCTTTCCTCTTTCCTGCTTGTGATTTGCTCTTACAGCAGAATATTTCAGCTTAAAAATAAACAGTTTCTAAGTATAAGAACAGGCAGATATACCACCTGCTGGTTTTCCAACCACCTACCAGTGTTTCATTCTGACCACAGAAATTGCCATTAACTTAGAGAAACAGAAGTGGCTCTCTTACTTCTGACCAGTGGAGTGAGGCCAGAGGGGCCTGATCAGAGACACTGCACAGCTAAGTGGCAAAGCTGAAACCCAGAACCCCAGCTCTTGCCCCTAGACTCTTAACTACTTGCTATATATGGCCTCTTTGTCATGTGGAATTCTCAGCATCCACAAAGAATGGTGAAAACTTACTGATGTGGAAATATGTTTATAATATTATCAACTAGATGGATAGATAGATAGATAGATTGATTGATAGATAGAAGATAGATAATCTGTGTTACTTTGCTAGGACTGTCATAGCAAAATACCAGAGTGGGTGGCTTAAACAAGAGAAATTTATTGTTTCCCAGTTCTAGAGACTGGAAGTGCAAGGTCACAGTGTTGGCAGGGGTGGTTCTGAGGCCTCTCTTCTTGGCTTACAAATGGGTGCCTTCTCGTTGTGTCTTCACATGGTCTTTTCTCTATACACACACATCCCTGGTATATCTCTGTGTATCCTAATTTCCTCCTCTTATAAGGACACCAGTCAGATTAGGTGAGAACCCACCATAACAGCCCTATCTTAATTTAGTCACCTCTTTAAAGGCCCTATCTTCAAATAGAGTCACATTCAGAAGTACTGGGGTTTAAGACTTAAACATACGAATTTGGGAGGGTGGAGGGGACACAATTCAGCCCATAACAATATCCAGTTGGTAGATATGTTTATCTTACTAATATATGATAAAACTATAAATATATGATATATCTTATTTATCATATATGTCATCTAAATGTATGATATAAATATATATTAATCTATTAAAGAACGCCAAATTACAGTAATCCCTTACCTAAAACCCTTCAATGGCTTTCTATCGACTTGAAATAAAAAGACAAGTCCTCTCCCCCAAAGCCCAGAAAGCCTTACAGGATCTACCTGCCACCTCCCTACCCTCCTTGCTGTTTCCTGAACAAGCCAAGCACATCCTTGGCTCCAGGGTTTTTCCCCTGCTGCCCCTTCCCTCACACATCCACATGGCCCTCCCATTCTTCACTCTGCTGTCTGAAAACTCTCTGAAACACCATCGCCTCTCTCTGTCCACTTACCCCACTCAATTTTCTCCATAGAACTGATCATTCTCTGATATATACAGCTATTTATCTGTTTGTGTTTTCTGTCTGTCTCCTGCACCAGAATTTGAGAGTCATAAGAGCAGAAACTCAGTATACTTTGTTCCCTGTCATCCCTGGAATAGTGTCTAGAATGTAGTAGGCATTCTATTTAAAAAGAGGGTTAAATAAATAGATGGGTGGATAGATAGATATGTAACCTGATGATTTCCACATATGTTATTTATTTCTACATGGTTTATATATATATAGAACACATAGAAATTAAATTATTGATACATATATACATAGAGATACATGTAACCCAACTATAAATGAGATTTCCTTGAGTCCACTGTCAACATTATATTTCATCTAAAGATATGTAAAGCCAAATTGAAAAGCCTTGAAAAATAAGTCCATCTTTGCTGAAGTCTCTTCAAGGGACTGCAGAGAAAGTGGAATGACATCACACAAGACTTAGTTAACTTCCTAAAATGCTTCTTTACTGTTGACCCAACCCCCTCTCTTCCTCCTTCAGAGTCCATCTGCCACTTCTATGCCCCTCCTGCCACCTTTCATATCATTTTCTTCTAAAGGTAGATCTTTTCTGATGTAAATGATGTAGCTTAACCTCTTTCAGTTTTTCCAGGTTTTCCCATCCCCCAAATTTTACCTTATTCAATACAAAAAAAAAAAACAGCTTCAGACCCACAAATACAAAGTCAGCCTCAGAATGTGAGAATCCTCCCCTGAAAAATCTCAACTTATTTCAACCCTCATATATGTGAACATGTGTGTACATTTTATGTACGTAAGTATACATGTCTATATATATCTACACATATACATCATTTTCAAAAGAGATAAATAATGACTGTCAGGCAAATGTAAATGAATGCATATCAAAGACATTCATAAATTAATGAAGAAACCAATAAAATGCTAAGACAAACATTCAATGGCAATTTGAAGAATAAATATACACACACAAACATACTCATCTACCAGACAGTCATGAATACTGCAGTCAACATGCTAACAGATGCAAAAACTGATTCATATCCTCTAGGGCAGTACAGTGTAATGTTTGAGGTTATATTTTCCGTAGGGCATAAAGCAACTGCATCTCAACTGGACAAAATGCACCCCTGTCTGTAAAAAAAAAACAACTATTTGTGCTACTATTGATTTTCTACATGTTATCTTCTGTGCCTGTAGAGTTGTGAAATTGCTTGGCAATATAAAGGTGCAACACTCCTACAGAATCAGATAATTCCCAACACTCAGCTCTCCACTGGTGACCTTAGACACGCAAGTGTATTTAAATGCACATATCTACGCCGGGAAAAAAAAAACAGAACTCCAACAGTGATTATCTCAAAATGATGGAATATTATATGAATTTTATTTCATTTTCTCTCTTTTTCACCAAAAATTTTATTTATTTTCACAACAAATAAATTGTAGTGTATCAAATAATGTGACACTCTACAGAAACTGAAATAAAAACCAAACTATGCATGTATTGGTATGACTAAATCTTGAAAATATTAACTGGAGTCACAAAAGAACATTGCAAAAGGATATCCCAAGTGTGGCATTGTTTATGTGAATTTGTAAACACAGAAAACAGGACTATGTATTATTACGGAAACATGCAAATATAGTCAAATTACGAAGTATTTATGGAAAGACTACACATCCACTTCAAGTCCACAGTTATTTCTAGAGAAGGGAGTAAAAAGTGAAATAGTGGGAGCTTTAACCATATCTAAAACAAACATTTTATTTTAAAAAAATTAATTCTGAAGCCAATATCGCAAAATGGTATGTTTAAGCTGGGTGTAGATGTCAGTTATACTTCTCTGGGTGTTTAAAATATAAGTTAAAGAATTTTAGGAAATAAAGGAGGTGTTTGGCACTATGCTGGGAGCCCTGTGGTTTCCAAATGAAGTCTCCTGTGCAGCACTGAAGAAATTTAGTGTCTTTTGGAAAAACAAAATAATTAGTAGACAGTTGAATTCTCATTGGCAAGCCAAGGGCTGCATCTGAAATACAAGTTCGGAAAAAGAAGCATGGTAACACTTCCTGAGCTAGCATCTGGGATGAAGCTGGGTCTTGAGGATGAGTTGGATTTGGGGAGGAAGAGCATGGGAGGAAGAGTGAACTTACTAGACACACCTGAGCATAGGTGTGGCCACCATGGAAGCATGATGTGTCTGGGGAAGGAAAAGGGGCAGAAGGAATGGTGGTGGCGCTTTATTTTTCTGTGTCCTCAGGTCCCAGTGCAGTTGCCTTTATTTCGTACTCTTCTCTTGGAAATATCATAAATGCAACTTTTTTTGGTGAGATGACTGAGAAAGATCAAGTGTACCTGAACTCCCACATAGTAAGCGTTGCTACTGGACCCAAAAGGAGTATCTCTCCCTCCAAGGCCGTGATTCTGAGTTTTCAGCACATAAAGAAGGTGAGTCAAGCCTGTAATTTGAGCTTGCTTGGGCTTCACAAATGTAGAACAATTTGCATAGCCTCCCTGTCTGGTTCTGGACCTGCATTGTCCCATCTGGCAGCCAAGAGCTACCTGTAACTATAAGGCAATTAAAATGGGGTGTGTCTCACTATATTGGGTGATCCTTGAAGACAGTAACTTTGTTGTTGTTGTATTTTTATAAAATAAAAATTCTTTGTTACCTCTTTTTTAAGATTTTATTCATTTATTTTTAGAGAGGGAAGGGAAGAAGAAAGAGAGAGAGAGAAACATCAATGTGCGGTTGCTGGGGGCCATGGCCTGCAACCCAGTCATGTGCCCTGACTGGGAATCGAACCTGCGATGCTTTGGTTCTTACCCCGAGCTCAGTCCACTGAGCTACACCAGCCAGGCTTCGGAACTTTGTTTTTGACATTTATCAGCCAGACGATACTAAACCTTGGTTCCCCAATCTCTCATCACACCTCCCTAGTGAATAATTAATTTATAACAGAAACTGTTTCTATTCATCAGATGGGGGAAAGGGAGGAGAGTGAAGGAGTAGAGGGTGAAAGGGGAAGAGGTGGTGGGAAATCGGTCACTTTCTTCCACTTCCCCTTCATTTGCCACCATGGCTTGTGACTGGTCATCTCAATAATACCTGTAGTCCCAAGTGGCACAGATTCTCCTATGAAAGGAAGATAAAAGAAATGGATCATGATGACTGAACACAGAAATAACAAGTAAGGAGAAAGGATGGGATAAAGAAGGAAGATAAAGTGGTGAACACAGGAAGGGATGGTGAGTCCCACTTGGCGATGGGTGTACCATAGCCTGCTAACTGCTGATCAGTATGCACATTAGAGGTGCCAAGAGCAAGAAAAATTGCTCTATAGAAAAAAAATGGTGGACAAGCAATGGAGATGTAGAGCTGAGAGGCCATGGGCAGAGAAAAGTTTAGGATAGAGTGAAAAATTAAGGGGAACTTTCAGGAAATAATAGAGACCTTACAAGAAATTTTTTTTATTCATAGGAAAACAATGGTTTGCAATTTGCTTTGCAATGTTAACCACTTACCTCAATGTTCCACAAAAATTTTCAATAAGATTCCCTTTTTTGTTCTTGAAAATAATTAATTAAGTAATTAATTAAAATGTGGCAGGTCTGGATTGATATTTCAAAGACTTAGTATTGTGAAGACTTAGTATTTCTAGATTTCAAAAACTTAGTAAGAAAAAAGCATTCAAACTATCTCTTTAATAATTTTTATCTATTGATTTATGTTAACATATTAAGAGAAAGGGACCTGGAGCAGCATTCTAGAGTTATGTCTTTTTTAACTTATTGATTTTTAAAGATTTTATTTATTTTTAGAAAGGAAAAGGGAGGGAAATATCAGTGTTTGGTTGCCTCTCGCAAGCGGCGCAAGGTTTGCTGGTTCGATTCCTAGTCCAGGGCACGTGCCCTAGACTGGGAATTGAACCAGCAACCCTTACGCCACCAGCCAGGGCTAACTTACTGATTTTTTTAGAGACAGAAAAGAAGAGGGAGAGAGAGAGAAACGTCAATTTGTTGTTCCACATATTTATGCATTCATTGGTTGATTTTTGTATGTCCCCTGACTGGGGATTGAGTCTGCAGCCTTGGTCACTATTGGGACAGTGTTCTAACCAACTGAGCTTCTGGCCAAAGCCTGGAATTACCTCTTAACCACACACATGTATACTCTTCAGGGACACAACATATTAGGCACACCAAAAGAATATTTACAGTATTTTGCCCTATATCTGAATTAAAATTTTAGTCTACTATATAATAGATTAAATCTATAAAGTGAAACAGACACTATTTTAAATATAGTGAGTTAAATAAAATATATCATTAACATTAATTTGACTTGTTTATTTTTACCTTTTTTCAATGTGACTAGTAGAAAATTTCAAATTACATTACATTTCAAATTATAAATTACAAAAATAGTATGTGGCTCACATACTATTTTTCTGGAGCAGCATTATTCTAATGCATGGAATTATTTTAGCTGCAGCTGTGAAATTTGAACTGAGATATAATATTCATTTCTGCACAAAAGTCTGGTATTATTAAAATCACATAACTCATCAGTAAAAAACTTTTATTTAATCTGTTGCCTTTTCCAATTCTCTGTCCAAACTCTTAAAAGCAGGAGGGCCAATAGCCAGACACAGATGCAGTAAAATTTGTTTGCTCCTTTCCCTTTCAGTTCTGTTAAGAAAATAAGAATTGAATGAAATCTTATTGTTTGTGACAACATGTCTGGACCTTGAGGGCATTATGCCAAGTGACCTACGTAAGCAGAGAAAGAGAAACACTGTATGATCTCACTCAGTGTGGAATCTGAAAAAGCCAAATTCAAGAAACAGAGACCAGATGGTGGTTGCCAGGGGCAGGGGTGAGGGACACAGGTGAGGGCGATCAGAGGGTGGGAACCTCCCACCACACAGAGAATGTGCTCTGGGGCCTCACGTGCAGCGTGATGACTCTGGTGAACAACAGCTGCGCTGTGTGTCTGCGAGTTGCTAGAGGAGTAGATTTTAAAAGCTCTTCCCACAGAATAAAAATTGTAACTATGTGAGGTGATGGATAGTAACTAAATTAGTAAACTTACGGTAATCATTTCATTGTATGTGTGTATACATATATATAATTACATTTTGTACCTTAAATTTACAGTGTTGTATGTCAATTATATCTGAATAAAACTAGAAAATTAATCTAATTTTAAAATATAAACTTAAGAATTAAAGGAGGAAGGTGGGGAAATGTAGGTTTTCTCTAGCTGATGCATAAAATCTAGGTATAGAATTTTTGATGTGTGACATGGCACAGAAAAAATGGAGCAAGAAATCTAGGAATGGCCCAGTGGCTCATCAAAGGAGATCCAAGCCCCAGACAGGAAAGCATGTCACTCATATCCTTGCCCCCATGAACTGTTGCTCTGGAGCCCTTGAGTCAAAGAGAACAGGTGGGAGGCTAATTTTATTCTGTTTCCCTGGGTTGTTTTTTTTCCTGTTCCATCCCTCATGTTACATAAGCAATTACTGTTGTTGTTTTCGAGGACAGAACTGGTGTGGAGAGACCAGGGAAATTTGTTTTCTGGTTGGTTTTAGGTTTGTTTGGGGGCTTTTTTGGTGGTGGTGGGTGGAGTTGGAGGGACCAGAGAAATTTTACTTGGAGACTATTTGGGAGAAAACCGTGTGAGCCTTACGTTGTCTTTTTATCTGACTCTCATGACAGGTGACAAAGTCATAAAACCCATGACATCTTAGAAAATTCTGGCTTTCACAGAGAGAAATGACTTGTTTTGTGTCTTGTGAAATCCAAGTAGAGGTGAGGCTATGGGGACAGGTGTCCTGGTGGCCGACCCCTTCACCTGAAAGAGCAATCACTGGAGTCACTTCTCAGCCTTGGCTCTTATTCCCCACCCCGGTGAAGACCGACACTCTGAGGGCTGCTCTTCCTGAGCAAAAACACAATGAGCCCTTTCTGTTTTCAGATGAAACACCTGAGCCAAAACGTCACGTGCGTCTTCTGGAAAAGCACGGAGGAGGGTGGCCACTGGTCGCGGGAGGGCTGCACGCTGGCCCAGGTGAACAAGAGTCACACCACGTGCAACTGCACTCACTTGTCCAGTTTCGCTGTCCTCATGGCCATCACCAGCCAGGTAGGATGGAAACATTCAACTCCTCTGGCTAATCCTTTTTGAGCTCCTACTAGGTGGCGGTAAGAGCTATAAAGAACAGGAAAACAAGCAAGGGACTGGAGTGACTACAGAGGCGTGCCACGTTGGATAGGATGTTCAGAGGAGGATTAAATATGCGAGCTGAAATCTGAATATTAAGAGTTGGTAGTGCTGCGATGCAGATGAACCTAGAAAACATGCGTTGAGTGAGGGAAGTCAGACACAAAGCGCCACATATTGCGTGATTCCACTCACATGAAATGTCCAGAAGAGGCAAATCCATAGAGACAGAAAGCAAACTGGTGGTTGCCAAAGGTCGAGGGGAGGAATGCACGGTGTTAAGTGTTTAGTGGGCCTGGGGTTTTGTTTTAGGGGTGATGAAAATGTTTTGGAGCTACACAGAGGTACTGGTTGCATAACACTGAATACACTAAATGCCTCTGAACTGTGTACACTGTAAAATGGTGAATTTTATATTATTTGGATTTTACCTCAATGAAAAAATGGCCTTAGGAAAGGATCTCAGAAAGAGCATCTGATGAAGAAACACAAGTATGCATAAAGATCCTGAAGAGAGAAGGAATTTGGTGTGTTCCAAAGAAAAATGTGGCTGGAACAGAGTAAATGAGAGGAGTGGGAAGGGGGCTAGTCACAGAGATGGAGGCCAGAGAAATGTGCCAGACCTCGAATGCCATGTCAGGAATTTAGGTTTCATTCGAATTGCAATGGGAAGGCAATGGGAGGTTTCTATCACAAACATTGCATATTTATGTCATTAGAAGATCCCTCTGGCTCTCAAGTCAAGAATGAACAGTGGTCAAGAGTGGACTCACAGACCTGGCCGGAGTGGCTCAGCTGGTTGGAGCATCATCCAGTAAACCAAAATGTCGTGGGTTTGATTCCCAGCCAGAGGACATGCCTGGGTTGCAGGTTCAGTCCCCAGTCACACCACATGCAAGAGGCAACCAATCCATGTTTCTCACATCGATGTTTCTATCCCTCTCTTTCCCTCCCTTCCCCTTTCTTTCTCTCCTTTCCCCTCTCTCTAAAATCAATAAGCATGTCCTCGGGTGAGAATAAAAAAAAAGGGGTTGGTCTCACAGAGACAGGATAGTGGTCAGCGTTCAGGTGGCAGCAGTTGAGGTGGTGGGAGATAGTCAGACACATATCCTAGAGGTGGAGTCGGAGAGCTTACTGATGACATGGGCTGGGTGGTGGCACACAGGAAGTCCTACCTCCTTCTCCTCAGGGATGGAAGTGGTACCCCAACAACAACAGTTGGTGCAAATCTGCAACCTCTCCTATTACACAGGGCAGTGGGGAAACTAAAGTAGGTTTAAAAACATTAAATATTTCTTTTATTCATTGTTACATTTATGGAATTCATCTGAGTTGGGCATGGCCTTAGTTTTTATTGATGTATACTTGTAATATTCCCTTGCATGACTCTACTACAATTTACTTATCCATTGTACAGTTAATGAGTATCTAGGTTGTTTCCTGTCAGGGGCTGTTAAAAACAATGCTACTTGGCTGGGATGAGGCATAGACAAATTCCGTGTGAACACTCTCGGGTGATGAGGAAACAACACACTCCAGGTGGTGGGGCCTCTGTTATCACGGGTTTCTAAGTGACGTTGTGGAGCAGAGTATTATTCCATCATTATAAAGCTGAAAAACAGACACAACTAAGTTATGTTCTCAGGGGTTGAATCTAGAGATGGTAAAACTTATCATAAAAGGACCAAGGCTACTCCCAGGGGAGAAGGTGGTTTGCAATTAGGAAGAGCATCTGGGTTAATATCCACAGGTTAGTACATGATCAGTATTCACTTAATAATTATTAATCATATGACAGATTGACTTTTATGCTTTTTTCTGTATATGTGTTATATTTCACAATTTTAAGATGGAAAAGGCAAAGGATACAAAAGTTCTATAAAGTGACATTAAGAATGAAAATCCCCACATAATTATAAGGGATGGTGAGTATCATTTCCCATTAGTGAGTCTGGCTAAGTCTGTATGGCTCATCAGATCCCTGGTCCCTGTCTTTAATGAGATGAATCCCCAAGAGCTGAATTAGATGGGGTGTCTTAGTTTGACACCCTTAGTTAGATACCAGGTCTTGAGACAAGAATTTGAGGGAAAGTAGTTTCTCTGGGAGGTGAAGCCAGGAGACCTCAGTAGGACAGTAGGGAAGTGAGGCAGGGAAGAGAAGACAGCCAGGAAAAGATGCATCAAAGAGAAAGTTGTCCCCATGGACAACTGGGGCTCGATCCCATTGGGTACTTCTGGGAGCTATCGTAGAACAGGCACCTCAGAGCCTTCCTATCAGAGGTAGAGTGAGCTGGGGTATTTATCTGCCAATTCCCCAACTATTATTGTTTGAGGTACCTTCCAGGGGCATTACACCTTGGCATGTGTGACCTGCTCCAGCATGTCCAAGTACACTCTTATGACAAGGAAAATACCCTCAGGTAGAGTCACTGGGCTTCACAGAAAGCAGTTCAAGGGAAGACAGAGGTGAGTACAAAGAAGTTATAGCCTCTGCTACACAGGACTTGTGTCTCTTTGGGTGCAAGACTGAGTCTGGTATTCCAATTCATTTCAACTTGAATTCTGCTGTGCAACATGGAGCCTATAGTTCACAATAAGGGGTTGTGTGCTTAAAAACTTGCTAAGAAGGTAGATCTCATGTTGTGTTCTTACCATATTTTGTTTAAAAGCAAGGAGACACAAGAAATCTTTGGGAGGTGATAAATACATTCATTACCTTGGTGGGGATGATAGCATGGATATATGCCTTTTTCTAAACTCATCAAAATGTGTGCACTCAGTGTATTGCACAAAATGTGTGCAATATTTTGCATATTAGGTATACTTAAGTAAAGCTGGGGAAAAAAACCCTTAGTCTTACAGAAACCTCTCACACTATCATCAGGCTTTGTGCCTGTGTTTAGGATGACCCTATTCCAAAGGGGAGAAACCATATCCCAGAGCAGGACAGTATGACTGAGATCTTCTCTTTGCTGGGTGCCAGGAGGAAGATCCCATCCTGGATGTGATCACCTATGTGGTGCTGAGCCTCTCTCTGCTGTGCCTTTTCCTGGCGGCCCTCACCTTCCTGCTGTGCAAAGCTATCCAGAACACCAGCACCTCCCTCCACCTTCAGCTCTGCATCTGCCTCTTCCTGGCCCACCTGCTCTTCCTCACGGCCATCAACAGAACAGAGCCCAGGGTACTGACACTGTCCCAAAGGACCCTTGTCCTGCCTGGGGGATGTGGAGTTCATGGGACATGTTGCATTGGACCCCTTAATAAAATGTTCTTGGGTTCTAGGAAAGGTTGGAGGGATGGTGCCAAGGTGGGCAGGGCTGACCTTGATTACCAAACACTTTTACATTTGATGACCTTGGTTTAATGTAATGTGCTCTGAACTCAATGCCAATATAAAGGAGAGGTCTTAGGGTCACACTCCATCTTAAGTATTCCACCTGGTGACACTTGCTTCTCCTCCAGGTGCTGTGCGCCATCATCGCAGGTGCCTTACACTACCTCTACCTGGCCTCCTTCACCTGGATGCTGCTGGAGGGCCTGCACCTCTTCCTCACTGCACGCAACCTGACGGTGGTCAACTACTCCAGTGTGAACAGATTCATGAAGTGGCTCATGTTTCCGATCGGCTATGGAGTCCCGGCTGTGATTGTGGCCATTTCTGCAGTGTCCCGGCCTCACCTTTATGGAACACCTGATCGGTGAGCTTGACCTTCACCTTGTGCCATGGGCAGTTTAGGGGCAGCACTGATGATGGTGACTGAGATCCCCATAGCAAACGCACTCTGCTTTTTCCTTGAGTGTAAGACTGCTGACCTTTCCCCCAAAGAGGCAGGGAAAGATGGTGGTAAGAGCTTGGCAGGATCTGAAAGGAAGGAGTTTTGTGGTTAGGTATCAGCTCTAGCCCTCCCATAATTTGGAGTTCTCAAGTCTCAGATTCCTCTTTAGCAAAATGAGGATAATGATTATCCCCATTGCCCCACCCTCATGATGCTGGTATGAAAATTCGACAGTACTGTGCTTATAAATTGTTTAATGTAGCATTAATACATGGTAGTGAACAATCACAACCTTCATTGCCATCAGCTGGCATTTTCAGAAGATGATGGAAAAGTTCTCTGTTATGAAAAGGTGTCACTTGATGTTCATTTCATGTGTTTTCTCTGATCTCTCTTTGTGTCCCTTTTCCCATTGTTCTCAGTTGCTGGCTTGACCTGGAACAAGGATTCATCTGGGGTTTCCTTGGCCCTGTCTGTGCCATTATCTGTGTGAGTATGTGGCTCCAGTGTTCATACAAGGGACATGCACTGTCTCTATTGTATGGTTTCCACCTGCTACCAATTCAGTCCCATGTGTGGGAAGGTAGGAGTTGTGTGTAATTTATAATGAACACATTACAATTATTTTAATTTGCATTCTTCCTGGTCTGCATCATCCCTGCAGGTGAATTTAGTATTCTTTTTCTTGGTCCTTTGCATTTTGAAGAGAAAACTCTCCTCCCTCAACAGTGAAGTGTCAACCATCCAGAATATAAGGTAAGATAGAGCAAATGGTACTTCTGACCCTCTCTGCCTCTACTCAACCCCTTCTTGTCCTTCTTATGTGTCTACACACACATACACCCCACAATCAGGCTCCAGGGACTAGCAAGGTCACTGTCATCTCCCTGTGTCTGTATTAACCAGAGTGTAGGCTAAGCTGCTGAGACAAAAAGGCTCCCACTAAAAAGACCAAAACAAAAGTTTATGTTACTCTCATGACACAGTCCAGCAGTGAGTGGTCCAGGACAAGTGGGAAGGCTCTGCTCCCCAAAGTGATCCAGAGACTCAGGTTCTTTCTATTTTGTTTCTGCACCATTCCCTAGGGTGTTGTCTTTGTCAATTCCCCATCCATGGGAAGGAGGTTGTATGGTCCATGTTTGCTCATACCTTATTGCCTACACCTTAGTCACATGGTGATACCTAGCTTCAAGGGAGGCTGGGATATGTAGTCTCTCATTAAGTAGCCATATGTTCTTGAAAAAAACTCAAAATTGGAAGAGATATAACCCTAAAAGGAAGAGGAGGAGAATGGGGAAAAAACAGCAATTTCTGCCACACAACACAAGACGCACACAGGAGTACTCTTTTTTATCAAAAACAACCAACTTAAGTTTGTTAATCCATCCATCACTGAAAGCTTAAATTCTATAGAAACTCTAAAAGTTGCACTTCTGAAGGATGCCCCAACAAAACTGCATTTACTCCACAGGGAGAGACTGATTTGGCTAACTACAACAAACTTAAATGTACATCAAATAATTGTGTGTAATGGATTTGTAAAAGATTTCAATTAAACTGTGTTTTGTATAATACTGTGTATTTCAAAAAAATTGGGGGTTATGAGCATTTTTTATTTTGTGGTATCCATTTTAATTAGAACATATAATTTATTCTTTTCATTTTAATCACAAAATAGCATGTTAAATTTTTTCACATTTTAAAAAAATATATAAAGTGAAAATGGATAACTTCCTCTTTTCCTGCTACTTCCACTTCCCAAGAAAGCTGGAGTTAACACACTTTATGACAAGTATGATATAATACATGTAATATTTTCCCCAGAGCTTTTTCTGTGCATTTCTATAGAATAGACATGCACACATTCAATAGACAACACACTATGCAAATTAGTCCTCAACCAGCTTTTCTCACATAAAACGTTATGGTTTAAAATTGGGCATAAATGTGTATATATATATATAGATAGATAGATAGTGACCTTATATCTCAGTTTGCCTAGGCCAGTCCCAGTTAATGCCTATTGACCCACTGTAACTATTAATAGCACCCTTTTTTATCTCAAATGCTTCCCTGTTTGAGTAACAAAGAATATGACCTCCCGCCCCCATCTATAAAAGAAAAAGAGATAAAGAGCCCCTGGTTTTAGAATGTTTTCTATATACATGGTACTGATTTTGTTCTGTATACTGCCCTAAATACGTATGTTAAAATCTCATTTAGTCTTTGCAGCAGTCCTATGAAATAGGACTATTATAAAGATGAGGGACCCACGTTACAGAAAGGCAGAGTAATTTGCCCAATGTCACACAGTGGATTAGTGCTGCCTGGGATTTAAAACAAGGCAGTCTAGCTCCAGAGTCCTCACCAGTAAGAACTATACCACAGGAGTGCCCACATCCATCCTTAGCTTTTACACAGTTTTGCATTTTACTCCCCTCAGGATGCTGACACTGAAAGCTATAGCTCAGCTCTTCATCCTGGGCTGCACGTGGTGTCTGGGAGTCCTGCAGCTGGGCCCAGCTGCCTGGGTCATGGCCTATCTCTTCACCATCATCAATGGCCTTCAGGGTGTCTTCATTTTCCTAGTGTACTGTCTCCTCAACCAGCAGGTAAACTTTCACCCCTTTCTTTATTGTTTTTTTATTGTTGTTCAAGTAGTTGTCCCCATTTTCCCTCCACCATTCCCCCTCGCCCCACCCACCCCCACCTCCCACCCTCGATCCTACCCCCTTTGGCTTTGCCCATGTGTCCTTCATACATATGTTCCTTGATGACCCTTCCCCTATTTTCCCCCATATCCCTCTCCCCCCTCCCCTCTGAGTGGATTATCAGAACTCAACTAAAGTTAGTGTCTTTATTGTTTTAAATTAGAAAAGTTTGCAGGTATGTAGTTTCATGAACATTTAGATCCATGTTCTCTAAATTTTCATTATGAACTTGTGAACAATGTGTAAACACAACCTGTATTTTCCCTACTTTAAGATGCTATTGTGAGACATGTCAACTTACTTTTTAATTGTTTTTATTTATTGAATTTAGAGAGAGAGAGAGGAAAGGAGAGAGAAAAGTATTAATTTGCTTTTCAACTTATTCATGCATTCATTGATTGCTTCTTGTATGTGCCCTGACCAGAGATCAAACCCACAACCTTGGAGCAATGGCACTGCATTTTAACCAACTGAACTACCTGGCCAGGGAAAATATGTCAATTTATTAATGGCTTTCACAAATTAAATAACTACTACATCAAGGAAATAGCATGGTTTTCCTCAGCTTTCCTATATGTAATAGTCAGCTATTTCTGTGTAACAAAGAACCTCAAAAATCTCAATGGCTTAAACACAAATATTTTCTTTTCTCATTCTCAAGTCTGCAGGTTGGTGGGAGTCCAGCTGATTTCGGCTGGGCTTAGCTTGGCTTCGCTATACAAAGCAGGTATATTCAGGTCTACTCTTTGTGACTCATTTCGAGGCTTGAAAGAAAAGGAGCAGTTTCCCAACATAAGTTCTTCTCATGACAATGACAAAATCACAAGAAGACAAAGCTTACTGGACAAGGCCATTTCAAGCCTTGTCATTCCACTTGCGTCACCTGCACTGATATCCCATTAGCCAAAGAAAGTCACATGTCCAAACCCAAAGTCAAAGAAGAAGACCCCACCATCCACCACGTGGCTAAGACAGGGTGTAATAGTACTTCAGGGGAATGAGTAATTAAGATCAATAATGCAATCTACCATCCTATTTAAATGCATAAATTATTAAACTCATTTCCATGTGGTAGTATAGTTCCCATACTAACATTTTTAATAAGAACAATAAGTATAATGTGCATAATAAGCTAAATTGTCCAACATTTTTAAAATTATTTTATCGTTGTTCAGTTACACTTGTCTGCATTTACCCCTCACCTCTCCCCTACAAACCTTTTATTATGAACATTTTCAAACATACAAAAAGGTTGAAAGAATTCTGCAGCAAATACCCATATAGTAAGTCCTCACTTAATATTGTCAGTAAGTTCTGCAACTTTAAGCAAAACAATGTAGAATGAAACTAGTTTAACCATAAGTTAAATTCTTACAGCATCTCATCAACATTATAACAAAACAACATTGAGTGAAATAACATTCAGTGAGCTGTTGTATACCACTCACCTAGACTAAGACTGTGCTATACTTTATTACATCATCCATTCACACTCCACCCTTCTATCCCTCCCAATTATAAGCCACTGTAGCTTACACATATGGTCAAAGAAAACTGTAGGTAACTCTTCTTGTGGGTGTATGCACCTGAGTGGGCACAATGCAAGAGAATTCTGTGTACTCTTCCCTCAGGTCATTTCAGTTCCTAAGGCATCTCATAGTGCAAGCTTCCAGTTTTTCAAGGTATACATTTTATATTCAGTATGACTGCTAAATACAAGCCAGTTCATGTGTCTACAACATGAAGTAAAGAAACAGTGGTGTGAGTCCATCACTCCGGAAATACTGGCTGCTTTCAGCTTGTTGAGATAAGCTCATAAGATGTCCTCTTACTCAGGGGCACACAGGGATAATTTGGGCTGCACATTGTCTCCAGAGCTGAACCCCAGACATGATGAAACCCTACTATATACTGTCAAACTATGTTGACATACTTCTACCTAGATTTAGTTAAATTATACTACCTCTGTAGGGCAGGATACTATGCAACCATGAAATATGTTGAAAAGATTGAAACCACAGTGAAGCTGGGATCCACATGGTCCAGGTCAGGAGGGACAATGGACAAATGAACATAGTTCAGCAACCAGAAGAAATACAATATCACTCAAGGTCTTTATTTATACAAGTTCTTCTCAAATACCCAGAAGAAGACACATAGTCCATGTATCCCTTAGTTGGGTTCGACCACTAAGATTTTGACTTTGTTAAGGTAGCAAAACATATCCTGAATGACACACTCTCTTTCCTGTTACTAGTACTATTCTCCTCCTCTTTCTCCCTCTCCTCCTCCTCCTCTTTCTGTCCCCCTCCCTCTCTCCTCCCTCCCTTTCTTCCCCACTCTGCATTTAGGTGCCCAAAGAACCAAACTAGCTAGGGAAGAACATCTCCTCAGTGGATGAGGGAGAGGAAGAAACCGAGATGACAGAGCCAACACTTCTTGGAGAGCAAAGGCGAGATTAGGCTTGAAACAATCCAATGTTAAATTTGTTCAGGCACAAGAATAGTTTGGGACTGGAAGGATATCCAAACTGTATTAGGAAAAAAAGCAAGTTTCAAAATAGTGCTCCAGAAGGGCTGCATTTTGTTTATATAATGTGTATAAACATTTATTGCTTCTGTTGTTGGTGGATAAGGATATATATGGCAAAGCACAATGGTTCTCAAATGATCCCCCCAGGGGACATATTTGGCAATGTCTTGGGGCATTTTTCATTGTCACAACTGGAGATAGAGATGCTACTGGCATCTAGTAGGTGAAGGCCAAGGATGTTGTTAAACATCCTTCAGTGCATAGGACAGCCCCCATCACCAGGATGACCCAACCCAAGATGTTGATAGCACCAAGGCTGGAAACCTTGGTGCTGCAGATACTGTTCATGGCCCCTTCGTGTCCCTTAGGCATTCATCTCTATGTGCCCAGGGTTGCTTGTTGCAAACACCTGTGACTCTATGCCTGTGGGCTTCTTACTGCCCACAGAAAAGGCCTGGCCCATGCATGGGACAACCTGGTGGTTCCAGACAGTAATGGCAGCAGCCATCAACTAATGACTGTTGGGAGCTGGTGAATAAATGTCCCAGATCTCTTGACCTCAAGGTGGGATAACTCTGAGGTGTTTCCTATGCTGTTTCCCAGAGCTCCTCAATGAGACAGAGCCACAGTTGTCCAAGTGGAAACTCAGTGGAAAGGATGAGGTACTTTTTACTGTCTGCTTTCCCTTCCCTATCTCACTTCCCCACAGATCCACTAGTGTTTCACGAGGTCACCCCTCAAATTAACTCTTTACATTTGAACTCTGTCTTGGAGTCTGCTTCTGAGGGACCCCAAACCAAGTCACATGGAAGGATACCACCAAAACATCAGTTGTCTTTCACTAGATCGAGGAATTATGCGTGACTTCTATTTTCTTCTTCTGCATAAGCATTTTTTATAAGTTTCCTACAACAAAGATGTATTCTGTGATATGCAAAGTACTGTGATGGTAAAATATACATAACATAAAATTTATCACTTCAGCCACATATCAGTGTACAGTTTGGCAGCATTCAGCACCTTCACACTGTGCACAGCTGCCACTGCCGTCGTGCTCGAGAACTTGTTGATCATCTCAGACTGAAACTCTATACCCACTAAACAGTAACACTCCATTCTTCCCTGCCAAGCCTCTGGCAACCACCACTCTATTTTCTGTCTCAATAAGTTAGACTGTTATAAGGGTCTCATATATGTGGCATCATACTGTATTTGTCCTTTGTGACGGCCTTATTTCACTCAGCATTATATCTTCAAGGTTTATCCACATTGTAGTATGTGTCAGAAGTCCATTCTTTTTGAAGGCTGGGTAACATTTTATTGTATGTATAAACTACATTTTACAGGAAAAGTTTTTTTGTTTTGGGGGGGTTTTTTTGTTTTTAGGAAAAGTTTTTTTTTTCATAATGTCATTTTACTCTTCCCAACTCTGCCTTTTCTCTTCTCCAATATTAACAAAAACCATCCTGGTATTTCCTGTAATGTTCCAGGTTCAAAAATGGTTTGGAAACATCGTGAAACCTAAATCTGAGTCTGAAACTTTTACACTTTCCAGCAAGTTTGGCCCTTACTCTAAGCCCAGTGAGGTAAGAGGGCTTGTGATTTATTCTAATGTTTCACCCCTTGTCACCCCAAACTTCCTCTCCTTGTCTTACCATGAGCTTCCCTTCCTAGAAGGTTTGGGGAAGTGTTGTTTTTTTTTCTTGATGACCTGGTTAGCATTCCTCATTCTCACTGTATTGTTCCTGGTGACCCTGCTCACTCACTGTGCTTAAGTTGGCTTTGATATCTGTTCTTGCCATTCAAAGAAGTATGAGTAAAACATACCCTCAGGACCGCTACCATCTAAAGTAGACTTCTTTAGGAGACACAATCTTAGACACACAGCGGTCATCATCTGAAATTCTACTATTCCTCAGAGAGGTGGACATAAGCCCAGCCGAGTTGATAGATACCATGGAAAGGACCCCAGGAGAGGAACTCCAGTCCAGCTGTTCAACATAACTATAGGGCAGGGATGCACAGAATAGTGGGACCTTCCTAGGAGAAGAAATGGTCCTTTTAGAAAGGGAACCTCCCTGAAACTTGGTTGTTGGTATTTGTCTGTTCTTCCATTGCACTAACTCAGGCTCAGTGCACCAAAGATCAAGTTTCTAGCACTATCCGCGACTCCTCTCCATAGCTGTCCCTCATTTCTTCTTGTCAAATATGAGGACGTACTTGTAAGAAGTCACTAGACAAGCAAGATGGACTCAAAGCTCATAATCCATAAAAATTCTCTCAGTCTCACTTGGTGTTATGCCTCCCGTGTGTATACCTGTCACAGCTGCTAACCAAAAAGATGTAGAATATGTTATTTTTAAACTAAACAAAATTTAGAAATTTTTGATACATCATCTTCTTCATTTGTTGAGATAATATGTGATTTTCTCCAACAGTAGAAATGTTGAGGTCACCGAAGAAACATCCTTCCCTTATTTGAGTCAGGAAAGGAAAATTCATTGAAAGTTTTTCTAAAAGGATCAAGAAGAAAATGTGACCAGGAAAAAAAAAGTCCTGGGTATGTCAGGTGACCAGAAAAGAATTTTATGACTATTAGGCATAATCATTATTAATAAAAATAAGCTTGTGGAAGGTGCTAACCATTGCCTGTGACTTCTGAAAAGTTTGCCAGATAATCCAAAATAATTCCCAAAGTTGCCAGCACTCCAGCCAGTGGTTTGTTGTTGTTGCTGCTATTATTATTATTATTATTATTATTATTATTATTATTATTACTTAACATTGTCAGAATCCAATGAGTATATCTTTAAAAAGAGACTATATTATATATTTATTTTTACATTTTTAATATATATAAACACCTTCACTCCCTTTAAGAAACACATTTGTTTTAATTAGAGGAACCTCTTGAGCTTTTATTTTTCTAGGCATAGGGTATGAGTAAAAGCTAACAAAACCCTTTCTATGAACTAATTTGTCCTTGGGTTAACTTTCTATCTCTGTCCCCTAGAAACTTGCTAGCATTGGAAAGTCAGTTGTGTAACCAGGCAATACCACTGCTGGGAAAAGTCGTGCTTAACTGGACAGGGAGTTCTGTAAGCGAACCACCAATATTATGAATGAAGGCATAGCTGTGGACTTCTGCATATGGTGACTCGCATAACTAGCCAGGAACTCTTAACCTCATGGGCTGGAGAACCAATATCTCCTGTAGCAGTTTCGGGCTTCTAAACAAGCAGTAATTTGTAGAGAGCAAAGAGAGTACTTGTTGAGTTCTACAATTTGTCAGGTACTATGGTAGGTAATGGACATACAAATAGTAACAAGACTAACACAGTCCCTACCTTAGTGAAGCTTAGAGTCTAACCTTTCTTCATAGACAAAACCAAGGTCAAGGGGCCTGAAGTTCTTGAAGGGGATGTTATGTCCAACATTTTTTTCAAAAAAATAATACATCATCTTCAATTTTTTAGAAGTCTTCCCACTATAAACTAAGGGTATGCCTCTCCTAGGATTCCAAAACACTAGGAGATCATGCCATACTTGCCTACTGGATGAGCTCTCTGGCTTTAACCCACTCCTACTATTCCTCTCTGTTTTGTTGTTTGTTTTGTGTTATCTGTACATCCAACTTTAATCTAAACATCTTTTGTGGGGGTAATGTCTTTCCAGAACACATGAAGAGAAAATAGTAAAACTAGAGCATTCAACTTCACGTGAAAAGTCATATCCATGGATCTGGTTGGCATTGTGAAGAATGAAGCTGAAAACAAAAGAAATTATACACATTATTCTTGGAGAAGAAATGTTTAATCTATACTTCCTGAAGGGTTTATTATGCATAATGGCTTTCAATACATGTATTTTGAGTTGGATTTCTCTTGTTCAATCAATGCTTGTCCCTGGTTACCCAAAGCATGACCACTGCAAATACTTCTTGTAAATGAGGAGATCCCTTTGAAGGCCTCTTCTCAAGCTCTTTCTCTCACTCATCCTAAACTTGTTCTTTAAACCCATTCACTCCCTTAAACCATCAGGTTTATCATCTTTCTTATACAGGATGATCATCCCCTGACCCAGGTCAAATGATTCTCTCCCATACTTTAACACTTTGCTTTCTCATTCTGATTCTACACCTACCTGCCTGGGAAAACCCCAATCCAGCAGCAATCCAAAGATGACAGGTGCTATGCATGTCTATTCAGTGGCCATCACCACTATGATATGATCCTTATTAACAGTGATAGTCAGCTGGAGGTGGAGGAGGGGAAAAGATTACCCTCCCAGGGACATTTTTGGTTGTCATGACTGGAGCAAGGTGGACTGCAACTGGCACCTAAGTGGCAGAGGCCAAGAATGCTGCTAAATACCCTACAATACATAACACAGATCACACACAAGGAGCAAAGAGTTATCCATCTCCAAATGTCAGTAGTGCTGAGATTGAGAAACACTGGTGCTAACTAACTATAATGATCTTATTCTTATTTGCTAAAGATTGGTTCAAGATGGGCATTTGTACCAATTGTAACCAATGAGATATAAGAAACATCTACTGGAAAATATTCTTTCTCCTTGATAAAAAAAAAATTAAGGAGAACCTGACCCTGACTTTCTAATTTGGGCTACTATAATAATGTGATGCTTGGAGAAAAGATGGAAGAGTGGAAAGATGGGAATAATCTGAGTTTTATGACATTGTTGAGTTGCTGAACCAACCTTGGGCTTTTTCCTGTATAAGACAAACTCCTTTTCTTAAGCCACTTTGGGTCAGGTAACCTGTCACTTGCAGCCCAAAGCAGCCTTCTTTATGAACCAACCATGTTTCTCCTTTACTCCTCCATCAAAGCAGTGGCATCCCAGAATCACTCAGCCTGGAGCTGTTACAAATGTGTGCTTTCTGATCTAAACAAGACCCTCCATGCTACCTGAAACTTTCCTTCAGGGGGACTTTCTGTTTTCACTTCCTTCCTCAACCCAAATGACTTTCCCCTTTACATAAGGTATAAGACTTTGCTTCCTACTTCGTGGAGATAATAAACACCAGTTGATGAAAGGTCCCTCAATTTTCTGACATCTCTTACAAATATACCCACATCCATACCCAACCTTGCTTCCTTCTTTCATCGATGCCAATTGTCTCCCCCTTCATTCTTCCACAACAAAAACAGGGTCCTTACCCTATTTAAAGCTAACCCCTCCCTCTGTGTTTTGGAGCTCATCCCCTCTTGTCTCTTTGACAGGACTTTCTCCGTCGATTATCTCCACTCTCCCCTGAGTCTCTCACATCCTCTTTCCTGGTTTTTCTCCAGTGGCATTTAAGTATGCTAAAGCTGGCTTAACAAACTGTAAAGGGCCAGATAATAAATACTTTAGACTTTGGGGTCATATATAGTGTTAGAGATGATAGAGATAGATAGATAGATAGATAGATAGATAGATAGATAGATAGATGTGTATTTCCCTTCGAAATACAAAAACTCACTGGTCATACAAAAAGGGCTGCAGACAGGATTTCACATTTCCACACACACCCCCCAAGCTATAGTTTGCTGTACCTGTGCTAAAGAAAGAGAAATGGAGGAGTCTAGGAAAATGGTCACATTTCAAGTCCCCTTCACTCCACACCCTAATATATCTCCTTCTTTGAACCAAAAGTCTGCTAGGACCCATAACAGATGGGAATCCCCAAAGAGAAATCTGAGGTTGAATGATCTCCCACACACACCAGGTGGACCATCCCAAGATAAGCTGAAGAGCACGCAAAGGTGAAGATCAGACACAGTCCATCCTAGGAAGAGTCTGGCCCAGGGGGCTCACGGGGCTCCCAGGATAAAGTCAGCATCACTCCCATGAGTGTGTGCCTGATCCCTCTGGCCCCAAAGAACTCCAAAAGGAACCGTGTCCTGAGTCTAGTAGGAAGTGAGGAGATAGGAGAACAGAGAGGCACCTGCTGGTGCACACGTGGACCCTGGGGTGGAGATTCCCTCTTCTTCCGCCACCTGGGAAACTGTCACTGCTTAAAGTTCTCAACCCCCCGATCTGAGCTCCAAAGGAAAACAAGAACCCCGAGAGGCTCTGGAGGATCCTGAAAAGAAGATGGTCCGACATACTGGATGCCCAGCAAAGTAGGGCTTCTGGAATAGACAGACAACTTCAGCTAAGGATAATAAAAATAAGAATCTAAAAATTTTCAAGTGTGGCACCAAAAAGATCTATGGAACTAAATAAAATGGGAATAAATAAAAAGAGGAGTTTTTGCTGGAAATTAAAGAGGATGACCCCTGTAAAGGGCCAAATGAGTGGCTATCAAGACCACGTGGAAAAAATATCTCAGAGCACAAAGCAAAAGGCCAAAAGATGAAAATCATGAAGGTTGGGGTCCTCAGAAATAACTCAGGTTTGCAGGAAGTCCCTTGGAAGGCAGCAGATGCTACAGAAAGGGATCAAACACTGAAGGCACAGGCTGAGTCCAAAGACCAGCTCTGCCCCTTACCTGCTAAATGTCAATAGATAAGCCATGATACTCCTTCATGCCTCAGTTTTTCCAGCTATTAAATGGGGTTGGTCATTACTGCAACCTCACAGAGTCATTGTGAAGATTGAATGAGAGCTCCTGCATCTATCTAGCAAACAATACATGTATAATAAACCATGGGGGTAAGGGGGACCTCATTCAGGTGCATCGCTATCTGAAATTAGACAATCATGAGAGGTGAGGAAGGGGGATGGGTTTGGGCCAGCTTCACCACGGACTCCCTAGCATGACTTGGAGACGTGACCACAGACCCCTGCTTCCCCATTTCTCAACCCACATATTAGGGGAAACTAAAGCTTCCTCTTCTCAGATGTGGGAATTTCCCCTAACCCCAGATGAACAGTCGATTGGACCAATGGTCCCCTGGGTGGTGAGCTTGGAACAGGATATTCACCCACTCTGCAGTCTATGCGCTGCATGGTTTTGGTACTGGTAAGTTGAGGACAGGTGTGGAGGTGGTAGGGAGACAAGTATAGAAGGAACAGAAAATGAAATGAATGCCGGCCTCCCCCATGGCCCTCCCTCCACCCAGAGTCTCCTTTCCATAACCACCTGCTCTCAGTCAAAACATGAACAATTCTGATAGTCATGGGCATTTGTTGATCAATAAATTAATTGATTAGGAGAATGTCTACTCACCCTTGTATACGATTCAGGGATTGTTCCAAAGGAATTTCCCTGTTGAGTTGTGCTCAGCTGGGGGTAGTACCAGCTTTCTAGGGGATGGTTTTGATTGTCATAATGATAGGGAGAGGTACCTCTGGCATATAGCAGGTATTACAGGCTTAATTGCGTCCCCCCTAAAAAGTTCATGTGTTGAAGTCTTAACCCCAAGAACCTCAGAATGTGACTGTATTTGGAGATAGGGTCGTTAAAAAGGTAATTAAGGTAAAATGAAGTCATTAGTGTGGGCCCTAAGCCAATATGACTGGGGTCCTTATAAGAAGAGTTTAGGACACAGATATACACAGAGAAAAGACAGCCATGTATAAGCCAAAGAGAGGAGTCTTACCAGAAACCAATCATGCCAACACCTTAATTTTGAACTTCCATTCTTCAGAACTGTGAGACAATATATTTTATATATTTTTGTTGTTTGAATCAGTCTGTGGCACTTTATTATGGAAGCCCCAGCAAACTAACACAGTGGACAAGGACCACATGAGGAAATAGCATTTTGAGAAGCTCTAACATTGCAAGAGCTAATAGCCCCAGAAGGTCCACTTGGCAGTAAAGTGAAATACTTCATCAAAGATCTTCACGAACTGCAGAGTTCAAAGGGACAGGTAGGTAGATGTCTCCATTGCTGTCCTGAGGATTTGACCAAGTCACAGCCCAGGTCGGCCACATCAGGTGGGAGTCTTGTCTTTCAGTTGGTCTGCCTTTCCAGGCCTTCCGTGGGCCAAATCTAGCAGAGGGCTAGTTCCACCACCTAGCTTGATCAAACCTCACCTGGGATGTTGAGAAAGTTGCTTTTCAAGAATAACCTTGCCCCATCTGCTTCCCAGCAGCTGGTGCACATCAGACAGGCAGTAAGGGAGCCCACTCCCAGTGCATCATGGTTCAGAGGACCCAAGTTATTTTGAGCTCCAGTTCAATCACCCAGACCCCAGACCCCCAGGGAAACATCACTTCCTAAGTGTCATGATCAAGGACTTGGTGAGCTTCCTCCAGACCCCAGAACTAGGAGACCATCACTAAAACATGTCCCTCCAGCTCACCAGCGACTGTGGACTGAATGTATGTGTCCCTCTTCCAAAATTCATATGTTGACACCCTGCCCCAATGTGATGGCATTCAGAGGTGGGGCCTTTAGGAAGTGATTAGGTCGTGAAGGTAGCGGCCCCCTGAATGGGATTAATGCCCTTATAAAAGGGCCCCCAGAGAGCTCCCTTGTCCCTTTTAACATGTGAGGACACCGCAGAAAGAAGCATCCATGAACCAGGAAGCAGGCCTTCACCAAACCCCGAATCTCCCTGCATCTTGATCTGGGGCTTCCCAGCTTCCAGGACTTTAAGAAAGAAGTTGTTTATGAGCCACCCAGCATGTGGGGTTCTGTTACAGCAGCCTGGAGGCACTAAAACACCATCCAACTGAACAAGGCCCCAAGTCCTCACCCTAGAAACGGTCTGACTTACACCCCAGGGAACTTGCTACATCCAGGCTGCCGGTCCCTTCTTGGGCGCCTCCAAATCAATTCGTGGAGAAGCAGGGCCTTCCGTGGAAGGGCAGGAGGTTCTCATCTCCAAGAGCCAAGGGGCAGTCGGGCACAGACTCCCACCCAGTGACCCAGTCTCATCCCTGGGGTTCAACAGGAACATTTCCGCTCACAAATCCAATACGTAGCTTTGTTGCAAGAGAGGTCATTCCAAGTGCCTCCTGTGTTCATGCTGCCACAGTCCTCCTCGTGAGCATTGTTAGGTTCTGCTGGTTCCCAGTAGCTGAACAGAAGGAAAAGTGGGTGTGAGAGGGGTGAACAGGTGGAGCACGGGGTACTTTTCAGGGCAATAAACTACTATTCTATGTGATACTGTAACGGCAGACACATGATGTCGATACTATGTGTTTGTAAAACCCATAGAATGTACAACGCTTGGAGTGAACCCTAATGTAAAGTATGGACTTCGGTTAATGATAATGTGTCCATTTAGCTCATCAGTTGTAACAAATGCACCACACAAATGCAAGGTGTTGATAACAGAGGAAATTTTGTGTTGAAGCGGAGCATATATATAGCAAATCTCTGTACCTTCAGCCCAATTTTTCTGTAAATTAAAAAAATTAATTAAGTCTATTGATTTTTTTTAACTGGGGGGAAAGGTCTTCATGGTACAAGACTCCCTCTTCTATCCAATCACTTCTCTCAGCCTCTCAGAATTATCTGAAGATTCGGCATCCTCCCCTTCACCACAACTTGTCTGTCCTAACTCAGCCCCACCTCTTCCCTCCTGAATCCATTTCCTGCATCTGGTCAACGTCTGCCTCCTCTCCCAGAGAACACTCCCTTTGTATCCCTAATTCTCCCAACCTCCCAAGTGCTAAAATGTCTTAGGTCAGGACAGATCCTTGTTTGGTGACTCAGGTGCCTGGTATTTATTAAAGGACACTGAGGAAAGAGGAAGTGAGAGGAGCAGGATGGGGCAAAGGGTGAAAGTGAGCCAGGATGTGGGTTCAGCTGAATCTAGCCTCAGCCTGACCCCACAGGGACCTCTGGAATGTGAATAGCATCGCAGAGTTGTCCCAACTTGAAACAAGGTATCCAGCCTTCTCTAGCCAGTCATTGGTTGTGGGCTGACCCCAGTGGGGATAGGGTGACTTTCTCCATGAGCAGACTTCCACTCATCTGAGGACAACTGTCTGGAGAAAGCATAACTGCGACCCTTTCTCAGCCAATGCCCTTTGCTGGCAGGTGGCAGCACTGGCCCCATGAAGGTATCTGAGCTGGGAGCCCACAGTGCCACGCCTTGTGGGCCACCTTTATTACAGAGCTGAGCCTCCTTCCAAGGACCTTTATAAAAAAATGAGATCCCCAGACAAAACACTAATATCAATAATAATAATAATAATAATAATAATAATAATAATAAAGAGCTCCTAGAAATCCATAAGAGAAAGACCAAAATTCCAATATAAAAAAAAACAAAAAATATGAATGGATAAGTCAACAAAATGTAATACATATGGCTATTGAATATATGTGTTTTGTCACTATAAGAGAAATGCAAATTAATACTACACTGGGATTTTATTTTTCACTTGTAATTAAAACAACAAAATTCCAAAAGTTTGATGAACATGTGGGCCAAAAAACTATAGTCAGATTGCTGAGAGGTTAAATTGGTATAACCAGTATGAGGGACAATTTGTTTATATTTATTTAAAATACAAATACAGCCCTGGCTGCTGTGGCTCAGTGGATTGAGTGCTGGCCTGTGAACCAATTCGATTCCCAGTCAGAGCACATGCCTGGGCTGCAGACCAGGTCCCCAGTAGGGGGCATGCAAGAGGCAACCACACAGTGATGTTTCTCTCCCTCTCTCCCCCCTCCTCTAAAAACAAATAAATAAAATCGTTTAAAAAAAAATTTTTAAATACAAATAGATACACTCCTTTAGAAAGTGAAGTCTAATGGCTGAGTGAATAGACTTTGGAGCCAGGTTGGTTGACACTGCCACCTGCTGGCTTTGTAACCTTGGGCAGCTTGCTTAACCTTCCCATGTCTCAGTTTCCTCATCTTTAAAATGAAGACAATACTACTTTCCTTACGGGAGTATTAAGATTAAATATGTAAATGGGTGAATATCTGTAGAACACAAAAAAATGAGATCCTATTCATCCTTTTTGCAAATCAAAATCTTCCTCTTGTCCTATAGCCACTCCACCTTTCTTTTCTTTCTTTTTTTTTTTTTTCCAACCATTAGCCTGGAGACTTGATATATTTGAGCAGTTGGCTAAAAGGTAGAGATTATTGCAATGGAAGAAAATCAAAAAGGTGCAAGGACCAGAAGCCCTACCAGAAAAAGAACATCCTGGGCCTCCTTGTCCAGTCCAGCCTGGAATTCTAGAGAACCTGCTGGTTTGGACTGGACAAGGGCCCACAATGAGCAGGGAACTCAAGAACTCTAGATACTTGCCTCAAAGTGACAGGCGACCCATCCAGCCACTTCCATTTCCCTTCGTGCTCCTTGTCACTCAGCCCCAGCCAGTACACCCGTGGAGAGCGGTGAGCCTTGGCCACAAAGTTCTGCAAGTACAAACTCTATTCATCCATCAATTCTTCTACACAATCCCTCAGGATGAGGGTCCCCTCTCTGTTCTGTCCCTCAAACATTTAGGGCTTTTGAATGCCACCCCCAAAGTCCCTCCCAGTCCCTGTGGCATCCAGAGAATGATCAACACCTTCCTCCTCCTTGAGCATGTGCAGTGAGAATAATTATGTTACTTTCTCACAAGACCTCTGGAGTGCTATGCACTTCAGTTTCCTCATCTGTAAAATGGGATAATAGTAGCTACCTCCTCATAGGGTGTGAGGATTAGATAAGTTATTAGCATAAAGTGCTCAAAACAGTCTCTGACGCACAGTAAGTACTGAGATGCCTTCACATTTAACACAATAACATTTAAGAGACATTTTAATAATAACTGATGTCTTGGTTTCCCGGGTACTTCCGGGAACTTCCCGGGTACTTCCACTCCGCCCCGCAGTCCTGACCTACATTCAGACAGTAAAGGAATCCATTGCTTCAGAAAAAGAGTGTGAAGAGGAAAGAAAGGAGAGGAGTGGAGCTTCCTGCCTTTTCGTATTTGAAAAGCCCAGGCTTTGAGGAGAAGAGAAAGGACTTGGGTCAAAGACAAAAGATCAGGAAGAAAATATGATTAAAAACAACTCCTGCCATGGCAAACTGACCTGTGACAAGAGACACCAGCTGAGCAGTTGCCTGGGGTGGGAGGGCGGAGGTAGGTGTTCTAAGCCTGGCTTGGGTTGCCAGTTACATGGCTGTATGCACAGGTCAAAACTGAATGTACATTTAGGGTCTGGGTATTTTACTGTATGCAAATCATACCTCGCTCACCCAATACTCAACCAATACTAAGATTCCTGAAAAGTTGGAAAGGAGAGAATACAAAGGGAAAAAACGTTACAAAGCTGCAGACATGGTGGGTGCCAGAGAGAGGGGCCCTGCATTCATCCTCAGTGAGCCCCAAGTGATGGCCAAAACCCCAGATAGGGTTGGAGACTCTTAAAAAGTCGAGGGGACCTGGACCTTTGTTTCTAGGTAAAGCCCCAGGGAGCTGTCAGGAAACCACAAAGACAAAAGGACTGCTTGGCTTATCAGATTAGAGTAGTGCCTCGCACATAGCACATCATGCGCGCTGAGGAAATGTTGGTTGAGGTAATAAATTAATAAGTGGGCTATGCACTTTGCACAGATTATCTCATTTGATCCTCACTGTGACCACGGAAGCAAGTATCATTATTATCACCCTTTTATAGATGGTTCAACAACTTGTCCAGGGTCACTCTGTCAGTGGACACCAGCTTGGTAGGCAGACGTCGAGGACCAGACCAGTGGTCCCCTCCACCCTGACTCCACAGAAGCTGTCCACTCAGAAGACAAAGGGAGGATCGTCACAGACTAAGATTAACTGTCTACAACCCAGGTGTACTGGGAGCACAAAAAAATCTAAATGAGTTATTTAAATCAAACAAAGGAATATTTTTTTATGCACCTGAATTTAAGGAGTATGATTTATACCTGCCCCACTCACATTATCTAATTTAATCCCCCAAACCCTTCTATGTTAGCTACTCATACAAATGATGCTATGAAATGGAAGAATGAAAACACAGAAAGGACCTACGAGGAAAAAATAAGATAATAAATAATCTTAATAACAAAGTAATAAATGTATTCAGTATTTTAAAAATAAAAACCTAATAAAAAATAGTTAACTATCTTAACAAAATCCAACCAAGTCAATAATTGCATTAAAATGAACATGGTCTAAAAAACACCAATTAAAAGCTGAGGATTGTCAGATTGAATTTTTGAAAAATAAGACCTGACTGCATGGTGTCTATAAGAAATCCATTTTAAAAACAATGACAGAGAGGAGTTAAAAGTAAAAGACTAGGAAAAGACATAGCACGAAAACACCTGGGTCGAATCCTGGCTCTGACACTACTTATAAGTGCACTCTGTCTTTGTCTCCTCATCCATGATGTACAAATGGTGTGAGCTGTGCACAAATGTACTACTACCTAACTGTAGTAGTACTAAGTCATAAAATTATTTGTAAATATTTCAGTTCTCCTTCTGCATATGCACAGGTAAAACTGTTTCCCTACCACCTTACAGCATAGGCATGCTCATGTAAGTGAATGCAGTGGAAGCTATAAGAGTCCGAGTGTAATTTGCCCCAGACACTTTGACCATTGAGCTGTGAGGACTGTCTGTTACTTCAGCATAACATATCCTTTCCTGACTCACGCAAGAATTTGCAGGGTTTTTATGAGGATGATGTTAACACAGATAATAGGTGAGATGTTTGGAATACAGTCTCAGAGAACAGGAAGTGTTACCTAGGAGCTAGCAATCTGAGACTTGAGGAAAATAACTGAACACGACCAAGATTTGAACTCAAGCCAAGCATACCCTCCTAACCTCTGCATGATATTGCATCAGTAAGAGCTTGCTATGAAAAGTTTCAGTCACTCAAAAGCAATTCTAGTTTCACTCCGTCCGGGCCAGGAAAAGACGTGTAACCCTGAGAGAGAAGCAGGCTGGCCCTGCCAGTTCTCATGGGCTTGGAGGGGACAGCTCACCTGCTCAGAAAAGCTATTGATGATAACCAAGTGAGAGTAATTCTCTTGGCAGAACTTCCGGGCTTCATCCCACGACTTGGTGTTTGGGGAGAAGTAGTAGCATTTGCCCTCGAAAGGGAGCCAGCCCTCAGGGCAGGTGATCCTTGGACAGTCTGGGAACAGGATAGACTTCAATGAGAATCACTCCCACGGATTCGTGCAATATGCCAGCTTTGCCATGCTCCCCATCTCGGGATAGTTCCCCAAGTCCCACTCACCTAATAAGCCCCAAAGTTCCACCAGGGACTGGTTGGTGTCAGCTCTTACTTGGTCAATGTCCTTCTTCAGGCCAGCAAGCCCCGTTATGCCAGTCACTGTCAGCAGGCAGGGCAGGAGGGTTAGAGACCCAAATCCCCATCTACCCACTCACCCAGCAATGACAGCAGACACAGCAGAGAGAAGCAAAAGCCATGCTCCCCACTGCACCCACATTCTTGTGGGTGGTACTACAACACAAAAACAACATGCTCACTGCCCAGGGGGAATCTTAGAGTGGCTCAGAGAAAGGATTGATCTTGGGCTTGGGGAAGAATGGGGATGGTGGGCTTCCTGGAAGTGGTGGGCTTTTGAAGGAAGACAGTGATTCAGTTACTGTGAGGAGGTGTGACACAGTAGGCACGTTGGAAGCAAAGGTACAGAGGCAACTATGTTAGGGAAGGCTGGCGCAGGAGAAGTTGAGGGAACCTCATAGGAGCTTGAGTGCAAAGTAGGGTGAGAGGCAATGTCCTGTTCTTTGAATGCCAGGTGAAGGGTTTTGTATTGGATTCTGGGCAGTGAGAAGCCACTGATTATTGGTGTCGGGGGAGGGAGGGTGGAATGCAGCAGTTTTCAGACTTCAGCAGTCATGGCAAAGATCATGCCAGCCCAGAAAATTTTCTACAACTAATGTGTGTATTTCCACCACTCCCACACAAACTTGTCCTCTCCCAACACTCCCTGGGATCATCAATAGGTGGCCCTTCAGTTAGAGGAGACAGAAATATAAGATATATAGACATAGGTAGATAAAGAGGTAGAGATATGGCACCCTTGACACCCTTGACACCCTTCCCTCTCACTAGCCATCATTCCCAGTCAATCCATCCCCAGGCCTGGTCAGCATGATCTCCTAAACCTTTCACTTCCCACATTTCTCTCCATCCCCACAGCCACAATCCTCATGCAAGTCATCGTCACCTCTCGCCTGTCCAGCCACACCATACTCCTCCCTCGTGCTTAAACAAGGCTGCCTCCCACCACAGAGCCTTTGCACATCCTGAGACCCTCCACCCTTCACCTGGTTAATTCCTTCTCTTCCTTCACTCAGCTGCAATACCATTCCTGAGGGAAGCCCTGTATGACCTTCCCAAAGATAAGATTAAGACCCCTTGATAGACTTTTTCTTAGAATCACCTTCCTTTAGACTAGTCATCAAAATTTGTAATTTTATACTTTGGAGGTGATGATTTGGTAAACAGCTCTTTAACACCTGTGCCATCCAACAGAAACAAAAGGTGAACCACAGGGGTAATTTGAAATTTTCTAGTAGTCACATTTTTTAATGTCAAAAGAAACAGGTAAAATTACTTTGAATGCTATTTCTACTTATCCCAATATATCCAAAATACTATCATTTCAGTGGGTAATCAATATTAAAGATTATTATTATAAATATTATTAAGGCATTTTACAGCCTTGTTTTGTAGCAAGGCTTTGAAATCAGTGTGTGCTTCAGACTTGCAGCACATCCCAGTTCAGAACGAGCACATTTCGGGTGCTCAGCAGCACAGCGGCTCGTGACCGCCTTGTTGGGCAGCACAGGTGTGCGTGGGTAGACACACACACATGCACACACACACACACACACACTCCACAGCGTCCAGGCCTGTGTCTAATGAGTTCACCATCCTGCCCACCCAACCTCGACCCCGGTGCCTGGCGAAGTGCCTGGCAAAGATGATCCTGGAGCTGAGTCTGAGGATCACAGTGATGCTCAGTATGCATGGCACGAAGCGGTGACTGGAAACACTCACCATTTGCCTGCCACGCCCTCTGCTGAAAGCTTAACATCTTCAGTTCTTCCACCACCTCCTGGTCTATGAGAAGGAGTCCAGCTTGAACCCAATCCTCCTGTACCCCATCCCCAATCTCCCCAGAAACCCATCCTCACCCTACTCACACTTAATCAGGGTTACAGCCAGACCAGTGCAGGCCAGGAGCAGTGACACCACCACCAGTACACACAGGAAAACCATCCATCTCTCCTCTTGGTAGCACCCAAGATCCCCAGACTTCTGACTGAGCCAGGGAACTGGAGTTGCTTGGGCGGGGAGCATGGGGGTTGGGGACAGAGAGTCCAATATTGGTGCTTGAGAGAGGGCAGAAAGGAACCTTGAGCCTTCTCCAAAAGGAAGGGGACAGAGGTCTATGGTCTTGGCCCTGTCACCTGATGGAGTCAGCAAGAGGGTGTTGGGCAGAGAAAACCCTGAAGAAGCCCAGAGCATTTATGGAGCACTTCCTATGTGCCAAGCATTCTGTTACAGCCTTATGTTATTAGACCCTCACCCTTATGGCATAGACGTACATAAGTAAACTGAGAGGTCATGCTTGACTTGGACCCAGCTCTGCCCTTACCCTCTACAGTGCATTGCCTTCTGCCCTCCAGAAGCTCCTGCCCAAGCTGCTCCCCATTCAAGGAAGCCTGTGGACCCTTGCATCTAGGGCAGAGAATGTTTCTTGTACCTTATATGCAAGCAGGAGGTAGGGCCCAAAGAATATATGGCAGACACCCTGATCCCCTGGGGGTCTAGTCTAGACTCAGGGAGAGGTAGCTTCTGAGAGGAAACATTTCTCTGCCCTATGGTCTCACTCTAGAACCCTAGGACTGAACCAAACACACTGGCTCCCGTGAGAGGAGAGAGAGGAGAACGTACAGAGAACTTACTTACTGGCTTGGGATGGCTGAAATGGAGGATGCTCCAGACCGGTGCCTGGGAGAAAGAGGGAGAGAGTTTCATGCAGAAGTTGCTGAAAGACTCTGTCTTCCAAGATCAACAAGGTTTCATCCCCCCTGATTTGCTTTCTAGTCAGAATTGGGGGACTGGGGAAAGGATGTCCAGGTGTTCCCTTTCAGGCTTCTTGAAGGGCTTTCTCATGGCTCACCCAGTTGAGATGTGTAGGTGACAGGGGTCAGATCCAGGCCTGGAGGGGATCAGAAAGATAACAGTCATGCAGAGCAAGATGTCAGCTAGGTGAACACAGAAGCCCCAGCCCTAGATTCTCACCTGAGATCTCCAGGTGCTTATGAGGAAGTGAGGGGGGTTCTGGATTTCTTCCTAAGGAGGAAGGAAAGGTTGCTCAGGCCAAAAACAGGGCAAAGCCAGCACTGGGTCTCCTGTGCCCCAAGCCCCAGCTCACCTGCCCTTGGAGGCCTTGGTGGAGCCAATGAACCTGGAGAAGAGAAGCTCAGAGTTAGAGCTGGTCTGGATGAAAATGATATCAAAGGCAGTGATGGAAACAAGGTTGAGATTATAATGGATGGGGCTAGGCATGAGAATGGAATGGGGGTTAGAGAAAGGAACAGAATTGAGATACAATAACCAACCATCCTGGACTATCCAGGACTTCCCCAGTTTTAAAGCTGAAAGTCCCACATCCCAGGAAATCTTTTGTCCCTGGGAAAACTGGAACAGTTGGTCACCCTAAATTAAAGGCATAGGTAAGTTTAGGGATGGAGATGAAGTCAAGGTTGAGGTTGGCATGAGGGTTTGGGTTGGGATGAGGGTCAGGTTGAATGTGGGTCAGGGAAAGTGATGGACAAGGGAGTAGGGCTGTTGTTGTTTTTTTATCCAAAGCCCAGTCTTTTTTTTTATGCCATTGAAATCAAGGGGAAAATCCTCCATGCACACAAAAATACCAAACATTGGAAAAACAGATTGTTTCTGTCTTGACAAGAGAGCTTCAATTAAGCAATCTGGCTAGCCTACCCCTCCAGTTAAAGTTGTTGTTTTGTTTTTTTTCTGATTGCAGTAATCTGAAGGGAGTAGGCCTGTAATTCAGGATGTGGCTGAGATGAAGAATGGGGTCATAGTTGCATTGGGTGGTGGGGGAAAAGTTGAGCTGGGTTAAACTTGGGTTTGAAAAAAGGGAGGAAGTTGAGTTTGGGTTGTAGTTGTGTTGGGGCATGATGATGGCACTGGATCGTGAAATGGAGATGGGAATGGAGAGCTATTACAGCTTCACTTGTATCTGGGGAAGGGGCTAGTTTTGGGGAAGGGGTGACCCTGAAGAAGAGGATGGGGTTAGTCTGGAGCTGGGTTTGAGAATCATGTTGGGACCACACTGGAGGTGGAGACAGGAGTCAGTAGACTCCCATTCACCTCCCACCTCATCCAAGCCCCACGGAGCCCTGAGACCTCCCAGGCTGGCCCCAGTCTAGACTCGGAAGTGGAGGACGTGGAGCCCCATCCCACATGGAATGGCCCCTGTCCAGTCACCCAGGCAGCCCAGCTGTGAGCCATCCAAGTCTAAAGGCAAACCTGGGCCCTGGCTGTGAATGTCGGGAGGTTGGGGAGCCAACGGTCCACTCTTGTTTCTCGAACACCAGCTTTCCTGTCTTTGGGTCTTTGCATCCACCAGTTCCCTCTGGGCTTCTCTTCCTAACAAATCCCTCCTCATCCCTCAAGTCCTGCTCTAATGTCCCATCTTCTAAACCCCCCAAACCTCCCACCGTTGCAGGCAGAGTCCTCCATTTCCTTCAAGATTTCTCCAGTCTCTTGGTTTTAGCCCCCTTAAATCTGTTCACCTGGGGTTGTTCCTAGCACTGACTTCCCCATCAGCCTGAGATATCATCAAGGGCAGGGCGGAGGCACGGGTCCTCCTGCCATCAGAGTGCCTGGCATGGGATGAGCACACAGCAAGCTGACCACGTGTCTACAAAACCCAGCTAATGCCCCCTGGAGACCTAGCTCCCCTTCCAGCCCACAAGCCACATCTAGCCTCTGAGAATTCCTCTTACCTGGCTTGGGAGGAAGGTCCTTGTAGGGAGGCGCCATGTTCTCATAATCATCAGCATCCTCCTCCTCCTCCTCTCTGGTCCCTTTCAGAGGAAAGACAAGTGAGCACCCAGCCCATTTCCTCCTCAGTCCCTCAGGCCCCAGTTTTCAACCCCACGGTGGAGATGCTATAACCTGGATCCTGACCACCCCTGGCTCCCAACCCAAGTCTGGTCAGGGCCATACCTGGCAGGTCCCGGCACCCAGAGTTAGTATACAGGGTAGGCATGGCTGCAGCTAATGCAAGAAACTAAGAAGGCGCAGCCAGAACTTGACAGCTTCTGTCCGTTGTCCTTCCTGCTCAGGTTTCTAGGGCTCCTCTCAGTTCCCTTTTCTTTAAAGACAAGTACATGCAAATCCATCTTGATGGGAACCTCCCCCAGACCACACACACACACACACACACACACACACACACACACACATCAAGGCTGTGGTTGGCATGAGGGTTTGGATTGGAGTGAGGGAGCAGTTGAAGATGGATCAGCAACAGTGATGGGCATGGGAGCAGAGTTGTAATTCAGGATGTGGTTGAGATGAAGAACAGGGTAATAGCTGTGTTGGGGGATGAGAAGAAGTTGAGCTGGGATGAACTTGGGTTTAGGAAAAGTGAAGTATCAGCTCATACATAGAAGTAACAATAACAACAGCCCTTGCATTGGAGTTTCTGCAGAGTACCAAGCCCTGGGTGGAAAAGATGAATAAGCTCCTTCCTTCATGGAACTTTCCATCAAGACAGGAGAGACCATAAACTAGTAAAGAAACATAGAAATAAACACTATAATTTTATTGTCTTTCCAATAGTGAACAACAATTTTTTAACAAAACAGGGTAATGGGATAGGATGGGAGCTAATGTAGAGAGGTGATCAGAGAAGGCTTCCTGGAGGTGGTCACATTTGTAACAAGGTGTAAAAGAGATAAATGCTAAGTACTCCCACATTCCAAAGTGAAGTTCTAGGACACTGGATCAGTTAGCTGTAGCTGCATAAAAAATTGCCCCAAAACGTAGTGACTTAAACAACAATAGCACTTATATTTTCTGTGGTTCAGGAATGCAAGAGCAGCTTAGCCAGGGGGTTCTGGCTTCTCTCATAACCCAGGGGGTTCTTGGGATCTCTCATAAGCTTGCAGTCAAAATGCTGGCCAGAGCTGCAGTCATCCGAAGGCCCAAATGGGGCTGCGAGAGCCTTTCCCAACATGGTATCTTCATATGGTCCTTGGCAGAAGGCCACAGTTCCTCACCATGGGAGCTCCACCAAGGACTGACTGAGTGTCCTCACCACATAGTGGGAGCCAGCATGGAAACCACTGTGCCTTTTATGGCCTAGCCTACAATCCCAAGCTATGATCTCCACTACACTCTATTTGTCACGTGGGCCAGCTGTGAGTTGTTGAGGGAGGAGACAGCACAAGAGCGTGAATGCCGAGATGTAGGGATTGTCAGGGCCATCTTGAAGGCTGGCTACGGCAGCCACATAGACAGAACTTACAAAGGAAACTTTTTCACACTTAGCTTGACGTCAACGAGTGGGTACTTACTCACAAACTGAAAGTTAAAGAGAGAGGGAGAGGACCGCCTTCCCCCGTGGGAAAACCAAAAGAGGAGGTTTTGACTTGCACCCAAAGCAGCATGAGGTGAAAGGATGGACATAAAAAAAGAGCTGCAGTAGCAGTGGCTGCATGTTTTGAGGCAGCAAGGACGTGGGAGTTTCCTGTGAGTCAGGTGAAGGTGGTGGATTAACCAGTCTGAAGGCATCTGGAGAACCCTGCCCAAGAGGGCAGCCTGCATGTATTTCTCAAAAGGAGCACTGTCAGCCTTTTGGCCCAACAACCTTAGAAATATCCATGGCTCCTCCCTTCTCGCTCATTGGCTATGGCAAAGGGAATGTTCAAAAGATGTTCCCAAGAATACCTCATGTTCTACAAGGCCTTATGCAATGTGACCTTGCTACTCCATTAAGGAATACAGTCTAATTTTTCCTCCTACTGAATCGGAGCTGGTCTTAGTGACTCTTTTGTAACAAACAGAATGTGGTGAAAGTGACATCGGCCCTGCAGCTTCCACCTGGGTCTGTCAGGACGGGCGCTTACCAGCGCCATGTTGTGAGAAGGCCCAGGGAGGTAATCCACTCAACAGTCTCAGCTCAGCCCAGGTGTCAAAGATTCCAGCCCTCAGGACATGAGAGTCACATCCAGCCCTGAGTCTTCCTGTCATCTGGCCAAATGTTAGTAAGTCTGGTTGGCTCTCCCTTCACAATACATCCAGCATCTGAGCGCTTCTCCCCTCCTGCTCTGAGCCAATATCATCTCTCACCTGAATTATGATCATAACTTCCACCTTATTCTACCTGCTGCTCCCTTTGCCCTCCATGTAGTCAACTCATAAAAGCAGAGCATAGGAACAGAGGGTGGTTCCCAGGGGCTGGAGGGAGGGAAAGTGGGGCGATGTTGATCAAGGTTACAAAGCTTCAGTTATGCAAGATGAGTGAGTGATGGAGAGCTGGTGAAAGCAATGTGACTGGTTGACAATATTGCATTGTGTACCTAAAATTTGCTAAGAGGGTAGATCTTGGGTGTTCTTGCTACAAAAAAAAAAAAAAAAGGAAAATGGCAGTTGTGTGAGGTGATGCACATGCTGCTGGTTTGGCTGTGGGGAACACGTATGACTGGCATGTGCACCGTGTCATCACGTTGCACGCCATGGACACAAGCATTTTTGATGGCCAGTTTGACCTTGGTAGAGCTGGAAGAAAAGCAAACAATGGTCTGTCTCGATTTAAACTTTCAATATTTGGTTCATCATGGATTTTGTATTTCTTTTTATTTTTTTAAGTATTTCATTGATATATCATTTCTCTTTGAGGGAAAAAGAAGTATGAGGTCAGGGTGTCAGCAGGGTGGTGTTCCCTCTGGGGAGTCTAGGGGGAGGGGCCTACCTGCCTCTTCCAGCTCCTGGGGGCTCCTGGCAGCCCTTGGCTTGTGGCCACACCACTCCGACCTCTGCTCTGTCCTCACATGGCCTGCTCTCTGTGTGTCCCCTTGTCCTGAAAGTCTCTCTCCTTTCTCTGAAGCTAGATGCTATACTGGTGACCTGACAGACACAGAAAAAGGCCATGAGATTAAGGAAAGCAGTTGTGGAAAAGGCAAGAAAGCAGACACTCCCATTAGTTCCTCCAGGGGCAGGTGGCCCTGCAGATACCTTGGTTCAAGCCATGTGAAACAGTTTGAACTTCTGACCTCCAGAGCTATAAAAGAATTACTTCTGTTGTTTTAAGCCACTAAATCTGTGATGATTTGGTATAGCAACCATAGGAAAGTATTACATACCCCAAAGGACAAGACACCAGTTCCCTTTTTAGGGGCTTTCCACTACCAATAAAAGGAAATACAACTCAAGTTCCCTTTAAAAACAAAGAAATCCCATCCAGCCCACGTACAAATTAGAGTAACAAGCTGGGTTTCTGTAACAGAGATTCAGAACAAGAGTGGCCCCCACAAAACAGAATTTATGTCTCACCTCACAGTCACAATATTGGCCATCAGCAGTCTCCCCAAGTGGGAAACAGCTCCCAGCACAGAGGGAGGGAGGTGGCCCCAGCCCTGGCTGAGGGGGGAAGTAGGCAGCAGACCAGCCTCCCTCTCCAGAGAAAGCAACCTGGGGGCCAGGCTGTCCCCTGTTACACTGAGTGAGGGGGATGCTCCCATTCTACTGACGCAGAAGTCTGGGAAGGAAGGAAGAGCTGTCTGCCCAGCAAACACACGTGGAACACACATGGGGTCAGGGAAGAAGGAGGGGACAGAAGTAGGAGTGGGCTACTCCAGCCAAGAAGACCAATAGCATCTCTGCCTATCAAGGGTGTCTTTTGAAGTGGGCAGCCCTGGAGCAAGGTTAGTGTGGTAAAGATTGGATGGTCTCACTGAGTAGGAATGATGGGCATATGGCCAAGGCCATCCCCCGGGGCCTGGCTCACAGCAGGCACTGAGGAACTGGCAGTGGAATCCAGTCCCATCCACTGGGTATAACATAAGACCATGGGCCCAGGCTGCGTCTTGCTCTGCCCCATTCTTGCTGTGTTACCTCAGGGGAGAAAAACATCTCTGATCAACCACCTCATGATATGTCCAAAAGGGATGGGGGTTCCAGTGGTCCATTCATCCATTCAACAGATATGTATTGACCACCTACTATGTGTTAGGTCCTGTGCTAGGTACTAGGGATCCATTGGTGAACCCCACCTCACCCCACCCCAAAAAAATCCCTTGCAATAAAAAGGAAGATCACAGAGCAAAAATCACACAAAACATGTTCTCGGATCAGAACCAAATTAAACTAGAAATTACAGAAAGATTATCTGGAAAATTTGCAAATATTCAGACATCAAGTCACATCCACGAGTCAAAGAGGAAGTCAAAAACTTTAAATATTTTTAATTGAATGAAAGCGAAAGTGGAGTACAGAAAAAATAGCACTAAGAGGGAAAGTTGGGACATTAAATGCTTATATTTAAGAAAGTGAGCAGGTATATTTGAAATTTGCTAAGAAAGTAAATTTTATGTTATTTTTTCAGGTAATATTCTTAGAAATATCTTTTTTACATGTGCTGCCAGATTTCTCTACATGCATCACAGAACTGTCGACACATCCGTTCACCAAAACAACACTGTTCAGAGGTACGCGCACAAGGAACACTCATAAATGCAAGGATTTTCCCTATGTCTTTAAACACACCGCTACATGCATTCCAGAATGGATACCCCACCCTCGCCCAGAAATAATGAGTACTGTGTTCAAAGAGTAGATCTTAAAAGTTCCCATCACAAGAAAAAAAAATTGTAGCTATGTGTGGTGACGGATGTGACCTAGACTCACTGAGGTGATCATTTTGCAAGATATGCAAATATCGAGTCATTACATTGTCACCTGAAGCTAATATACTGTTAAAGGTCAGTTAAATCTCACTTTTAAAAGAAGAAGAAGAAGGTGATCAGGGAAGGCCTGACCATTGAAATGGACAGAAGGCGGTGGAGGGAGAGCCTCAGATATCTCCAGGAAGAGCATCCCAGGCTGTGCAAAGGCCCTGAAGACACGCGCTCTTGCCATGTTTGAGAAACAGGAAGTCTTGGATCCAATGTCCCCTTTACTGTGACTTTGTACAATGACCCTAATTAAAGTCCCAGGCCAGCCCTTCTCATACACTCCATCCCTTACGTTTCTCCTTACCATTTGTTGCCATCTCATCGCCACCTAACATCCCATATATCTTACTTCTTTGTCTTGCCCACTGCCTGTGTTCCCCACCATTAGAAGCTCAACTCCACTGCGTGGCACCCAATGAATGTTTGTTGAATGAATGAGTGACCAACCTACCCACCAAGCCCTGACTAAGGCCACCGCAGCAACTAGGCCTCTCTGGGCTCACTTGTGCCTCCAGCACCAGCCAGCCAGCCACTTTCACCGCTCCTGAAGTACCTATGGGCAAGCGTCCTCTCTTTCCCCAGGGGGCTTTCTGGACAGGCCTCACTGACCTTGTTTTTCCTCCTCCCCCAAAAATGAATTACCCAGAGCTTCCAATCTCCTGTCCAGCAGACCATGGTGAGGCACAGACGCTGCCCAAAATTTCCTTCTCCACCCCCAGTCCCACTTGGGACCTCTGAGTCTGATCTGCTCACAGAATGCCAAAGCAGTCTCTACCTGAGGCAGGCCAGGATGGCGAGGGAAGGAAAGAGGAGGGGCGGAGATGCTGTGGACCGTGAACCGGGGCACCTGGGGGGCACGGGTAGGGGACAGATGGTTGGTAGAGAAAAAACAGGAAGGTTGTGGGCACGGGTAACTGAGGCCTGGCCCCCTCCCTCCTCACCATCACGCAAGCTGGCTAATACCACCCTCACCCTAACACCATCTCCCCTGGGCCCCCAATCTGAGTATGGACAGGACAGGCAGACGTACCTAAGTCCTAGGACCTCAGGACAGAGTGGCCACATTCCACTCCCCACCAAGAGTCATTCCTGGCTTGGACCCCAATGTGCTGGTATTAGGATGTGAGGCCTTTGGGAGGTAACTGGGTCGTGAGGGTAAACCCTCATGAGTGGCATTAGTGCCCTTATAAAAGGGACTCCAGAGAGCTCCCTCATCCCTTCCCCCATGTGAGGACACAGCAGGAAGTTGGCCATCTACAAGCTGGAAGATCAGCACCCTGATCTTGGTCTTCCAGCCCCTAGAACTGTGAGGAAAAATCTGTTATTTATAAGCCGCCCAGCCTGTGGAATTTTGTCACCACAGCCCAGATGGACTGAGACGGTGTATGAAGTGTGAGATGTCCACCCGTAGGTGCCCAGTCAGCAGCTGGATACACCTGCCGTGCAGGGGACAGGGTGCCTCTCGAGACAAATAGGGGAGTTCTCCACCTAAAGGGGGCACATTTGTTTCCTGGGGCCTCGGAACCAAATGACCACCAACTGGCTGGCCCCCCGGATGGGGACCTTATCCTCTCACAGCTCTGGAGGCCGGAGGTGCGGAATGAAGGTGTCCGCAGAGGCGTGCTCCCTCTGACGGCTCTAGGAGCCCTTTGGCTTGTGGCTGCGTCACCCCAAGCTCTATCTGCACCTCCCCAGGGCCTGCTCCTCTTCCTGTGTCTCCTTTCTGTTGGTGCTACATCTTCTGTCTTTCTCTTGTAAGGACACATTGGATTGGTGGCCCACATGGTCAATCCAAGATCATCTCGAGATTTTTCATTACATTTTCAAAAACACCTTATCCAAATAGGTCACATTCACAGGTTCCGAGGATCAGGGTATGGATATATCTTGGGGCGGGGGCGGGGGCAGCAGTGAACCCACTACAGGTTGTATTTAAAGCCCCACATGGGGCTGTGAGTCCAGAGAGATGCCGCTCACCCCCTTTAATCCTCTTGTTCATGCCTGTGTCCTCAAGTTCTGACACAGCCATTCATTAAAGAAGCATGTAGTAGTAATAACAATAAGTAGCGCTTATCTAACCCTATGTGATAAGCACTTCTATAAGTACTTCATATGATTTAATCCTTACAACATTAAAACTAATATTTCCACTTCACAGAGAGCTCAAGGCCCTTGCCCAGGCCACATTACTAGGATTCTAATCCAGGACATCTGTTCTCTCAAATGGCAGGGATCCCCACCTGGCCCAAGTAGAGGGGTCCTGCTTGCTTTAGAGGACCTCACCTATTACAAATGCAAAATAAATTTACTGAAGAACCCAGGACACCAAAGCCACAGGAGACAGAGCTGGCATAGAACAACCGTAACTCTGAACATCACTACATGGCTCTTGGTATTAATGCCATTCGGACCCCAGGGGAGTGCTCCCCAGCCTCTCTGGCTGATGTCCTAGTGTGTCTGAATTCTGCAGCTCTCGATTCTCCTCATGCAGATGATGGAAACGGATGCTGCTTTGGAGTGTGGGGAAGACTTGAGCACTAGACAAGCTGGGGTGGGAGAGTATTACTTTTCTAAGTGGCTTAAAACAGCAAAAATGTAGCCTCACGGTTCTGGAGGCTGGAAGTGCAGAATAAGGTGAGGGCAGGGCGGAACTCGCTCAGAAGGCTCTGGAAGAGGAGGCTTCCTGACTGGGATCCTTTGCGGCCCTTGGCTTGCTGGTATTGTAGAAGCATCACTCCGATTTCTGCCTTCGTCTCATACTGTGTTCTTCCCATGTGCAGGTCTGGACACCAGTCACTGAGTAGGACCCACCTGAATCCAGGATGACCTCGTCTTAATTACAACTGCTAAGACTCTATTTTCAAATTAGGCCACATTCACCACATTCACAGGTTCCAGGGCTGGGAGTTCTACGTATATTTTGCAGGGAGGGGACACAATTTAACCCACAGCACTTTGTCTAATGAAATCCATCTTTGCATAATCAAGGTGTCATTTCCCAACAGAGCCAAGCTCCCAATGAATGATTGACTACTCCTTGCATTCCAATGAAGGCTCCAGAGAGACTAACAAGTTAGCACAGTTGTTACAGTGCATGTTGAGGCCAAGAAGTATTTGGAGAATTAAACAATGCGCTCTTAAATTTGCATATATGTAATGGAATAGGTGTGAAATGTAACATCAATTCTTTAAAGTGGCAACTAGAGTTACTAGAATTACAATTTGTTTTATTTTCACAAACGTATTCAGTAAGATTTATTTAAAATTTCAGCTCTAGTTTTTTATAACTTCATTTGCTTATTTAAATTAAATTTAATTAATTAAAATATTTACTTTGAATAGTTTTATTTAAACTTTTGATATTCACAGAATATATCACTGGTACTGTGCAAGGCGGGTTGTTTTTTTTTAACAAATTCAAATGTTCTTCAAGAAAAACCATTTTTTTTAATATATAATATGTAAAAATACCATTTTCACTTGAGCGCTAGCCTCGGAAGCTCAGGGGAGCCCAGTGAGAATGGGGAGAGGCCCACCAGACCCCGTCGGGCGCCCTCCACCTCCCCACCCAAGTGGACTTCCAGACATAAAAAGACCCCCACACACACTTCATCGGCGGTCACAGGATCAGGCGAAGGAGCGCGCTGCGGCTGTAATGTCTCCACATGGCCGCCAGGTGACGCCAGAAAAACAGGAAGTTCTCCGAAGTCGTTCATCACTACGATCCTTGAGGCAGCAGGCGCAACCCGGAAGCCCTGACTAATAAAAGGAGAGTGCTTCCGGGTAGGAACGAGGTGACCCCAGCTGCCGCCGGAATCTGTGGCGACAGCAACCATGGGGGCGCACCTGGCCAGGCGCTACCTGGGCGACCCCTCAGTGGAGCCCGACCCCCTGCATATGCCCACCTTCCCTCCCGACTACGGCTTCCCTGGGCGCAAGAAGCGCGGTGAGATCCAATGCGCAGGCGCGGCCGGCGAGGAGGGGACGCAGACGCTTTAACCTCGGGGGCCTTAGGGCTGGGTTCTGCACACACCTCCGCCGAGAGGAATCCAAGGACAGGCGTGACTCTGCCTGAGTGGGGTGGCATTCCAGGCAGAGGACACGGTTCTACAAAAAAAATCCGGAGGCCAGAATGGCAATATGGAGTTAATGAGGCGCTCGCAGCTGGGCTTTGTCCTGGAGTCAGTGTAGGAGCCGTGGGAGGGTTTATCAGGAAGGGCCTTGTTCTTTGCCTCCTGTCCCGATGTCAATGCTATTTTTATGTGCAAGAAAAACCAAGGGGGCTTAGACCATGCGTACTGTCCTGCACGTTGTTTTTTTATGTACTGAGTTGGCCAAAAAGTCCATTTAGTTTTTTTCTGTAAAATAAAAGGCTTTTTTTTTCATTTTTGCCGGTAACTTTACTGATTTGGATATTTTGAGGATGTTGACTATCTCCTGCTGTTGGCTTCTGATGAGTAGAGGCCAGGGGTGCTGCTAAACACCTTCCAGTGCATAAAACAGCCCCACGGCAAAGGATTATTTGGTCAAAACGGCAAGAGTACCAAGAAACTTCTCAAACCACTTTTGACATAATCAGTCGGTTGCACCACCTGTTCCATATGCTACACAAAATTTCATTTTTGCATTTAAGTTGTGTTTCTGCCTTTCTTGAAATACTAAAACAAATGATCAAAAATGTTGCATATTTTCTTTCATCTTCAATACTTAAATGGCTACACAAAAATTCACCAATTCTAATGCTTATTTTTTTTAAATGCACACTGATATGACAGCTGTCACAATACAGTCTAACAAAATTATTTCAAATGAAGTAGAGCCATCATACAGAAAAAAACTAAAACATTTTGGCCAACCCAATAGTGATACCACAAATCTATCAAGTGCCAGTCCTGGGCCCAAGTCCCATGCTGGGCACTGAGGCTGCAGCAGGCACTGATTAAAGGAAACCAACAGCCCTGGGTGTGAGACAGTGGCACCAAGACCGATTTTGGGGACAGCACCTTGTAATATCAAGGCAGGCTTCCAGGAGGTGATGGCTGGAAGCAAGACCTCAAGGGGAGTGAGTAGGAGTTGACCACAGGGAGACCCAGGAGAGGGAAGAGCCAGCATTTGTAAGTGAAGGAGGAGGACAATCAGATTTGCTTTGTCAAAGGTCATGCTAGCTGCTGGGTGGATGACAATTTGGAGGCAGGGAGACCTTTTAAGTGGGGGTGTGCAGAGGTGTGCTGGATTTGAGAGAACTTTGGGAGGTGGGAGGAGGACTCCTCCAGTAAGTGGCCCAACTCCTGGTAGTTGGTCAGCCCTACCTGAACCTGCAGTCCATTGGCCCACGTGTCTTCTCACACGTTAATTGTTCCCTCTGCCTCTCACACCCTGCTTTGCCCTCTGTTTGACAAACACCCACAGCCCCCTGTTCCTCTACTGCTTGGCTAAACCAAAGTCCTGGTTAAGCCCTGCCCTGCTCTCCTTGGCTCCTGTCCCTATACAGCTGAAAATCATGGGTGAAAACACAGCCTCTGTGACTGCGTTCCCCATCAGTCCCCTGGTTGACCCTTCATGCTGCTGACCTTCCTGTTACATTCCTTGGCCCTTCGCTCTGCTGCTCCCTCCTAGACCAGTGTGCCTAGACCAGTGTGCCAAGTCTTCTCTCTGACTCCATCACCTTCTTCCCACCTCCTTTCAGCTAGTTGTTTTGCACCCTCTTATTAAGAAAATAAAAGCCGTCAAATGAGTCCTCAGGGCTCCGTGGCAGTCCTCTGCTGTTGCTGCAGATGACCTGGCCCTGCTGCAGAAAACCCTTGTGCCCTCCATCCCATCTTCTCACCTACCCAAGGGCGCCCCTACCATTCTCCCTTTCCCTTGCAACCTTGGCTTTCCTTCTGTCAACATGCAAATAGTCACCTTTTACTCTTTTAAATACCCTTCCAACTACCTCCCCCTCCAGCTATCTCACCACTTCACTGCAAGAGCTCCCGTCAGGTTTCACAAACACACATCACTAAACCCCATTTTCAATTCTCAGTTCTAACCAATCCCACTGCAGCAGCATCAGGACTGGTTGATTGCTGCACCCTCCTCCCCTGGTTCCCAGGACCCCACACTATTGCCCAGCTCACTGTGGGCTCCTTCACTGATTCTTCCCCACTCCCCGTCTTGTGAATGTTGGGGAGCCCCAGGGCTCAAGCCTCTGTCTCCACTCACTCCCTGGGGTTTTCTGCTAGTTCCCTACCTTCAAAAGCCTTCTGTGTTCCAGTGCTCCCAAGTTTTTCTTTTCAGCTGAGCCTTGACCCTTAACTCCAGACTCATGGACCCCACTGCCTGCTTGGCTTCTCTGCATGATGGTAACAGGCATCTTGCACTCAGCAGGTCCAAAAGAAAGCCCCTGACCTGCCCACCAAGCCCATGCTCTGACCACATGCTCAGTCCAAAACCCCTGGGGCATCCCAAGGCCTGTCCTGTCACCTCAAGGCCTTGGCACCTTTTGTTCCCCTACTGAGAACACTCTTCCCCTAGGTGTTTGCATGTCTCTCCCCCTTACTTTCAGATGCCACCTTCTGAAGTTGTGAACCACCTTGCAACACTGCCTTTCCCTTGCTGTATTTTTCCAATACTTAGCATTGTGGACATTCTGTGATGTTAACTCCACCTGTTTGTACTGTGTGTGCCTCCAGGGGCAGGATCCCCAACACAGTAGGTGCTTCATAAATCCTAACTGCTGGCCCATTATGCCAGAGCACCAGGTGCTGGTAGCAGTCACATTGCCATGGAAACCTGCAGGGGGCTGTAGGTGGATTACAGGCCTGGGGCTCAGACAAGGTGGGGCGGGGGGGGGGCGGTGTAGTACCAGAATTAGGGCTCAACAGTCTGTGGGGGTGGCCATCAGAGCAATGGATTAAAATGAGCAAAAACTCTCAGCAATAACTTCAGGAAGACACAGCCATAGAGTGGAAGCAAAGACGGGTGGGGGGGTGGGGGGCGGGGGTTAGGGGAGAGCCAGGGAAAGAGAATGTTCAAAAGTGAGAGGCTGATGAATAGCAGTGTCCTGGGGTCTCAGTTGCCTTGTGTGGGCAATGTTGGGCGGAGTATAGAAGGTGGAGAGAATTCTGTGCAGGGACAGGAGATGAGGACCTGGGCCAGAGGGAGACAGAGACATGTGGTTCAGAAGCGAAGGGAAGAGAAGCCAGTGGGAGAAGACTGCCACTGAGCTGGGACATCCTCTGCTATGACTTCTAAGGGCCCCAGACAGCCTCCTGAAGGTTGATTTGGTCTGGGGTCAGGCTTGCCAGGTGGGTGGGGCCCAAGCCCAAGAGCTAGTTCAGCTCTCACTGAGGTAGGCGCTAAGCACTTTACATTAGTTCCTTAATGCTCACTCAGTTGACTTTGGAGCTGGGGACTGTTAGTCCACTTCTTAGGGGAAGAAACTGAACCTCAGAGAGACCATACTGTAGAGGGAGGGCAGAGCGGGGATCCAGGTCACCCCAGTAGCCCAGACCCCACACTGGGTTGTGCCAGCAGAAGGGGAGCACCGGGCTCTGCAGTGTGGGCTGGAGAGTGATCCAAGGGAGAGGAGGGGAGATGAGGATCCATTGTGGATGCTGAGGTGTCTGAGGTGATGGGAAGGAGGGACTCTGGGCTTCAGTGTCTGGAGTCACCTTTGTGCACATTAGAAAATGACACTCCATCTGTCAGAGGGTGGTGGTAATCTGCCACCACATGATTGACCTGTGGGCCTGGGGGTGGAGGGCAGTGGTGACCTGAGTTGCTGTGGCTCTTGGTTACCCATGGGCCTGCTGGCTCTCCCTGGAATCAGGGCAAATGGGGAGCCTTCAGCAGTTAGGCCCCCCTAAAATCCCACACTAGCTGAGCCCTGCCCACTCCCTCCCCACAGAGATGGTGGCCACGCAGCAGGAGATGAACGATGCACAGCTGGTGCTCCAGCAGCGAGACTACTGCGCCCACTACCTCATCCGGCTACTCAAGTGCAAGCGTGACAGCTTCCCCAACTTCCTAGCCTGCAAGCATGAGCAGCATGACTGGGACTACTGCGAGCACCTTGAGTGAGCCCCAGACCCACCCCATGTCCCCCACACCCCCACCTGGCCCCCCGCCCAAGGCTGAGGCAAAAGATAGTGAACTAACCTGAGTTTCTAGCCATGTGCCACCTTAGTCAAGAAAAGAACTCTCAAGGGGCCTGTTGGGTGGGGAGGACAGTTTTGAGGCCACCTGGGGGATAGGCCAAGCCAAGGTTCCAGGTGAGAGGCCCAGGGCTCACTGGTGTCCCCCAGAAAGGGAGGGGGCAGACCCCAGACTTGAACTCAAACACACAGGTCTCCCCACCTCCAAGGCCTCCCCAGAGTGCTCTGGGACACAGTTACAGCCCCAATGGCTTCCTAGGGCTAAGGGAGTGCCAGGTCTGTCCAGGGAGTCTGACACCCCTTCTCATACTCTGCCCACAGCTACGTGATGCGAATGAAAGAGTTTGAGCGGGAGCGACGGCTGCTGCAGCGGAAGAAGCGGCGGGAGCAAAGGGAGGCAGATCTGGCCAGAGGCTAGGGGCCTGCAAGGTGGCCCTGTAGTGGGCCCACCCACTACCCGATGGACCAGTGGAGAAATAAAAGCCTCCAGGCCCTTAGCCCAAGCCTGCCTGTTCCTGTGGTGTACTGGTCCCCAAAGCCCTCAAAAGAAACACACTGAGTCTGAGTCTGGCTGGGCAGGCAGATTTTATTCCAGGTGATACAGATTGGTATACCCCATTCCTCCCCAGAAGGACATCAGATAGGGGTACAAGAGCCTGCCTCCTGAGAGCCGAGCTGGTAGCCAGTGGGGGTGGGTGACTCAGAGCAGGAAGGGGATGATGGGCATGCGCAGGGGTGGGTAGTCTCGGAACTCCTTCAGGTAGCTGCGGTGCTTGCCCTTGGCCCAGATGGTCATTTGGGTGAAGCCCACCAGAGAGAAGAGGGCCACTGCAGGGCAGAACAGGGTCAGGAAGGGTGCACAGCCTGGGAAAGGGGCAGAGCCCAGCTGAGGGAGGGAAAGTGGGCTCACCTGGGAGACACTGTGTCATGATGGCAAAGCCAATCCAGGACCCCACCTGTGGGCACAGGGCAAGAGGTGAAGACGGGCAGGGCTGGGCAGGCCAGCTGTTTTGTTGAGACCTCACCCACCCCCTGGGCCACCTCCCTCCCAACCTTTGCTTTCTAAGTAGGAGGTAGGAACCAAATTCCAATGCTAGAGGGGCCCCAAGTAAAGTGGGGCTGCATGATGAAACTGCCCCTTGGCCCTCAACGCCACAAGCCCAGCCTTACACAACTCCCAACCCCCAGAGGGTGCAGTCCGCATCTCCAGATGTTCATTCAAACTACAAAATCAAGGCCCTGGCTGGTGTAGCTCAGTGGACCCAGCTCGGGCTGTGAACCAAAGGGTCGCTGGTTTGATTCCCAGTCAGGGCCCGTGCCTGGGTTGCAGGCCAGGTCCCCAGTAGGGGCCAAGTGACAGGCAAGCACACACTGATGTTTCTCTCCCTCTTTCTCCCTCCTTTCCCCTCTTTCTAAAAATAAATGTTGAAAGTCAAAAAACACTACAAAATCAACTACTAAGCTAGGCAACTCCCCACAGAGACTGGCCCCTCCACACGGAACCTGAAGCCCCACGAGGGACAGGGGAAGCCGGGCAGATGCTCACCTCATAGGTATAGTTGGGGCAGGACACGAGCAGGAAGAGCCACGTGAAGGGGTTCTTTGTAGGGTATGGGATCTTCCTGGTCTTGGATCCTGACAGGCAGGACGAGAAGGATGCCTGTCATCCTCCTGGCCCAGCCCGCCCACACCCCCTGCACAGAGCCAGCACTCACCAGCTGGCCGCAGGTCCCGCAGGGCCATATGGATGGAGAAGTTGCCCAGCTGGCAGATCTGTCAAAGGAACAGAGTCAGCCCAGAGCCACCCAGACTCCCTCCACCCCATTGCATGTACCAGCCTTCTTACCACAAAGATGGCGAGAGCCAATTTAACCTGCTGAGCTCCATAGGCTGTAAAGAGAGGAGGGAGGCCTGTAAGAGAAGCCTGGTGGGGAGATGGAGGCTCATAGAAGCAGGGTCCCAAAGCCACTTACTGGGAGGCGTGTAGAGGGGGTGGTTGATGTAATAGGCCATCCACGCAGCAAAGCCCCAGTAGTAGGTGCAGTTCTGAAAGGGAGTAGGGCCAGGATGGGGCCTGGCCCAGTGGAGGGCAGAGTCCAGGTGGGCCAGGTGAGGTGCAGGAGGAGGCAGGGCCCCCATGAGAGGTAGGAGAGGGCAGGGCCTGGGTGCAGGGGCCTGGGACACTAGGCCGGGGGCTCACCTTGAAGATGTTGCGCAGGGGCATGGTGCCATGGGAGAAGCGGTGTACAAAAAGCGTCTCCAGCAGGCGCTTGATGTAGTGGAATGAGTGGCAGATGCAGGCAAGGCTAGGAGAGGGAGAGCTGGCTCAGGAGTCCGTTTCCAGGCCTTTCCCCCACCCCCCCTCACCCCTCCAGCCTGGCCCACTCACTGCACCACTGTGTGCCGGCTGGACGTGAAGTCATATTTGTGGCCATAGATAAAAGGAACCCGGAAGTAGAAGAGCAGGTAGATGAAAAGGGGTCCCGCATACTCTGTCAGGAAGACCTAGGAAGAGGGGCTCAGGTGAGTCACCCCATGTGGCTGATGGGAGAGGGAGCTGTAGGTATGGCTCAGGGCTCACCGTCACCCAGCTGATCTGGGCCCCCAGGTCCCGGAAGTACAGTGTGGCGGTGGTGCCCACAGGCAGCTTCTGCAGAACGTCCTCATCCTTCAGGGACTTGCCCTCTGCAGAGAGGCAGGCCACAGCTCAGGAGCTACCCAGGCCTTCACCCACTGCCACTGGGGTGCCCGGGGTGGCCAAGCAACAGCTATACTCACTGGGGTCCAGGCGGAGGGACTGGCGGGCAGGGTACCACTGCGGATCTGTGGGGAGAACGGGGTGTCACAGCACACAGCCTGGCAGGGCCCAGGGACCCCACAGCTCCTCCCAGAAGGACGTGGTCTGTGTGGCTCCAAGACACAGCCCAGAAGAACCCAAACAGAAGTGGGATGTCCTGAAACCAAGCAAGGGCGTTCCTGCCAATGGCCACACGGGGGCGCTGCAACAGGCAAGCCCAGAAAGTCCTGGATCTCAGGGGGCATCTCTACAGGTCCTGGGGAAAGAAATTGGCAGCAGGGGTCCCACCCAGAGGCCTCTGGCTGGAAGGGCTGCAGGAGGCAGTGTGGCTGGGCCCTGGACTTACGGCTCTTAGTGAAAAGATTCTTGATCTCTGCGATGGTGGCATGGGGTTCCACCTGGGGGAAGCACAGGCCAGACAGAAGTCAGCCCTGGGGGATGTCGGGACCCCTGATCCAGGCTCCCTCCTGCTGAGGTGGGGATGGATGGGGGCCTGGGTAGCTGCTATGGGAGTGGGGAGGGTTGGAGTCCAGGCCCCACACCCACGTGGCCGAATGGAGCAGCAAGGGCCTGTCAGAGTGGGGACAGCAGTGGGCCTGAGGGCCCAGTTTTACCACCCAGCTAGGATGGCCCCAGCCAGGCTGGGAGACAAGAAGCTGAGCCTGTTTCTTTGCCGCTCCACTCCACCCCACCCACAACTCCCCCCAGGGTCCAGGCCAGACCTTCCCTGGAAGGACAAGCCCCCCCTCCCTTCCTGGCCTGGCCTCAGAAGGGGAAAGGTCACAACTCCACCCCCCTCCCAGCCTGAGGCCCTGCAGGGTCCACTGAGGCAGCTTCACCTCCTCTTGTACTAGGAGACCAACTCCTGGCCACACCCAGAGGCCAGAGCTGCCCCCTCTACCTTGAACTGGCAGGGACAGGCCAGGCCCGAGGACAGCACCCCTCATGCGCACCCCTCCCAGGCAGGGGGTGGGGTGTCAGGACACAGGTTGGAGGGGCACTCCCACCTCCCTCAGAGCCAGGAGTCCCCAGAAGGAATGGTGCAGTGGGCCCAGCACCCTAGCCCAGTGCAGCTGGCATCACCGTCCTACCTTGTCCAAGAAGCACAGTTTCTCCCGAGTCTTCGCATCCAGAATCTCCACCTCAAAGAAGAGAACAGCCTTTTTAGGTTTCTTGGCCACCTTTGGGGGCACGGGACGGGGGAGGCCATTGAGGCCAAAGACAGGCCCAGGCCCAAGGCCCTGGCTGGCCTCCCGAGCCACCAAGCTCATACTCAGGTCCATACTGCCCTGCTCTGCCCACGAAGCCAGCGGCCCAAGCCACCGGTGGTCAGTCCCCACCACCGACCTACCCACGCGCAGCGCTCTGGGCCAGGCTACGGGATCAAATTCTGCCACGGTGCTGGAAAGGAGCCCACGCCTGCCCTGGCACTGCCACCTTCTGTGCAGATGTAACCCGAGTGGCCCCACAGCCATGCCCAGCTAAATATAAAACTGCCCAGACTGAGCCCCCGAGGAACTGGATCACGAAAGTGAAGCTTTCAAGTGGACACAACCCCCAAAGAGCACCAGGGGATAGGGAGATCCCCAGAGGAAGGCATGGAGGTACCCCCCCCAGCCCCCATACCCAGTGCAGAGTGAGGGCCAATCTTGGGGAGGAGGGTGAGAGGCCAGCAGGCAGCTCAACCCTAGCACCCAGTTCAGGCTGGCAGAGTTCACTGGGCTTGGAGAAGTCCCAGCTATTTTGAGAATCTGAGATAGATCATCCATTTCCCCTTCTGAACTGTGACAGACAGTCGGATTATTTCCCTCGTGCATTTGTGTTCCTAGGGAGGTGACAGATTCCAGAGCTATTGATGCAGAGAGCCTCTCTCTATGTGTGGAAAGGGTCAGGAAACCGGGAAGTTTCCAGAAAGCACCCCAGCCCAGGCTGAGTAGAAAGGGTCAGGAAACCAAGAAATTTCCAGAAAGCACCCCAGCCTGGGCTGAGGCCTATCCTGCCTCCCTGACCTCCCTCCCCACACACTTTCACTAGATCCACCCAGACCATGTTCAAGGCCACCTTCAAGGCAATCTTTGTGCCCTGTAAGCCCAACATAGCTCCCTTGTCTAGGCCCTGAAACCCTCAAAACCCAGAGCACACAGCCTGCACCACACACGATCTCCCTGAGCCCCAGACAGGGGCACAGCAGAGGGGCAGAACTGGGAGGAAAGAAGCTGGTAGGGTGGGAGAAGAATCTGACCCACCCGCTCCATGCAGGATAAAGCAGATGCCAGAGGTGAAGTGCAGGTGAAGCTACAGTGAGGCCCAGGAGGTGGCCTGATCTTGAAAGGCCTGAGTGCCACTGAGCTTAGCACAGGCAGTGGCAGGCAAGGCTGGATCTGTCCCCAAATCAGCCACTGGGCAACAGGTGCTGAGGACCCTTCCCACCCCTGGTGGGCCCTCAGTCAGTGTCAGCGTAGGGAAGAGGAGCAGGACACAAAACCCTAGACAGGGCCCCAGCCAGGCTCTCTGAGGGCATGCCACCCACCCAAAGCCCAGGAAGAGGGCTCCCCTGCAACTGGGGCCCTCCAAAGAAAGGGGCTCTCCCCATACACACACCCCATTGATTGATAGCAGTGGGCAGCACACAGGACTGAATCTGGCTCTGCCACACAGTCATGTCTCTCTGGACCTCGGGCCGGGGGCAGAAAGGAAGGGGTGTGCTTCACAGGGCTGTGCACGGCAGGGGCCTGACAGATGCACAGTGCCCAGAGCCTCTGGCCCTGTGGGGCTGCCATGATGGGGAGGGCGTGGGCCTGGGTTCAGACCCCAGCTCCCCTGCTGGCTGCAGCGCCCACCCCCATTGTGGATGTGAGGGTAGGAGAGGACCCAGAACCCAAGAAGCCTTGGCCATGCGGCCTGCACTTAACGCATTAGAGAGAGCTCTGCCAGGCCGTGTGGCCTTGGGGCACAGGCTACTGAACCCCTCTGAGCCACGAGGATAACAAGACCAGTCAGAGAGGCCAGAAACAGGGAGCTGGTCATATCACCTGCAGTACTGGGCCCACCAAGGGGACTCATGGGAGAGGGAAGGGGCACACTACACAATGTACTGAAAGGGCTAGAGCACCAGGGCCCCGGGCGGGCACAGGGCCTGCCCCGTGGCTGCAGGTATATTAATAGTCGCTGGGTCCCAGGCGGGCAGGGCCCACATGCCTTCAGAGCCTGTGTGGTCCACAGAAAGACAGCACCGAGCCTACAGGAAAGAAGCCTCCAAGTTCCTGCTGAACCACTCAACAGCTTAAAATACAACCAGTCCTCTCCCTGTCCGCCAGCTGGTGGGGAAGGGCTGAAATCCTACCCTGTAGGACCAGGGCCCAGGAGGAGAGGACGGCTGTCAGGGCCCCAACTGGCTGCTGGGAGAGGAAGCTGGGCAGTAGGAGAGGGTGGCCAGGAGAAGGGCCACACTCCCAGCAGCTGTCACACTGAGCCTGGGCCCGCCCAGGCCAGAGCACAGGAGAAGCTGAGCCCTCAGAGGTAAGCCCAGCCCAAGGGGCAGCACCAGGGGCCTGGGCCACCAGGGTGGGGGCTACCCCAGCACAGGGCCACCTCAGTAGGGTCGGTCCTCATTTCCTATTTCCTGTCCCCAAACCTTGGGACCCAGAGCCATCTTTACTACACAAGGTCTGAAAGACCCTGGGGGGTGGGGGGTGGGCAGACCCAGAAGCTGTCTGTACTATTTTTGCAGCTTCTGTGTCTCTATAATTATTTCAAAATAAAAAGTTAAATAGAAGTTATGCTAGGTGGGAAAAAACAAAGCTTTGCTAGGTGATAAAGGCCAGACACAAAGGGTCACGTATTTATATGAAATGTCCGGAAGAGTTAAATCCATGGACAGAAAGAGACTGGTGGTTGCCTGGGGCAGACGGAGGGAGAACAGGGAGTGTCAGCTAATGGGGCTTGGTCTCCTTTTGGGGTGAGGGAAGTTGTGAAACTAGAGAGAGGGGGGTGGTTGTACAGCAGTGTGAATGTACTAAATACAGCTGAACTTTTTGCTTTTAAGTGGACAATTTTGTTATGTGAATTTCACCTGAATACAATTTGTAAAAGGGGGGCGCTAACAAACAGGTCCCAATTACCCATCAAAAAAAAAGTCCCTGGGCAGGGAGCAGCAAAGTCTCCTCACCCCAACCCCCACCCAGACTGAGGGCCTAAATGTGGGGGACCCTGTCATGTGCTTCCCAGCCTGCAGTCCCTGAGCTCACCCCCTACTGCAACCCTCCCCACCCCGGCTCTGTGCCCAAGCACACCTCCCATGCCCTATGCCTGACACACACACACCCCCAACATGTTTGCCCAGCCCTGAGGCCAGTCTGGGACAGGGGCCCAGGGTAGGCCCAGGACTGGGGTCAGAGGCACAGGCAGCTGCTGAACACAGGAGGCGGCAGGCCCAGCCCCCATCCAGGGGAGAAGGCGGGTCAGGGGCAGGGAGCCGCGGTGGGCCCTCCTGAGGACTGCAGGGACAGCCCTTCCTCCTCACACAGGGAAGCAGCTGGAGGGGACAACATGTTCTGCTCTATGATGAATGAAGCAAGGCCTGTGAGGAGGTCACTGGCCCAAGGTCCATCGATGGCTGCAGGCAGGGAGTGTGGCCCTGCAGTCTACAATGGACAGAGGACAAGGACAGAGCAGGTACCCTGGCCTGGGGTGAATACGGTAACACTCCCAATAGTCTGGGAGGAATTCTCACCCAGAGTCCTGAGACTCTGGGGCTCAGCCAACAGCAACTTGTGGCAGCATGAGGTGGCAGAGGGGTGTGGGGCAGTGACCAGGACAAGGGGCAGGGCCACAGCCCACCCTGTGGAAGTGGGGGCGGGGGGGGGGGCGGTGGCAGGGAGAACAAAAGCCACACTTGTCTTCCCCAGCCCAGAGAGGAGCACCCAGAGCCACTGTCTAGCAGCAGCGTCTCTGGCCCTCACTGTCTTATGGAAATAAAAATGTTGCTAATCAAGGTAGCAGTAGCAGAAAGAGGGGCGCCGTTTTCTGAGCACCTGCTGCAAGCTAATGCCAGTGCCCAGAGCTGTCTGGGAGGTGAAGCTCCAGGGATAGACCCTGTCTGGCAACAAGAGCACAGGTATGCTCAGGGCCTTTGCACGTGCAGTTCCAGCTGCCTCTATAGAACGCTCTCCCCCAGACCCACAGGGCTCCTCCCCAACCTCCTCCAGCCTCCAGGCAACTTTGTAGTGAGGCCCTTCCTGACCAGCAACTTACAATCTCAACCCCCAGACCTTTACCATCCACCTCCCACTAGGCTGCACATTGTTTCCCAGCACCTGAACATAGCCTAGCATGGAGCTGTGCTCTGTCCACACTTGTGTACAGCACCTGGCCAAAGACTCACCTATTTCCTGATTGTGTGGCCCCCAACAAGTTACTCAACCCTTTTGAACCTCTATTTCCTACATCTCCAAAGTAGGCAGGCCCCAGCTGCTGTCTCACAGGGTTACTGTAAGATTTAGAGAGGTGATAAAAACCACCAAAAAAGTAAGTACATAAACATACCCAGCCTAGAATTAATCATATAAAGAATAAATATACAGACCAATACTAGCAAAAGAGCACTGCTAGATGCCCAGAGAGCCAGGCCCCTCCTCCCCAAATCCTGCCCACAGGACATCAAGGTCACAGAGGTGGTCCAATGATGCTTCATCCAGCTGCTGACAGTGAGCAGAACCCTAACAATAGCAAGACACGTGTGGGTAGCAGAGGTGGGGCCTTTGCCACCATCCCTACCCCAGTCCCTACCACCATTCCCCACAGTGCTGGAGGCTGCCACATCGCTGCTGCCCCCTTGTGGCAGCAGCCTTCATCCCACAGTCCCACATTCTGGAAGGGTGCTGGTGGCAGCCTGGCTCCACAGTCCCATGTCCCAGTGCCCGCCCAGGATGGGATGCTATGCGACCAGGATGGCACCAAGAGAGTGAGCACTAACCACAGCTCTGCCACTTACCAACCAAGTGGCTTCAGGGAGCCACTGCCCTGCATTCACTCATCCATCCATCCATCCATTCATTCCTGCCCCCTTCTTCCCATGGCTGGACACTGCAGTGAACAAAACCAGGCCCCTGCCTCCAGGGGACCTGCATTACACTCAGTGTGT